GATGTGCTACCGACCTAGACTTGAGGAGGGCATCGGTGGCGATGTGACGCCATGAGCGCGCACATCCTCGAGGGTATCCTGAGGGCGGCGAGGAACCCATGATGGATAACCTGACGGCTCCCTAGAGAAGCCAAGCGCTGGGTCCGACACTTTTGTCTGTTTCCCCGTGTACGGCCATGTCCTGGCCTCTGTTGCGTATACGCTTCGTCGGCATGGGAGGAGACGAGGGCATGTGACAAATACTGTATAAAATACCTACCAATGTATATGAGCTTATAGAACTCTCTCCCTACCTACTTGAGTCGAAATGTAGACGAGCATAAACTGCTTTTGTTTGGGAGTCTAGTCGAGAAGGCAAAGAATGGGTACCTCGCATCTATCAAGGTATGTATATGTATATATATGTATATGTATGTATATGTATGTTCTGCACAAACTACCAAAAGTTTATCAAAGCCGGCGATGTTTAGGTGTAACCTGAAACAGGCAGACCGCCCAATAAAAGGCCGTGCCTTACATTACAACAACCAGAATTCGTTTCTCATATCATTCACCGTGTTTGTTCCTTTCCCATAGTCTACCATTGATTGTATTTTTTTAGCTAGGTATTTTTTTGGATCGTGGTAGGCTGATACGGTGCCCGGAAAAAAGTCTAGACCGCAATTTATTCCCCACCACCACAAAAAAAAGAGCCCATCCGGAAGACTTCGGCACTCCGGCAAAGCGAAAAACGTTATTATGGCTATAAGTAATGCCTTTTGCATCAAAATAATCACAAATCCCTTAAACGCGTGTTTTTTTTTGGGCGTAGAGCGCGGCGCGGGCATATTGTTTGGCTTTGGTGCTAGTACAATTGTGGTGGGAAAGGTAGAGTTTGGGTGGGGGAAAAAATTTGCGGTCCAGACTTTTTTCCGGGCACCGTGCCTGCCAGGTGTCAGAATCCTATCTCATGCCAAATCCAGATGCGGCATTATGATAGGCACATACTAGCCGCCGCCATTGCTGCACCATTGCGCCTTCATCGTCCTAGACAGGGCCCCCCGCCGGCCGGTAGGAGGGGTGGCGCATGCAACATTGAGTATGCAGCCCTGGGTCTCCCACCCTGTTTTTCTGTCAGATGGCCCAGAGGGATAAAATGGTGTGCAGCCCGGAATGAGCTCGCTCGGCTTTCGTTGCGGTTAAAAAGGTAGGCCATGTGTTGGGTTTGGGAATCCTTCGACGCAACACTTGAAACGAGCAACGAGGCGGGGTAGATAGCGCCCGTGCAAAGCGTAGGTACCAGCTACCTACCTGTACCTAGTACCAACTAAACAACCAAACAACACGAGACACATCCCATCCGGCATGGCGCGCCTCTACCTCTGGGCGGCGCTCTCGTGCCTCCTCGCCCCCGTCACCGTCCTGTCCTGCCTCAACGCCTGGGCCCTCGTCACCACCGGCCGCCCCCTCCCCCCGCTGGCACTGCTCGGCGGCGGCGGCGGCGGCGACGAGCCCGGCGGCAAGTGGCAGGCCCGCCTCCTCTGCCTCCTGGCCGCCGCCCTCCTCAAGACCCAGCACTCCCTCCTCGCGCGCCTCCGCCTGGCCCTGCGCGCGCGCACACTCGGCTGCGGCGACGCCGCCGTGTACCCCGACGCGGACCCGCTGCTGCTGGGCATCGGCTGGTTCCGCGAGTCGGTGGCGGCGGCGCGCGCCGGCACCTTCTTCGAGCTGGCCCGGGTGCGGTTCGAGAGGCACGGCCGCACGCACTGGAACCGCGCGCTGGGCGGCGGCTGGATGCTGGTGACGGACGAGCCCGAGAACGTCAAGGCGATCCTGGCCTCCCGCTTCAACGACTGGGAGATCGCGGGCCCGCGCCGGCTGGCCGTCATCCGCCAGCTGGGGCCCCGCAGCGTCTTCACGTCCAACGGGCCGCTGTGGCAGCACGCGCGCGCGTCGATCCGGCCCGCGTTTGTGCGCGACCAGATTGCCGACTTTGCGCGCCTGGACCCGCACGTCGGGAACCTGCTGGCCGCGCTCCGTTCTGCTGCTGGCGCTGGCGCTGGTGAGGGTGGCGGCGGCGGCGGCGGCGGCGGGGGAGGAGGGGTGGTCGAGCTGCAGGCGCTCTTCGCCATGATGACCATGGACTCGAGCACCGACTTCATGCTCGGCCACAGCACCCGCCTGCTCGAGCGCGGCACGCCGCCCGGGGCCGCCGCCTTCCTCGACGCCTTCGACTACTGCTCGCTCAGGGGCGCCGAGCGCGCCCGCCTCGGCGTGCTGACGCGCTTCGTGCCCGACGCGCGCTTCGAGGCCGGCATCAAGACGATCCGGGCCTACGTGCGCGAGTACGTCGCCGACGCCATGGCGGCGAGGGAAGAAAAGGAGAAAGGGGAGAAGAAGGAGAAGAAGAAGCAGGTGGTAGGGAGCGGCGAGGATGGGGATCAGCAGCAGGACGGGGAGAAGAAGAGCTACATCTTTTTGCACGAGCTCCTCGACTCGGGCGCCGACGAGGAGTTCATCCTGGACCAGGTCCTGTCCATCATCCTGGCCGGGCGCGACACCACGGCCGCGGGGCTGTCGGGCATCTTCCACTACCTCGCCCGCGACCCGGGCGCCGTGCGGAAGCTGCGGGCCGAGATGGAGGGCCTGGGGATCGAAAACCCGACCTGGGAGGAGTTGAGGGGGATGAAGTACCTGCAGAACGTTATCAGGGAAGGTATGAGCTTTCTTCCCCCCCTCTCTCTCCCTCCCATTAGTCTTTACGATCAATGTCTGACCTCATGATGAATTTCCTCCAAACAGCCCTCCGCCTCTTCCCACCGGTCCCGACCAACTCCCGCGACACCGTCAGGGACACGGTCCTGCCCCGCGGCGGAGGCCCGGACGGGAAGCTGCCCATTTTCGTGCCCAAGGGCACGCCCTGCCGCTACTTCCTGCATACGATGCACCGGAGGAAGGACGTCTTTGGCCCGGATGCCGACGAGTTCCGCCCGGAGCGGTGGGAAGACTTGCGCGTCAGGTAAGTCGAGAACATCCTCTTGACGTTCGTTTCCTCTCGTCGGGCCGGCGCTAACCCATAGACATGTGACCCATAAAAACAGCTGGGAGTATCTGCCGTTCAGCGGCGGCCCCAGGATCTGCATCGGCCAGCAGTTCGCCCTGACCCAGATGTCCTACGTTGTCTTCCGCATCATGCAAAACTTCGAGTCTTTGGAGCCTGTGGATTCGGGACCGCTGCTGATAGACGTGAGCCTCATCTCGTTGATGAAGAACGGCTGCAGGATCAAGATGACGCCGGTGCGAGACGCCAAGTGATCCGGGCTTCATGCGAAGAGGCGCGGGATATGACAGGGCGTGCCACAACTGCACAGAAGGGCAGTCTTGTTTCCCATTGTTGACCTGGTGCTCGTCTTGGCCATGTGAACCGACAATGTACATGAATTCCCAGTTTATCTCTCATAACAGCAATCCTAGTCTTTCAGAAACAGAGTGATATCGAGCTCCCACAAGACTACCCACGCCATCTTTCAAAACATGGCACTCACCGCAACAAGCTTCTTTGCGTGCTTGGCGGGCCCCACCATATACATTATCGCTTGTAGCGAGCAAAGCCAGCCAGAAATGTTGTGAAACCTGGTATTCTCATCTCTGGTTGTTCTAGCTTGCGTTGAATCTGCATCTCTCTTCAAGTTTGACCACCCCTAGACCATGTTGGCGGGAGTCCTGATATCTAGCAAGACGAGGAAGAGAAAGTTAGCCAGGGGTTCAAAATAGCCTAGACCTGGAGGACATGTCACAGAAAGACACTCTGGCATCACTCACCACCAGAGTCCTTGGTCTTTCCCTCCCGAAGGGCCTTGAACAGGGAGGTGACGGTGTAGTGCGAGCCGTGAGCGCCCTCTTTAGAGCCCTCAGAGAACTGGTGCTCGCTGTGTCCGAATGCAGACGGCAGCGGCGGCAATGGTAGAGGAGGGGGAGGAGGAAGAGGCGGCGTCGGCAGCAGCATACCTTGGTTCTGGGGTTTGAAGCTCGCAGCGGGGGGCTCCGGGGCGCGCGACTGGTTCCCGGCGGTGGCGGCGGGAGCGACGCCGTCGAAACCCTTCAGCTCGACCTCGCCGTCCTTGCGGGCGTGGACGCCGCCATATTCTTCTTCTCCGTCGCCACTCCTGCCCGAGCCCTTCCTGAACTGGCCGCCGCCGCTGTCGCCGCCGTCGGCGCCGGGAGAGGAACGGCCGCTGGCGAGGCGCTTGCGGTCTCGGATGGCGCGGATCTGCCAGGCGAAGATGGCGATGACGAGGATGCCGAAGAAGACAGAGACGCCCGCGATGACGCCAATGTCGGTCGTGCTGAGGCGCGAGGCGTGGGAGTCGCCCAGGTAGGCACCTGGGTCGATGATGGCCACAGTGGCGTTCTTGTCTGTGGGAACGGTGCCGTAGCCAGCCATTGTGGATTTTTTTTTCACTCTTGTTCTTTCCTCTGCTGCTCGTGGCTGGTCAGAGATTGGACGGGAGGCTAGAGTGAACTATCGGCGCGAGATTTTGATATATGGCCTCTCTCCGAGTGCATACTTGGGTGCTGAAGGAGCTCGGCCTCCTCCGTTTTGGTTTCGTTCTCCTTGTCCCGAAGACAGCAGAGAGTGCGATTCTGAATTTTTTTTTGGGGTCTTGTGGTGTCTGTTTGGAATGAAACGAGTGTATGGTATCCCGAAGTTGAGGGCAGACTGAGGTAGGCGCTCCTCGGCGTCTGTCCTCAAGGAATCAGACAGCGAGATGGAGGAGACAGAACGGAGAAGATTTGTAGAAAACAAAGGGAAATGAAGAAATTGGAGCGGGAAGTCACCGAGAAAACAGGGAGGAATTCAGGGTGGCAGGATATTGGGTTGGGGGAAGAATTTTTTCATCTGCCCAGGGAAGGAAGGGACGGCCGAACACGGACTCCAAGGAAGGCAATCACAAAACCCGGCAGTGAAAGACGACGACCACTAGCGCTACCCCACGATGCCACACCAAATTCGCTCCCCGCCGCCTTCACTGCCACCAACCAACCGCTCGTGCAATCCTCAACAGAGCAGCGGGCACGCAAATGAAGTGCTAGCAGCCTTGTGCAACGGCCGGCCTTGGCTGCCGTCCTTTTGCATTCCTTGTGCCCGTCCTCTGGTCCTATCGAACAGAGACACAGGCTAGAGAAAGCTAACCCGACTCCAGCGCCCATCTATTTAGACGGAAAAGCCGACGGGAGACACTGTGGGTGGCTGGACGCGGTCCGGCTTCCCAATGATGTTGGTCAAACAAGGGAAGCCGCCTGCGTCACATATCAAATGCCACGGGCACGGGTACGTGCAGCCCGCTTTGGAGCACCATGTACTATTGGCCTACTCGGCCGGGCAAACATGCATTTGTTATTGACACCCTCTTAAATGCATTGTTGTCAAGATACATCTTCTTTCATGCTGATCTCCCCCAACCCCTTCTGCTAATTCCAACGACATGAATCTGCCACCACTGCTTTCTCGGTAGCGTTTAGGTAGTTGGACATGAAAAGGGGCTTGGGGATCTCAGCCAGATACAGACTGGCCGATTTGTGACCAGTAGAGATGCCCTCCCGTGCAACAGGGTGGGGCTGGGTGGTGTACATGTCCGCCTCGGTCAAGATATCGTGTGATATCCCGTGCCCAGCCCCTCTACTCTCCTCATTGCCTTCCTGATACTTGCCGGGAGTTCCACAGATTCGGCGTTCGGTTCGGATAAGCAAATAAACCGCTACCAGATCGGTAAGTAATGGCTTCGCTAGCGTGTTCCACTCACAATGCAGCATTACAGCTTGAGAGCGATCGACCAGCGAAGCTAATAAATTTACAATCCGGGAAGCGCATTGCCTTGACACCCTTCCACAGGTGCTGATGTGCAGTGTAGACACGGGTGTGCTGGGGCAAGTGTGGACGCTTTAACCCGGGGCCACGGTTGCATTGCACAGGCATTTCCCGACTTCAACACGCTTCATGAATGCAAGGACTATGAAGCTGTACGTAGATGGGGAGGGGGCCACCAGGTGGCACCCAACGGGCAGCTTCCGGAGGGGTTTATTGCCGAACCCGAAAAGGGATATGTGATTCAGCTCATTCCCTGGATCCATTGTCGAGAGAGAGAAGTCCAGAGAAGTGTACGAGGTCAAGTTAAAAACCCATGTGCTCCAGTCTCTTCAACAGTTCCTTGCCGAAAAACAGACCCATCCGCTTGACCGTGTCCTCACTCTGCATGCTGAGGAAGTCGGGGTTGTCGAATTGCCAAGGCAGAATGGCGTTGAGCAGGGCGTCAAAATCTGCGATATTCTCAATGCCGGCCATAGTGCTTGGCCGTTCCGCACCCACCTCCTTCAAGCTATTCTCCCATGCCTTGGCAAGGTCCCAGTCCCAAGTCAATTCCTCGCCCTCCTCGAGGCACTTGGGGCCCGGGAGGTCGTTGGGGAACGTCCCGGTCAGCTTTCCTTCCCTCAAAGCCATTTTGGCCTTTATCATGGCACTGCTCTCGTTCGTTACGTCGCCGCTCCAGCCCTGGAGCTGGCCCATATCTCCATTAAAAAAGCGGAAGAATTCGAACGAAGGGTGCAGGATGGTGGAGAAATCGTAGTCTACGAAGGCCGTTAAACGGCCCGAGGTCGGATCGACAAGAATGTTGTTGGTATCTGCAGCTCCAGGGTTAGTATCGTATGGCAAACGGTGTCCATGCCGTGGAAAGAAGGGCCTGATGGCTGTTTTACGAGGTTAAGGTGGAGAACTGCTCACTAAAATCTCCGTGCACAATAACCTTCCTATCCTTCGAGGTAAAAGAGGCAAAGAGTCCGGGGAATGCGTTTTGGAGGAAAGCATCGAGGCGCTCCCGGACACCATTCGCCCGCCAACCCTATATCGTTGGGTTGGCGTCGGCCTTGGCGAGCATCCTCTGCAGGCGCTCAAGGTAGTACTGCTAATAGGAAGGCCAAGGTCCGGCGCCGACGTTAAACATGGGCCCGCTTACGATGCGGCCGGATCCGTCAAATGTTAGGCCGCCGAAACCTGTAATGCTGTCGGGGAGTTTGCAACTTTGCAGGCCCTTAAGGACCCTTGCCATGTCCCTAACTACGACCTTCTTTACATCCAGGGACATGGTTTTAAACGCCTCATCGCCAGGCGTGCCGGGCATGCGCTCTTAAAGGATCCAACCTTGAGAAGTGGCTTCGCTGGCCCAGGCAAAGATGCGAGGGACCACGTCCAGCTCGATGCTGCGCAAGGCAGCCGAGGCCAGAGTCATAATGGCGACTTCGTTCTCGACCCGAGTGGCGTAGTGCGCGCCCTCAGCGTCCTGGTTGGTAAGTTTCAGGATGAAGTCGTTGGTGCCTGCCGGGATGGGCACGCAGCTCTGCTGCTGGTGGCATTGGGTCTCGACGGTGGTACCGTGGAACAATGCGGCCGAGGGCGGGAGTCTGATGTGATAAATGAAGTTGTTGTATTTGAAAGGACAGTCTGGGTCATAATGAATCGGATTGACGGTGGTTCGTTCCAGGTCCTTCGCGTCCATAGATAAGGATCAGAAACATAGTTCAACTTGTAACGGGGTGTCTGGGAAAAATACCAACCTCGCCTCTGAGTCCCAGGTGCCTCGTCAGGACCCGCTGCTGGATGAAGTCCAGACGCTCCTGGTACTTGGCGTGGTTGGGGCCCGACATCTTTCCTTGCGGATTGGACTGGCTTCTTCTCTTTGTGTCGTTGGAGTGAGTGGGCCGGGGGACGCCTGGTATAAGGTCCGCTGGCTTGACGGGTTTTTATGGAGCTGCCGCCCTCTCCGTTTCCCCACCAATCGCTAGAGCACGCTTGCAGGCACCAACAACCACCAGGGGACCAACTCCATAAAACGCCATCTCCAGTCTCGATCGAACTGCGACATTTCAATTTCTCTATCCACAGCAGTTTTGTTCAACCTGGTGTCTCGTCTCCTCTCGCCGCTCTTTAGGAACCATGAGCCTGGAAAATGACCCCGATGACCCATCTTTGCCACTTTGGCTGCGCGAAATGCGCCGCCGCGAACGTCATCGGCCGATAGCGGACCCCTACGATGCGCTCCTGCTCGAGGTGGTCTTCGCCACGCACCGCGGCAATCTCGACCGACTCAAGGTGGCGCTCGAAGCCCTGACACGGTCTCGCGGGCAGGTCGACATCAGCATGTACCACGACTACCCTGACGCAGAAGGCATGGCTATAATGGGCGAAACACTGCTGCAGACAGCCGTGAAGCGCGACCACCTTGATGTGGCCACGCTCCTGATCGCTCTCGGTGCCGACTTGGAAGCCTCTGTTGGTTACAATGATGAAATGTACACGTCACTTCATGGGGCAGTGTCGCATAACAATGTCGTCTTGGTCCGGCTCCTATTGGATTCTGGCGCCGATGTCCACGCGCGCTGGTATAATGGGAGCGACGACGGCACGGCAATTTTTTTGGCGACATGTGGCAGAGGCAAGGCTGCGATCGATACGCTTGAGATACTGCTGGATCACGGTCTTGATATCAACGATCCATACCACCAGGGGCGCTTTGGGAATCGTCTGGTGTGCATACTATCCTTCTCTTTCCTTTCCGGCGTACGTTAAAATGCTGACGTGAGCATAGATGAAGAATGCCGTGTACGCGGGCGGCAGTGGTCTCGAGCTTGCAATACATTTGATACGACGCGGCGTAGCGCTTTCCCAGCATCACTACGCATGTTTTTGTGAAGTAGTCAGCGACAGACGATCCCCCGAAGGTCTGCGATTCCTCGTTGACGAAGTCGGCCGCCGTGAGGTTGAGGATTACCTGATGGCGCTCTTGTGGCTCGTACGAGAGGAGTGTTATCCTTGTCCAGCGGCCCCATGCGAAATGCGCCTCGAAATCATCGAGTTTCTCATATCACGCCTCATATGCGATCTGGGTCCCGGAAAGGCTCTAAAGGATTTGCCTGAAATCGATACTCTTTTGCGGAAGGCCTCCAGTCATGGCTACACGGCCTTGGCACAGCTCTTGCGAGAGCACGAGGTCGGCGTTACTGGATCCCCTCCCATCGCCAGTAATCACAGTAACTAGACTGGACGTTTGTATCAACCCTGGCGAGCCTCAGAATATTCAGTTACTATTTCAAGTCGGCGTGAGTTTTATTGCGGTCGATAAAGAAAAGTGACTTTGACGAAACATACGCGTTCGTTTATCTTGTCTTTGAGCAACCTAAGGAGTGACCAGACAGTATACTGTGCCCACGCGACTGTGCCTCGCGATCCCTCAATAGAACAGTTTGTTGGTGTTTGTTGGTGGTTCCATGTCAGTGGCTATGCTGGCTGCTGGGTGGATTTTCTTAGTGCTGACTGCCTGGGCTCGCGTGGTGTGGCTCCCTGCCCCCCGGGTGACCAAAAAGACGACAGCAGGCGATCCACCCGTGACACCACCTGACCAAGGAGCCGACGTTCGGTTCCATAAACAGCTTCTGGGGAACAAGGCTGAGTGTGCGATGTCGCGCTCGGCACCCATCAGCAGGCTCGACTGTTGGGTGTTGGCGCAGCGAGTGCACCCATGGCTGTTGGTTCTGGCTCTGGGTCAAAGGCTGACTGTGCAGCGTTGGGCTCTCGTCCATCAATTACTCGCCGGGAGGGCGAATCACGGTTGTTGGTGGCTGCATTGGAGATTTGCACCCCGAGACAAACGAATCGCAATATCAGCACGAGGCTCAGGTACTGGTTGGCGAGTATAATAGAAGGCCGGTATCATTGATTAAGATCATAAAAATGACATCTTCATCTTCGCATCAGCATTTTCAACCATTCAGCAACATCCCCGAAATCTAGCGACATTTTCAGACATCTAGCATCCTCCATACTTCTCCTTCTCTTTTATCTTCAGTCACAATACAATCAGAAATCACGTTCACCTTCAGCTACAGTATCCAGACATCCGCAGATCACCCACTTGCCAATCATCCTACGGCAGGGGCAGGCCATACGAACTAGGCTTTCATCCCACAGCGCATCTTCAAAATGAAGCCTCTTGCTTTCCTGGGAGGCCTTTCTGTCCTCTCACTGGCTTTCGGGCTACCGCTGCCTGCCAACCCACCTCCCAACCCACCCCCCACAACACCTCCGGCAAAGACAGACATTGGTAGGTCTGTGGTGCTGAGGAGGCTGGGGCCAACTCGCCCAATAGGGCCTTACAACCTGGGGTCTCAGATCGACCCATTCCCTTCTCTGGAGCTTGCCAACGGGGAGAAGAAGGAGCTGACAATCTTTAGATTCACTGCCCACTTTCGCATCAATGGGTACGCCGAGGCCGTCGCGAGAATGCTCGGATCCGCGTCGCAACCTGATAAAGTCGAACACAACCGTGAGCAACTGGACAAGTTTTGGGCAATCATGGCCGAGTTCGCCTATCATCAAGTCGTCTCGTTTGCAGACGATTTCAGGAAGGGAGGAGGGATCGGTCGAAAATTATACGCTCCCCCGGGTACCGTGATGCTCAAACGCACTGGACCGAACGAGTTCGTAGCAGGTTCGTCAGCTCGCGCCCCCGGCGTACTCCCTCGCGACTTGAATGCCTTTTCTCGGCAAGGCAAGACCGGCGTTTTCATGGAGAAATGCCTGGAAGGGACGACAAAAACCGGCCATGACAAGAATGGCCTGTGTGGCGAGCAAACCGCGTTTGGCTCCGAAGCCGATTTGTCGACATGGAAGCCCCCAGTGCCACTAAGTCAGTGCACCCCATGTCGGCCCACCCCCCATGATCGCCCACTCTGTACGCTTCGATCAACACCAACCCTACTGCATTCAACTGCAAATTTCTACCTCTATTCAAGCAACCTCGATGCAAGATACAGCTGATTCCTGATCAGAATTTTCCGGGCTTTCAAACGCTGTATTCACTTCCTCTTCAACTGCACCCCTCGTCTCTGCAACGCGCCGGATATCCACGAAGGTCTCGTTGGGATCTGTGGCCACCCTTCTCCTTTTGCGAGGCCGCTGTGCCTCCAATTGGGCTTCCAACTGCCTGATTTTTTGATGGGCGGTAACCAAGTCGTATTCGTAAGTACTGTAGCTTTTTTAAAGCTTTCTGAAGAAAAGCCGGGTTGTAAGGCTTGCAGGGATCCGGGCTTTAATAGAGCTAATTTGCGTGGCTAACTCTCTCGACTGCTTGGGGATTTCCCATGGCACTTAGAACGTCCGGGTAGGAATTGTTAAACGTTGTTTGGCCTTATTATCCTTTGCAGATTGTTGAATTCCGGCTCGCCGGCTGTCCTGGCTAAAGTTGTCGAAAATAAACCGGTTCATAAAGGGTTTGGCCATATTGCAAGGCCAAAGGCCGGCCGGCCGCCACCCCGCTTTTATATTAAAGGCAGTAATTGCTTGTGATCGTGCGTGGGCATAAGCCGTTAAAAATTAACGTTTTCCTATTACTATTAAGCAGGTAAATAAAGCCTAAAACCCGATCTTTTGGCGGTAAGCCTGTTTTAAAGGGCTAAAAATCGATAAATTAAAGGGCTGCAGTACGTGCGAGGTATGGGCAGGCAGATATAGGAGGAAAACGTTGCTTTATAGGCAAAGAAACATAAACTCCTTGGTAACGTGCGATCCGTGCCCATCTAGGATCAGGAAACGGGGCTCAGGGGTAAGGGGTTGGGTGCGTGGGAGGAACACTTTTTGCAGCCATTCCAGGCCCGTAAAATCCGTGGTTTAGCCGTTATTTGTAGCAATAAATTCCCACCCTCGGAAAGGGCCCAAATTTGCAAGAAACCATTGCTTTTGCACGCTTTTCCCTTTGAAAATAATGAAGGGAAGCAATGATACCCCCGTGGCCGAAATGCATTCGATAAACGAGGTCCACGTGCGAAACCCGGGCTTTTTACGTTGTAAAGGCCGGGTGCCAGCAAGGCCTAAAACAAGCCCGTTACCGGTCCTACCCTTTTGCAAGCCTCCTTCGTTGGCGTTGTACGTGTTTTCCGGCTTGATCCGGGCTACTTCCAGTATTTGCAGGCGTTGCCACCACTTCGTTATCGTTGCAATAATAGCCCCTTAAACGCGTGCGTTTTTTATGCGCTTTGATTTTCCGGTTCGGATTTCCAAATATCGGCTTAAAAAAGCATAAATCCAATGCTTCCCGAAGGGCTGGGAGTTACCCCCAAACCGGAATATTTCCTCTGCAAAAAACCGGATTTCCGCGTGCGTTAAAGGGAGGCCTAAAAATTCCTGTAATAAAATCCAGTTAGCCAAGCGATTCTCCTGCTCAAAGGCTATCCGTTAATACTCTTCTTTTGCCTGCCGGATAGGTAGGCGGCTTCGTAAACGCCCGCGTAAGGTTGACACCGGTATCCCATAAAAACGAGCAGCCCGTCGGATCTCGCCCTTCGCCTGCAACGCAGCGAAGGCTCGTTCGACGTCTTCTTTTGTATACTGTTTCTCCGGCATTTGGGCATTAGAATGCAGTAAAAAGTAAGGAAAACGGATTAGAATTGATAGAAATATAAGGGCGGGAGTACTCTAGAAGATTCTATGCTGTGGGCCTACAGAGTGGGCGATCATGGGGGGTGGGCCGACATGGGGTGCACTGACTTAACCCCAGCGGAGGGCGGAATCGAGGGTACGAACGGCTGTGAGCCAGGGACCGGATGGTATGCGCCCGATCCAAAGACGAACGGCCCTGCCATGGCAGTATGGTATAAAGATTATCGGGATACTGAAGCCATCAGAGGCGGTGGTGGTCTCATTGGCCCTTGCCAAGACAAAACAAACACCATCGGGTGCGAAACGCATCTTTAAAAAAAGCTCTATTCAGCAACACCGAAGAAATATTTCCCGAACGGCGGCAAACCGGGAGTAGCTCCATTCAACATCCAGGAGTTCGATAAATTCATAGCTAATAACGAGCTAACGATCGACCTCAGGAAAAACCCTCGCGAGCAGAAAGACCCCAAGATGCGGATCTTGGTCCCTCCCAACATTTCAGCGGTAGATTCGCCCTCGAGAACCCCTAAGGAGCTTGCTGAACTCAGGCCTGGGAATTGGAGGCCTTGGAATCCGCAGCTCTAGAAGCGAGCCGTCTACCCCAGGGCGAGGGCTCGGGCCAGGCCGCGACGGCCAACCCGCCCCCGCCCGGCGTGGTGGTCGAGCCGACCACCCCGCCACAGCAGAAGACGGCGGCGGATCCCCTCTCGGAAGGTATGTCGAAGATGTCCGTCGAGGACAAAAACAAGGAGGAGGAGCGCGGCAGGGCCCGGCTGAAGCCGCTCCGCTCGCCGCCCTCGCCACTCGCGGGGCAGCCCCCCCCAAAACGGCTGTCCCCCAGCCCAGGCGGAGGGGGCTCTCGCAACAGAGACGGAGGCACAGAATCTAGTGCTGGGGGCAGGGGTGGTGGGAGCACAGGAGGTGCCAGTGGTGGTGGCGCAAGTGGTGGAAACGGCGGTGGTGGAAAGTAACTTGGGAGGTGGAGTGCCCTCGAGACAGGATATTTAGACAACGGGTGAAAGGAGAAGGCGGCCGCCCGACTCAGTCTTGGATATGGCTTTGGCTTAACAAATAGTTTCCTCAGGTAAGCAGCATTTTCAGATGACAACACTCAATATAGCCTTTACCCTATTAAACACACCATGCCATGGTACTTGGCTTGGTGAAATTCTCGTCAACGAACGGAACGCGGGGATGAAGCAGAGATGGGTGAGTGCCATCGCAGTGGCGGGATGGGAGCAAGCTATGACGCATTGGTGTAAGTCAGTGCACACCCTGTCGGACCACCCCCCACAGTTGGCTTGGTGGTTGGGTCTCTGAATATGGACATAGTACAGAGGGCGAAACAGCTTCCGGGGACGGGTGATGATTGGAAGGTAGATACGAAGAACAGGACTTACAGACCCGGTGGCTACGGCTACAACTTGGCACTGGCATGCGTCCGGCTGAGCAGCCGCCGGCCCCTGACAGACCAGACCACAAACGACGGGACTATTTCCATCCAAAGTCTCGACCCCAAGCTCAAGGTACGCATGGTATGTGTGACCTGCAACGACCCAGAAGGACGGATAATCAAGCGAAAACTGAGCAACTACGGGATCGACACAGACCACGTACGCCTCCAAGAGACTCGCTTCCACGACAAAGCCAGCAGGGAACATATTTTAGCTACAGGCGGGGCGCGTATCCCGGTGGACGGCGAGGGAGGAGGCATTATGCAACATGACGTCCGAGCTAATATGCCCTGGACGCCAAATATGTGCGCCAGCTTAACTACAGTACAGTCTACATGGCCCTAACCTAACTGGAGACGCCTTTGGAGCCCGTCGAGTCAGCGATACAGATGGCCAACGCCGCCGGTGTGGGTGTCGCGCTCAAGCTGGGCCTCCAAGTCCAGCGATCCCGGGGGACATCACCGACGCGCTCTACCAGGTTGACCACCTCCATCATGAGCGCAGTGACCGCCGAGGGCATGCGCACGCACATGGGGCGAGAAGCCCGCCGGCGGCGGCCAACACACGCCTGGCTCCAGCACATGTTGGACTGCGAGGCCTTGGCGAGCAAGGGCTCGCGTCGTCGTCACCAAGAGCGGCCGGGGCGTCGTGGCGCTCGCTAGGAAGAAGAAGGGCCGGCGTCAATGCCAGCGCCTTTAGCATTGCCGCTCTTGGCTCCGCCGATAGCATCCCTTGGGGGGGGGGGGACGATATCCTCAGCCATGAAGACTTCACCTTCGCCAGCCCCTAGAAAAGCCCAGGTACCTACTCACTGGTAGACAGGAACGCCGACGTACGCTAGGAGGACACAGCATGCCAAGTAATCCTCAATCAATCCATTCTTTTTGCCCCTTTTCGCCTTTTTCAACTTCGTTTTCCTCCACTTCACGGTTTCCTTTCAAAGTGACTGTCATGGCACCCAGGGTGTCATATAATAGGCCCGTATCCGGGCCTCCAAGCCTCCCTGCCTACTATATTACTAGGTATATAGCAGATTTCTCGTAGCCGGCCTTTGGCCTTCAGATCCTACTGAATCCCATCACTTACCTGTACTACTCTACCGCAGGGTGCAGGAAGGGGAGCTTAAGGAGGAGTGGTACACCCGGTGGATTCCATTCAGCTCACGGTCCAGCCAGACGGGACGACAGAGCCGTCCGGTAGACTCGAGAAAGGGAACGGGGATGCCGACTGGGATCAGGAGGTTTAGGTCCAGGCGTGCTTCGGTATGTACAATGTGCTGCTTTCGAGAAGGAAGGAGGATGGGTTTTCGGACAGTGCCATTATCAGCCTCGGCGATGACACAAGGCGCTCCGAGTGTACGTCTACTGGGACTAGTGGTTCGTTGAAGTAGTTCCCGGGGAATCTTGAAAGTCGATGGAGATGCAGCAGTAAAGCCGGAAGGGCGAATACGTCTAGTGTTGGGCCTTCGGACCTTCATTTGCACGTGCTGCTTACAGGAAAGCCAAAGGGAGAGTGTATGTCAACACAATTAACTTGTCCAAAACAGTCGAAGGAGCATCTCTATTGGCCATACCGCTAGTAACTACACCTACCCCAATCCGGAAGATCCAACAAAAACCTCTCATTCAGAAAAACGGAACCATGGATGAGCCACCACCTCCTCGGCAGTCAGTCGCTTGTCTGGATCGTAGATGAAAATCTTGGACAGCAGGTCGAATAGCAGATCGGCCTCGCGCTCGGGGATCTTGGGGAATGCCTCGAGCATCTTTTCGGTCTCGCCTCCCGACGAATAGGCGACGGAGTAATTTCCAGCGACGCAGATGGCCGTCGGCTTCCAGACCATGGAGCGCAGGGGTGGCGGGTAGGGCTCCCTGAGCGGGTGCCACTCGGGCATGATCGGAGACGGCGGGTTCACGTCGGCGGGGTCCACGAGCCTGCCGTCTGCGCTGATGAACAGGCTGGCCGGTTCGTCAACGATGCCCCGCACGTGGCCCTCGAGGGGTCGCGCGGTGTCCGGGGGCAGGTAGGGGTCGCCGGGCTCGTCGTCCTCGGCGAGGAAGCCGTCGTAGTTGAACCTCGTCTGCGCCCAGTCCTCGGGGAGCTCCCCTATGACCTCGGCAATCACCGTGAGGGCGTCGGCAGGGCAGTTGGTATCCCAGTCATAGAAGATGTCGTCGCCCTTGCGGAGGCGGAAGATGGCACAGCCAAGGGCCCAGATATCCGAGGCCGGGCTCAAGGGCCGCCCGACGCAGGCCTCGGGCGCCAGATACTTGAGCGGTGTGCCGGGCCACGATCCCTGCGCGGGGCCAGACGCAGTGGCGAACGACTGGTCAAAGTCGATGATGCAAACCTCGCCGGTGAACAAGTTTACGGTAGCGGGGGCACGGAGGTCCAGCGGGGCGACCACGTACTTCGGCGCGTGGGGTTCCGGCGGCTCCCCGAGAGGGTTCCAAGAGAGTCCGTCTTGGGAGCACCAAGAAGTCTGAGAATCTCAGCTTCGCTGTAAGAGGCAAAATCCTCGGCAAGCCGCAGCACCAAGTTGCTCGGCGTCAGGTCTGGGATTTGTAGTCAGCCGCTGTTGCCCTTTCAATTTTCTGTGTTTGTCCTTGGAGGCAGAGAGGTGACGACATACCACCGTGACAAAGGCCGAGTGAATGAAGCAGCGCGAGCCCTTGTGCTACCTGCAGAGAGACCTGGCGGGCAAACTCAGAGTTGAGCCTTGCGTAGAGGCCTTGGGAGAGCCTGGACAGGTCCAGGCCCAGGACTGGGAAAACGAGACAGAGGTGTCGGCCGTTGGGCCCTTGCAGCCAGAAGCGTCGCTCAGGCACGGCAAAGAGGCGGGCATTGGCGAGATGTGCATGGTTCATGGCGACAGAGCGGGCCTCGTAGCCGGGTGACTCCTCAGCCTTCACCATCTTTAGGGTAACCCAGCGCTGGTCGGCATTGTCTCGGGCGAGCCAGACAGTGGAGAAGCCACCCCAACAGAGCTTGTGGACGATTCTGTACCGACCATCATCGTACTCTTCGCCGAGATGGACAGGATGATAGCCACCGATCTCGTATCTCTCTGGGTTCTCGCAGTGTTCGAAGCTAACCGGGGCGAAGCGCGGCGCCCTCCTCTAGGGTTTGGGTTTGGGTTCGAATTCCGCCATGGGGAGGAAAAGGGAGAAAAAAAAAAGGGCAAGGATTGCGTTGGACAGTGCAGCTGGTTGGAACAGTCGAGGAGATCAATGGCAGGCCCAGCCGCTCTTTTATTTTTCGTCGTCTTCTTCCAAAGTCCGGAACGTGCATGGTGTTTGGGGCGGCGTCGTGGTTCTGTCGCGCGTGTATATGGTCCAACTAGGATTGGGAATTTGAAGCTGGAACTTACAGAGCGACCAAAAGGGGCCCGAGGTGACTCCTCCAGGCTTCAGCGGCAACAACCCCACATGAAAGCATCCGTCTGGTGGGGCTCTGGCGGCAAACACCAGACCAACATGAACATGCCCGGAACGCCCAAAATGGGGCGATCCGTCACAGCCCGATTTGGCCAGCGCTAGCGGTGCATCCAACCAATGACTGTGCGTGCACAGCCGCCATCGATGTCTGTTGGCCCAGCCTGGGAACCTCCCACGCCTCACCCGTTTTTCGACCATGCGTCACACCGGACATCCCGCCAACCTCTGTGGATCACACTCCCTCCTCTTCAACATGCGCCTTCAGTTTACAGACAAGGCCACTAGATACAGGGAAGGTGCTTCTAACCACCTCGAGGTGGCCCGGCTAACATTTGGGATGATGCGCGCGCTTGCGCAAATGTACCCGTGGTCTTGGATGTTCTCCTCTTTCACACCTTCAAGCCCCGGCGTATTGGGATGCAGTTCGATGGACTGGGCAGATTGCGCAGATGCGCTACGTTTGATCTTGGAGGAGTTCTGTAGTCGGATGCAGATGCGCATATTTGCTGTCGGGGTAAGATATTAGGGAAAGGGGTTGCACGGTTATGTTTTGCTCTTTCAACGGACCTCTGTCTGTAGCACCCGGTTCCGCCAGACGAAATTATTTGTATACTACCTACCTAGGTACCTATTATTTCAACGGCGCGAGAGCCAATTGCGGCCCAGGCGGCATCCCAAAGCCCGAATTAGTATGTGACCACCATGTGTTCCCTTCCGTTTTGTGACGTCTCAACTCCATCAACTGTGCCAAACGCCGAGAATGCAGCTCGCACGGCTTCGGCGCCCGGTCCGAGCATATGGGATAATGGCAGATGCGCGGTCGCTGAGCTGAAGCTTATGTAGTCCGTGGAAACAACAAGTGCGTGTAGGGTGTGGCCCAGCGTACGACCCGAGGCAAAGGGGGCAGAGGCTCCTGTTTTTTTTTTGAAAGCCAACGCCTCCCTTTCTGGATGCTCAGGATCACAATTCCTGGTTAGGGAGGGCGCCTCCGAAGACATCCGTGGTGCTCTGAACATAAAGCCCGCTGGTAGCCTACATCCGTTCAAAGGAAAGCCCCCTAGTCTGTCTTCAGGTCCAGAACCTCACGCAACACCCAACACATCGTCGCTGATGCTGGCCTTCCCCAGTGCTTTGAGGAGCTCTCGTTCCATCATTTCTGTGGGGCCGCGAGGCTGCGGCCACATGGCAGGGTCTTGAATGGCAAGCCTCCGCAGATCTTGTCTGTTGACTAGGGCGTACCGCGGTAGAAGACTCTCCGTTGCTGCAAGAGGCAGTCCGGCTCTCTGCATCTCGTTCACCACGGCGTCGGCGCACTCCGCCCGGACACTTTCCTTGGCGTCAGCGTCGCTGATGGTATCATCCGAGTCCTGGATTTTGTTGTTTATGAGTGTGTCCATTTGACCGCGGATTATGGTGAACATTTGTCCCTGTATAACACATGATCGAATAATCTCTGCGTCGGTCTATAGAAATGTCTGTTATTAGACTGCGAGTAAAAAAAGGTGGTAGACGGAGTAGTTAAGGAACCCTTGATGGAGTGTAAAAGAGGGATGGATGTAAAGATTACCGTGCAAAAAGGAGCGTGTTTGCTTGTGTGCCCTGGTTAGAAAATGTAAATTCATATGCTCACCTCGCCGAAGCGCGCCCCCTGGACGACGAAGACATGGTCGAAAAGGTACAGCTTCATTCTGCGGTAGTACTCGATAGCCGTTACTCGAACGGTGCCCGATCCCGGAAGGTCGTGGAGGAAGATCCCCTCCAGGGTGCTTCCCTGGATTGACGGATGTGTCGCGTACTTTGCCCGGGCCGTCGTCGTCTCGGCATTCCCGGTCGCAGCGGCGCCGGGAGCCGTAGGGGTCAGGCCCCGCAGTGCGTTGACGATTGACGACTTACCGCTCCCGGCGACGCCGCAGACCGCGATGTGCGTGGCGCCTAGCTCGAAGTCGAGGCCCTGCCGCTCCTCGGCGATGCGCTCGTGGCTGACGCGAGTGGACTCGGGGTTGTTGGCGATGCCGGGAGCGCTTGCGAGCGCGGCGGCGGCGGCGCGGCGAGAAGACGTGACCCAATCCCGCAGAGGGCCGGCAGCGAGGGCCGCGACATTCAGCGCTATGGAACCTACGACGTAGATGCCGGCAGCGACAGGGGGGGCGGCCGCGGCCAAGACCGCAGGTGTGATCGGGATTTTGAGGAGGGCAGCGCCTAGAAGGGCGGGGACGACGATTAAAGCGCCCGAATAGTGGTCGTAACGGGCACCGACAATAAACGTAGGAGGTCCTCGGCTCATGGTGTCGCGAGATAGGCTGGGTGTTTGGTATTCGACTTGGTTGGTATGACCCGTTGGCGTGCCTGCCCGTTCAACAGGGGAAGAAGGGTCGGGTGCTGGGGATCATTATTCTATATACTTCAAGCAGGCCAAGTGACGATACCGATCATTCGTGGATGCCCAAGTGTAAACTGTCCTGGTGCATGGTGCCCAATAAGTATCGATTGTCCAATGAAGCACGTCCAACGCGAATACATTTGAGGTGCTCAGCCTTACTAAAGCTACTTGGAGGTACTCAGCCTGGCCAGGTCTGCGCTCGAAGATTACCGGCAGACTAACCGCAACGGCATCGATAGTATGCAGTAGAGGAGCGGGGTACAGGTCTTGAGTATGTACCCCCGTCCGAATAAGGGTACATCTACTTGTGCGGGTTCAAATCACCGCCCACGAACGAGGTAGTTGGCCCTCTGACGATTACACGTCAGTTGGGTCTATCCCGGTCTCCATTAACATCCTGACTGTATGCTGTATCATACCTCCCTCGTCGTCGCTGTCAATCGCATGGCCGTTGGGCCCAGACGAGAAGGCCTCTTGAGGTACCCAAGCAGCAGTTGCGCTATTATCCCTTCCTTATTGTGCGGCTCATCGAGCACATTCGGTTGCAATAAGGGAGCCGATTGCTACAAGGGGATCGATTCGCCGGAGCAGTCGATTTCTCTTCCATTTCCACCGCAGGTTTTGTTTTGGATGGGTGTTTGAGCTCTCTCACGATCGATGTGGAAATAGGGCGCTTGCCCTATTTGTGAGCTCCCTATTCCAGCTAGAGCGTCCTTGCTAATTCTTCTTCTTATAAGTCATGGCATGCGCTGCCCATGACTCGAGAGGTGTGGTTACGGGCGTAGATAGTGATGGGACGGTGACTGCGCTCTGCTGTACTCTTGCGGCGGAGGCTATTGATGCTTCTGCGCTAGAGCTGCTTGCAGCTGCGCCGCCTCAAACGCATCCCACTTGGCCGCCTCTCGCGGGAGCAGCATGCCGGGAAAGAAGACGGGCAGCGAGCTCCCGCCCGCCCGCGGGTACTTGGCCTCGAGGTCGAGTTGTGCGTCCATGGCCGTCATCTCACCGACGACGCCGCGGAACTCGACGTGGACGCCCAGCGCGCCGGGGCCCCGGCGCCAGCCGACGACGACGACGTTCTGCAGGATCCCGACCCCGCCCACAGCGAGCAGGTAGGGCGTGTTTGCGCGCACGCCGGGGGCCGTCACGAGTAGCGCCACCCACAGCAGCGCCGCGGCAGCCAGGTCCCCGATGTTGAGGCCTCGGCCGGGCCCATCCAGCTGTCATAGTCGCGGAGCATGCGGCTAAGGATCCAGCTGGTGCTGGGTCGCATATAGCCGTTCTTGGCCGTCACGACTAGCACGTTGCCGTCGCTGGCGGGTGGCATCAGCTTTGTGTCGCCCACGCTCGCCAGCAGCATGCTAACCGCGTATGACACCCATTCTAAAGGACACGAGAAAGGCCTGCATTGGGTTAGGAGCCAGATACCGTATATGCTTGGACGGAAACGTGGAGCAGAGACTAGAAAATACCAAAGAAGAAACTGACAGGCGTTAGGATACCGCCAGCGAGCTGCGCAAGGGCTTTATTGACAATGTCCCCGCCCAGAAGTAGGAGAATGCTAAAGACATCCGCTGGTTGGCTCCACCGCCGCCGGAAGGCGTCTTCGTGGTGGATGGTGCCAGCCAAGTTTTCTCGAGGCTGCATATGAGGGCTGAAGAAGCATCTTGGCGCTTTGAAGGAAGCGCGAACATGATAAAAAAGGTCGCAAAAACCGAGAGTAGTGTTTGACACGCCGACTATACTGACCGCTGACGATGCGTCTGCAGAGCCTTGCACTAACCGGGCGAAGCCGGTGTGGTTACACGGCAGGTTAGCCCGCCCAACACACAAGTTGAAATCCAACATGCACTAATACCCGAGGCAGCCGCCTGTTCCACGATTATGCAGGCCTACTATTTAGCCCACTTCCCCCACGGCTGAGCTCAGAATCATTGTCCGGTCTCTAGTTATCCAAGCTCCTGAGCGACATACCAGTCAGCTCGCAGAACGGCCCACACCTAGATATATTTTATATCACATGTTCCATCTCCTGCGCAACACTATGGAGCACCTTTTCATCGAGTACGATAGTTCTGTTCCAAGTACTAGAGTCATAAGCGCTTACCACGCAAAGCTGCTCGAGGCGGACTGGGACTCGACTGATGGTCCGACCGATTTTGAGCCTCCCAAGACCCCCTGGCTAGGCTTCCCCCATGATGATGCTACTCAGTGTCCTTTCGCCGACTATCCCTCGGCAGCCGGCTTCGACGCCGCTAGAATCTGGGAAGGGAGCCTGTCTCAATCCAGCAGCCAGCTCAATGGTCTCCCCGGGGCTGAGGTTGGCAGACGAGTCGCGGCACTGTTGCAGCCCTGGCTGTTCTTCGGGCTCATCGAAGCGGTAGTGGGCAAAAAGGTTGATGTTTCTTACCTGGTCCGCAAAGACGTAGATGGAGTTGCCCATATATACACCCGCAACCTCCATTTCTGCCTACAAGCGAGGGTTTATGGGATCCGACAGCAGGAGTACAGCGACCGCGCCGAGACGAATACGAGAATACAGCTCGAAACGCAACTAGTAAACAAGTGGATATCCAGGACGTCGCTCTAGAGCCACATCAACTTCAGGGACAAGCTCGAAGGGCCGTACCCAGGGTTCCTCGCCCTGCTCGAGCGCCTCGCGCCAGCTATCGTGCGCCTGGCCGAAGCAGTCGAACAGACGAGACTCCACGTCCTACTCGACTTCCCCTACAGGGGCACCCTGGGGTGGCTCTACCCCTGGGGCGCCATCGGGAAGCGCCAGTCGTCACTGCGCGTGATGGATTGGTGCGACTTCCAGATCCGCCTGATGGAAGACACTCTATCCCAGCCCGCCATCGACTGAATCGCCGCCATTAGGCCCAAGCTCGCGCCGGGAGGCGCTGGCGCTAGGCACGAAACCTGCACTCGCGATGCCTGCGCGCGTAACAACATCGACGAGGCGACGTACGTCCAGGCACACTGTTGTAGCGAGCCGGCGCTCTGCACCAAGCTCACGCTGGACCTCGAAGCCGTCAAGGGGGCCTGGGGGTCGGATCAGATTCCGATCGCCTCCCTCCAACACAAGAGCAACCTTGCCGACGACGAACTCATTCTCGTCGTCAGCTCGAGCGCCCTGCAGTCTCCTGGGAGCTACGTTGCCGCCTCTCACGTCTGGGCTGACGGGCTGGGCGGCGCCACGGAGAAAGGGTTGAACTTCTGCCAGGCCCAAAGGCTCGATCGACTCTGCCGGGCCGTCTGCGAGGCCACAGGAAGCAGCAGTAGTGGCGGCATTGCTGCAGAAGACCCTGTGTGGTTCTGGCTCGACGCGGCATGCATCCCGCGGCCCGAGACGATCGGGAGAGAGCTGTACTATAAGGCCCTCGACGGCATAAGGCACGTCTACAGCAACGCCCAGGCCGTCATCGTGGTCGACGAGACGGTCGGCAGGAGCACGACCTCGACCCCCACCGAGCTGCTCTACGCACGCATCTACCTCTCGTCGTGGATGCAGCGCATGTGGGCGTACGAGGAGGCTGTGCTCGCGCGCGAGCTCGTCTTCGCCCTCGGCGACGGCGGCCTCTTCGTCTTCAGGGTCCAGTCGACGCCGCCCGCCTCGCCCATGACCGCCGCGGTCGTGTGGCGGAGCCTCGGCGCCCAGGTGCACCGACCCCGCGTCGGGGGCCTAGGAGGCGGCGCCCAGCTCGACGTGGGCCACGTCGCGCGCGCGTTCCGCTTCCGCCTCACCAACGTGCCGGGAGAGGAGTTCCTCTCCGTCTCGGGCATGCTCGGCCTCGACACGCGGCGGCTGATGAGGGCGTCACCAGGGACGACGCGCGGGCCCGCGAGTTCTGGCTGATGCTGGGGGACCGCGTGCCGGCCAACACCCTCTTCGTCGACGCGCCCCGGCTCGCCACTGCCGCGCCGCCCGGCTTCCGATGGGCGCCCCGCACCCTGATGCACCCGTCCGCGGCCGGTCCCAAGATCGGCTCCTCCGTGGCGGCGCCCGACAGCAGGGCCACCGAGGCCGGGCTCGTGGGCACGTACGTGACCATCAGCCTGGACCGCGTGTTGGCCGGGAGCTGCCGGCGTGGCGCCTCCCAGCGCGCCATCTTCTACGTCTGGACCTCGGGCAGCGACGGCACCGTATCGCCGCCCGAGGGGCACCTGTGCCTGCTGAGGGTCTGCTGCGACTGGCACTGGCCGGAGCCCCCGGGGAGCGGCAGCTTCGACGCGATACTCCTCCCTGGGGAAATCATGCCGATTTTTTCCACCGGACAGTGGGTCGCGGGTGCCGCCGCGAGATTGGCCACCCGACCACCTGCCGAGGTCGAGCCCAGCATCTCGACAGTGCCCGCCGAGGAGGTCCAGGCCGTTTTTGAGTACTCCGGGCGGGTCATCGTCGAGCGGATCCGGAACGAGGAGATGAACACCAAACTAGGCACCGTGATGTTTGTGGGGAAAGACAAGACCGTAATAGATGGCTGCTGGCATGTGGGGTTTAGCAAAAATACTCGTTACCTAAGCCACTCAGGGGAGGGAAAGCAAACAGGCACACAATCAGAAGGCTTACAACATCCACTAGGTACCCATATATCTACTTTCTCCCCTATTTTCTTCATGATATTAATACAGCGACTGCGTGAAACCATCGCCGATACCTCGGGGACCTCTAGCAAGCACATGTCCGGCTTACTACAAGTAGCCTTCTCATTAAAATCACCATATAGATGTCATCAGTCCATTAGGGAAATGTTATCAAAGTACTCGTACTCGAGCCTAGCCCATTATTCATACCCGCCAACTCCCCAATCTATTACGACACCATATATGCCTGATGCCTGCCTAGGCATGCCAGAGCAATTTTGAAAAATAGGGACTCTGAGGGTCTGTTTTCGGACGCCTCTGCCCCTTTGTTCCTTCCCGGCCAAGCATTCCTGTCCCGTCCAAGGACCCGCACTTGTGTTCCACGAACCGATATCATAGATGATAGCTGCAACCCAACACTCAACAGACGCCCTCCGACCCAAGCTTCACTCCAACGACCGCAACATCTGATTGTAGGTTTGCTTTCAGTGGAGCCACGCCAAAAAAAAAAGGGACACCTCCAAACGCCACTTGATCATTGAGCCGCGTTTGCACCCTTCAGCCTATAAAGTCCACCACAAACCGCCTCCTCGGACCAAGCGATTACCACCGCCTTTCCCTACAACGCCTTCGTGCGAGACCGCGACCACCCCTCCCTCCCTCCATTTTCATTTCTTGCTCGTCATCACTACTATCAAGCGCACTTCACCCAACCGAGACAATGAGCGACAATTCGGAAGGTGAGGGGCAAGACGCCTTGAGCCAAGACATCTCGTGGGAGCTTGGCAGGTTCATCGCGAGCAAATCTTCCACCTTCGCCTGCGGCGGCGCCATTCCCATTGTGGATCCTGTCCTGGATCCTCTCCAGAAGGAAACCGTCGATACCACCGGGAGCCCCAGCAAACGCCGTCGCAAGGATGATACACTATCCACTGCGCCCATCAGCATCCGCTGGGACTCTCCCCAGGGAAACGAGGCTGTCGGTGTCGCCAAAGTCACTTTCCCCGTCACTGAACCGGATGGAGAAGCCAGCTTCACCAAGCTAGCTCAGGACAGCCAGCCCGCGGGCTTTGGGTACCAGGGCAAGAACGTTCTCGACGAGAGCTACCGCAAGGCTGCCAAGATGGATCGCTCTGACTTCTCGTCCGATTTCTGCCCCTACGAGCTCGGCATCATCGACACCATTGCTCAAGTTCTGCTGCCGAACACGAGGGACGGGATTTCGACGAAGGGTGTGCGGGCGGAGTTGTATAAACTCAACGTGAGTCCTTTTTTTCTTCTCCCTACAGAAATCCGGAAAGAATATCAACACTGACCGCATCCAAACATAGATATACTCCTCCCCGTCCGGCTTCTTCAAATCGCACGTCGACACCCCCCGCTCCGAGGCCCAGTTTGGCTCTCTCGTCGTCTGCCTCCCCTACAAACACGAGGGAGGACAGCTGATCGTGCGCCACACCAAACACGCCATCACGTACGACTGGAGCACCTCCAAGGCCGGGGCCGACGCCGTTCACTGGGCCGCCTTCTACAGCGACTGCGAGCACGAAGTCAGGGAGCTGACCCAGGGCCACCGCGTCACCCTGACCTACAACCTGTACTACGCCCCGGGCGTGGGCGACCTCGCCGAGCACGCCCCGGCCATGCAGGTCCAGACCCTGCCCCTGTACGACAAGGTGCAGGGCGCGCTGGCCGAGCCCTCCTTCATGAACGACGGCGGCCTTCTGGGCGTCTACCTCACGCACGCCTACGCGCACAGCACGCGCGCGGGCCGCAAGGCCCTACCGTCGGTGCTCAAGGGCGCCGACATGGCCGTGTACGCCGTGTTCCGCGCCCACGGGCTGAAGGTGTGGATCCGCCCCGTATTGCCGCGGGACAGCACCGTCGATGAGTACGGCTACGAACCCCACGGCGACGAGGAGTTCAACACACGCGTCGGGGTCCACCTGGGCGAGCTAATCGTGACCGACCAGGGCGGGTACGACGGCGTGGATGCGGAGGACATCTGGGACGAATGGAGCCACGATCGGGTGGACGTGAACTGGCTGACGGGCCCCGGGCCGGCCGAGTTGGAGGAGGCGACTTTTATGCATTTGACTGTGAGTAACCCATCCACCCCCTTTAGTTTTATACGACCCATCGCCGGGCACTAACTTGCTTATAGTACGGCAACGAAGCTAGCATCGACACGGTGTATATGCATGCTGCGCTGTTGGTTGAGGTTCCCGCCGCAAGCGAGCGCACGCAAGTTGCGGAGCGTGGTTAACTGGAGGATGGTACAGGCACAGGAGACGACGAGGGTACCGTCATGTGCGTCCCTGCGGTGTCGGGCTATCCATCTCAGTGCCAGCCACGGTTCCTCGGGCCAGCACACAACCTATGCGCTGAGCTGGAGCTGTCTATCAAAACAAACAGCCTTGGTCGTCATGCATCGGGTCGGGAATGCGCTGTGCATCTAATGTTTTCTAATCAATTTGGACGGAACCGAGGGAAACGGGTTTAGGGCTGGCTGGCCGAGTATCAACAGCAGTGGGTGTCAATTTCCATCATGGGAGGGTTGCCGGCGGAAAGATCCTTCTCATGTTCTTGGCTACCTAGGTACCTAGGTTGGTTGGCCGTGTATACTCGCGCTTTCAGTGAATGTGGCCAAACTTCACACCCCTCTCAGAACTGTTGAGCACTTGAGCTAGTCGGTGTTAGGGAGTCTAACTTCAGTTGACTAGCATTTTGCCGCAACGTTTGGATGTTCATGTCCGGTGTACTTCCTAATTCGCACATACGCACATTTCGCGCTGTGATCTGCGATCAACACCATGTGACAGGCGGATTAGCAGCAACTTTTACACCCAAACCTGCTTGCGGCTTCAGCACACTACAACGCTTTTCGATGGACGAGGCACCTACCAATGTTCCAAGAACGATTTGAAACGGTGATTCCACTCTTGTGCTCTAGTGATTGTCCTAGGTTGGTAGAAAAGGAGAACAACGGAGAAAATGACCAAGATGTCATGAAGGCGAAACCGGCCAAAATGCAAACAAGCGGCATACCCAGAGGTGTATTTTCCAGCCGACGGAAGGGGACAAAAAGAGATGAATGGGCATTTCAGCCCACGTTCGCTTGCCAGGACCTTAACCCAGAAATGACCCGTGTATCGAAGAACAAATGCGTCAAAAAAAGTCATAACATCCCAAGAGGCAACTCAGTCCTCCTCACTAACGTCGCTCTCCATATCCTCGCCTAGCGCGTTCTCGAGCTCGGCCTCGAGGTCGGCCGCGAGATCGTCGTCGTCGCCCTCGCCCTCGCTGTCGGCGGCGGCGGCGGCGGCGGCGTTGTAGCCCTGGCCGCCGGCGATCTGGTCGTAGGCGTCGGGCACGTCGTCGTCCGGGTCCGCCTCGGCGTCGGCGTCCTCGTCCTCATCGCCGTGGTTCTGGATGAAGTCCTCGAACCGCCGGATCTGGGGCGGGAAGGCGGGCGAGAAGTGCGACGACTCCGGGCGCGGGCGCTGGTTCGGCGCCATGCCCTCGGGGTACTCGACAAGCAGGCCTCCGTCATCGTCCGACTCCTCCTCGTCCGAGTCAGAGTCCATGTCCTTGGCCTTCTTTTTGCTGGCCGCTGGCGGGTTTGCAGGCTTGGGAGGAGCTTTGGGTAGCGGTATTGCCGCTGCGGCTTCGACCTCGGCAGCCACCGCCGCAGCAGCAGCGGCGGCGGCGGTGGCCTTCTTCTGGGTGGCAGCTACCTTCTTCGCGGCGGCGGCCTCCTTTTTCTTTTGTGCGGGCGTGGGCCCGTCCGCCTTCTTCTTGGCCGCCGCCCTCTTGGCAGCGGCGCCCTTGGGGACTGAAGCTGGCGCGGTGGCGGCGCCGGCTTTTCGCTCTAGGTGAGGGGGCACGCCGTGGCCGGAAAGGTAGGGATGTTGTTCCCTTAGGGCAACGGCGTCGTCGTTGTCCGGGGTTGCGACCAGGTTCACGTTGAAGAGGGAGTCTAGACGGTGTAGGACGAAGGCCCGGCGGTTGGGGTCGAAGATCAGCACGAATTGGCGATCATCGATGGCGCGTGTGCCATTGTAGCTGTATTTGGTGCCGTCGGCCTCGCGGAAGGCTAGATCGAAGGTCCCACTGCCGGGCGTCGAGTTTTTTATCCGGGCATTGCTGGGAGGCGCGTCTCCTGGTCTGTGATTGTCTATTCGTAGGGGTCGTACATGTCAGCATGTTTGGCTAGGGGAAGGCGCAAAGCTGGAGGGGGAAGGAGGGAGCACATACATCTCACTCCAGTGTATACTTCTTTGGGCGGGCGACCCAACAGCGCGTCGCTCAGAATTACCGGGAACTTCTCGGGCTTCGTAGGATCTATCAGGTCCGCCGAAGCGGTCGAGGCGGCAGACATGGTGGCAGCGGTTGGTCGGGAGGCGGAGCGGATGGTTCGGGGCTACTCCGACACCCCTTGCGGATAGTAGGGCGGCAAGGGGGATAGAGGAGGCAATGACATGGAACTTGCGGTTTCAAACGGGAACGGGGGCGAGGGAGGGCGCCGAATAATGTGGTGGAGAGGACAAAGAAGTCGGGAAAAGCGTTTGGGGGCTAAAGGCGTACGAAGGTTGGACGTTGACGCAGACTCTCGGGAGGGTGTGGCTTGTGCGCCTTTGCCTTTGCTGACGGAGAAACAAAGGCCGGGCAACCTGTCCTGGATGGTCAGCCACAAGGAGAAGATGGGCTGGACGTGCTAGGTAAACTGAATGGGCCAGAGTGACTAGGATGGGACGGAGGGATGGCTCAATTGAGAGGGAGCATTCGTCTGGGTTGCAGCGACGGAGAGCAAGCATCAGCGACGGCATGCGCGCCGCGCAACACCAGTTGAGCACACTCGACCGAATCACTTCCAGTAAACTGCGCGCGGCATTGGCTAGTGCTGCTAGGGACTGTTGTTGGGTGCGCGCGTGCGTGCTCAGACTCCCGCCCCGACCGGCCGGCCAGAACCGGTTAGGTGCAGTCTCAACCGCTCACTGGTGTTGCAACAGTCGACGGCCAAGGGCGGGGTCCAAAGAGCGGAGCTGGCGCCAGGGGCTTGCGGCGACAGCCGAGGCGAACGGCGGCTCAGGGAGCCACTGGAGCCGCCTCTCTGGTCAGCTCTGATGTGGGCACTGGGGCTCCGTTATGCCAGGTTCCCCCAGCCAGAAAGCAGAAAGACTGGGACGGCCTGAGCTCCACGTGAACAAGCTGTTCCACTCGTGTTGATCACTGGCATCGGCAAACCACCAACGCAGCTGCAAATACTCTTATCAGGACTCTGGGCTGACGTGATCAAGCCTGTCCGTTGGCTGAGTTCTAATCACACGTGTCACACCATATTTGATCATGGTTTGCCGCGTTGACTGTTTTCTCTGATCAACCCGACGTTTCTAGGTCCCTACCACCTGCTAGGACGTTGCATGAGGGCTCATGTGAGTACGAGGCTTTCATTTCACAGTCGCGGTGGACTCCAAATTGGAAACCGCAAAGCTTACGAACATTGGCAGAACACGAGCTGTCGCTCATGTGGATCACTCGGGATTTCTCCACCAAATTATGACCCCGTCGACAAGTCTGCCGTCGAGCAAAAATAAGGAAAGAAAAGGTCGCATAATGAAACGTAAATGGATATTCAGTCAGCATGGGCCGTGAAGCCATGTTCAGCTCAAATCACCCTGCATATCGGCAATAATGTCCATAAAGAGCGTTGGCAAGGGAAAGGGGGCATTGGACATGATGCCCTGGACCTCGAGATGGACGGCATTTTGCTTTGCGTGTGGCGCAGGCCGGGCTGAGAATGCCTCCCTTTAGCTTCCCAAGACGGCCGGCCAGCTGAAGCCAACGGCCCGTCACACCAACACACTCCCTCCTCCCTCCAACCGCGGTGTTATCCGATGTTCCCCACGAGTTGCCTTTGGGATGGGCCCGGCTGCTTTTTGCTGCAAACAGGCCATTGTTCTTTCCGTTTCCCCGCCCTCTCCCACCTGCAGTCTTTGCTTTTCGGCAGGGTTCTTTTCCATGCAGCCGTCAGCCACCCGCAGCATTATCGCCCCTGGAATTCTGCCAAACTGCGACCCTGCAGTGTCGTTGGTGGTGTTGCAGTTTAGGGTGCAACCGAGCTGCTCCGTCTCCCAACAGGAAGATAAAGGCATTGGACGCAGAAGGTTGCTTGTGTGCCCTTTTGCACGACAGGTGGACAGGTGGACAGCCGAGAAGCTAAGACAGATGTGTCTTTGATGGGTCGAGCGGTTCATCGTGCGTCGTGCATCGTGCATCGCAATATTGGGACGAGTGCCGGCTGGGGGTAGCGACGGCGACCGTCGGCGACCGGCCGCAGCAAAGCAGAGCACCGCAAAAACACAGCAAGACACAGAACAGGTGCCAGCAGTCTTGGGATTTGTCGACGGACGGACCCACCACGACATCCGACCAACAGCACTCAATGTGCTCTTTTGCGTGCTCTTCTGTGTGCTGGCAGGGCTCCGACGGGGAACCCGTCAATTCCCACGACACGACAAAGAGCCTGGCGGTCAAGTCCAAGGCTGCAAGCTTCCTGCACTGCAATGCATGGGTCGGCACCCGCTTGCAGCTGCTGGGGTCAATTTATGTTGCTAAAGTCCCAATCCGGCAAGTAGTAGCGACCAGGGCCCGGGCAGCTGCATTCTAGCCCTCCCGTATAAGCCATAACGAGCTTTGAGGTGGATGCTACCCCCAGCCTACCTGCCCGCGTCGACGCTGTCAATTCGACGCTGTCGATGATGGATCGACTGAACGCTGGCCGGGTCGCTTCTCCACCCCGTCGTGCAGAAGGCGCGCCCGCGAGATGCAAGGCAGGAGTTTCCGTATTTCCCCTATTTTCTGCCGTCTTGCTTTTTCCTGACTATAACAGTGCGGACTGTCCCCCACACCCGCCCCAGCCTGCCTGGCTGGCCAGCTGGGAGGACAAGCCAGTGCGTCCATCGTCGGCCACGGCCGTTTTCATGCTTGCTGCCGCTTTCGTTTTGATTCTTGCTTGTTCCACAACCTCTGCCATATCTGGCTGGAATCCGACCGACACCAACAGTCCGGCATCGTTCACCGTTCAATGTCGTTCCACGACGTCGTGTCTCGTCCCCATCGCTGAGATCCTGCCTGTGTCGCGGGGGAGTCGAGACACCAAGGCGACGAAACCAGCTGTCGCCATTGACGGAAACGAAACGAGCCAACTTTCCACCGCCCTAAACTGGTCTGGTCGTTGCCCGCATCCCTCGAACTCGACATCCAGTGGTGGCCTTGTCAACCGTTGACGTAGGGCTCGCTCCCCTTTGAATAGGGGCTTCTACGCACGCACACAGTACGACCAAGCCGAAGCCACAGACGGTCCGACCATTCACCAGCTCCTTTTCCCGCCCCATTTGGCCGTGTCAAACGCTGTCCAAGTGTTGTGTGTACCGTGTGATTTTCCCTACTGCGACTTGTCACCCAACCTTCATCTCGGCCAAGCCCGGCATCCGAGGAACTTTGCGTCCAACAGCTAGTGTCTCCTGAGAACGACCAGGTCCCGGGCTCTGCTCCCAGGAGAGTTAGCCTTCGAAAGCTTGGTCTCCCCTCACATCGACGTGTTCCTTTCTGTACCCGTCGCTCTTCATTCACTGCTGCTCGACATCGGCATCTCCCTTGAGCCTATTGTCCCTTTCTTGCCCCTGGCCGCAAGGATTGCCGCTACGCCATCGATTCCCTGAGCCGCTCGGCCGATCCTCACTCGCAATGTGGGGTGGGCGGAGAAGTTGTTGCTGCTTGGCAGCCTCGCTTCTTGGCCTTGCTGGCGCCTACAAGCTTGACCCGAACTCCACAGGTGAGCCTTGCTCTCGGCGCGGCTGCGTGAGCGCACTAGGCGCAGGCCCCTTATGCAGGGACTTGACGTCGGAGAAGCTTACAGCTTACCCATCCACATCAAAATCCCACCAGACTCGATAAAAAGTGTCTCGAGGTCAATAACAGACGACTTGATCAACACATTCTACACTGGCCACCGGCCTGGAAACACACCAGGCACCCTCCCACCCCCGTATTACTGTAAGCCATGATCTATGGGTGCCCTCGTTCCAACGCAGTAGCGAGCATTGTCGCCGACACCGTTCTGACAAATAACAAACTCATTCAGGGTGGGAGGGCGGCGCCTTGATGGGCGCCTTGATTGACTATTGGTACTACACTGGCGACACCAAGTTCAATGATCTCACATCCCAGGGCCTGCTCGCGCAGGTCGGCGAGTTCAACGACTACATGCCCAAGGCGCAGATCATGAACGAAGGCAACGACGATCAGGGGTTTTGGGGGGTCGCTGTCATGGCGGCGGCCGAATACAAATTTCCAGACCCTCCCAAAGACAAGCCTCAGTGGCTGGCGCTGGCACAGGCCGTGTTCAACACGCAGGCGTCCCGATGGGACAACCAGCACTGCGGCGGTGGGCTTCGGTGGCAGATCTTCCAGTGGAACAACGGCTACGACTACAAGAACACGATATCACAAGCGTGCTTCTTCAACATCGCCGCGCGGCTCGCGCTCTACACTGGTAACAACACTTATGCGGAATGGGCCGACAGGGTGTGGGACTGGACCTATGCCGTGGGCTTCATCGACGAACAAAGGTACTGGATCTACGACGGCGCCCACATACCCAACAACTGCACCAACATTGTACCATATGTGTGGTCCTACAACTCGGGTGCCTTCATGCACGGAGTCGCCGCCATGTACAACTTCACGACGGGCGCCCGCCGCGAAATCTGGCGAGACCGTCTCGACAGGCTCGTCAACGCCTCGTCGGTCTTTTACAACGGAACCAATAACGAGATCATGTCCGAGGTGGCCTGCGAGCCGGTGGGGCTGTGCAATGTCGACCAGCAGTCGTTCAAGGCATATCTGGCACGATGGATGGCGGCAACGACCAAGTGGGCGCCTTGGACCGAGAGCAGGCTCATGCCGCGACTGCGCACGACGGCCGTCGTGGCTGCGAGTCTCTGCACCGGGGGCAGCAACGGGCGCATGTGCGGACACAAGTGGTATGAGGGCACCCACGACGGCCTGATCGGACTTGGCCAACAGATGTCGGTCATGGAGGTTATCGTGGGGCTCATGGCTGGACAGGTCGGCGCGCCTGCCACGGATAAGACCGGAGGCACGTCGCAGGGCGACCCGTCTGCTGGCGGCAACGATATGGGATTCAAGGAACCGGGGTCAATCAAGCACGACCTGCCTCCCATAACAGAGAAGGACCAGGCCGGCGCATACATCCTGACGGTGGCCGTGCTGCTTGGGCTCTTTCTCGGCATCGCATTTGTCCTCGCCAACGAGACGGACGAGCGTACATTCCCCGAGCAGTGGTCGGCCATGCGCTCGTCCCTAGCGGGTGACAAGATGAAGATGGCCATGGCATCTGCCGCTGCCGCGACAGCTGGGGTCCTAAAGAAGAAGAAGGCATCGTCAAAGAACCCCGAAGGCGGCGCAGAGGGCAAGGACGGCCAAGGGGGCGCTCTCTCAGAGAACCAAGCTAGTATCTGGAATTCGGCCATGGCGGTCGACGCCCGGGAGAAGCGAGCCAGCCGTCTCAGCGTCATGGAGTCGTCATCCCGCGCCACCCGTTTCAGTTCAGGTGGTCCTGGCGGGAGCCAGAACGCTTCCATGGAGGACGCGTCGTCGCCACATCCTGATATGCAACAGAAACGACATGTCCAGTCGGCGTCTGCAAGGTTGTCAGATGACCCGGAGCTGGGACTGTCCCCCCTGACGATTGACCTTGCTCAAGGGTCAGACTCGCGGCAACCACCGGCCGCTGCTGGCTTCCATCAGTCGGCCTCCCAACAGCTCGAAAACAATGCAGATGCCGGGCCTTCAAGCAGGAATGTGCTTCACAAGGAGGAATCAACTTCCGAAAGGCAAACGGGGACGTCGGGCGGCGTGGCCACATAGTTTGTGGGCCGACGCCGGCTGCGCAAAAAGCGGACTGTCCCTCAAGATGGGTGATCGGCTCGAGACGAAGGGAAGAACGGGGCCAAGTCTCTTAATAGTCTTTGACGAGGTTGTCCTCCCCAACTCGCTCTATTGTTGCTTTTGCACTTTTTATTTCTCACTTTTCTCTTTCGGTGGCATGGACAGATGGCGCTAGGAGAAACCCCCGATTTCTTGGACGGAAAATGATTTCAGACTATGGCTACTCCTGGCTAGGAGGACATGTATATAAAGATTTGCAGCGGTGGATACGGATACGAGTGAGAAGCACCTGGTAACATTTGCATTCTGGTACTGTCTAGGTTTGCTATGGCATGTTTGGCTATCAAAAATCGAGAATGGCATGAGCATGATCCTCGGCGACTGGATGAATACGCTGCACTAGGCTCACCAGTGCGCTCACGCTTGCGGCTGACTAACAATGTCAAGATGCCACCAACAGGTCAGGTCCTGAGAGTACTTTTTGTGCAGGTTGATCATGCCAGGCTTGGAGATTATGATGGCTCCGGGTGGTGTCGCGGGCATGGTTGGCAGCCAGGGTGTTACCGCGGACTTTTGCCGCCATCATCTAGCGCCAGGGGTGATGGTACTTGGCGGGATGAAGTGTATAAGGTACCTTTTTTCCCCGTGCGGTATTCCGACGTCGAGTTGCACGGCCTTTGTGTCCGCGGGTTTCCTCCTGGCTTTGGAGCTGTTGGGGGCCCGTCCTGTGTAGGCCGGACAGTGATAGCGTCGGCCCATCCTCGTCCTCGTCCCTCCCCGCAGGCCGGGAGCGAACGATTCGGCGCGCGTCTTTCTACCGCGCTGGGATCTACATTGAGCTTTCTTGACAGGAAGCGCCGTCTAGAGCTGACACGCCCACTACGGCGTGTTTTTCCTTTATTCTGCGGACACCACCCCGCCCCTAGGTTCGCAACATCCCCCGCTCCATACCGGCCTTGAATGGCCCACTCGCAAACAGGGAGAGGTTGTTGGCGAGGGGATGTCTTGGAATACATCCAATGGCTGGAGAGAAGGGACGCCATGGGGGGTGCGAGATAACTGTGTACTTGAGCTCTGCTGTCTCCGTTGCAGCCCCCCCTGGTCAACATTCGCACCAGAGCCTTGATCAACGTGCCCACAACAGGAGACGGGCAGATGGTTAACAGGCTTGTATTGCGTAATATTTCAATCAAGACGGCGACCGGATTCGGTGTCAACGCAGGTGTGTTTGGTGCCCTCCTCGGGGCGTCGACATCCTCTCTCCGCTACCCCGACTGGCCGTGACAATTCGAATCCACTTGATCAGCAGAAAAAAAAAAGAAAACAGGCTCCCAAACCAGGCGTAATCATTGCCAACCAGCTCATCATATCCTGCTCTATCCCCTCCAGCTAAGAGTCAATACTAAAGCGTATCATGGATCAAAAGTACCAGTTCCAGAAGTCCATAATGAATAATAGAATAGCAAAAATGCCGAACAGCCCAAGACGAAAAGAATGAGGGGGGAAACAAAGTGAGTGATGAAAACGAAGGACAAGGCAAGACAAAACGAGGGTGAATCGAAGGCGCGCAGATGGGTGGATTAAACGACATGGTGTCTCTAATCATCGTTGGTGAGGTCGATACAGTGAAACGGCCGCTTCTTGCCGCCGGCCGGAGCACAGTTCTTGTCGTCCCGGTTCTCGTTCGGGGGACCGCCCGAGGACGGGGATGGCGCATTCACGCACATTGACGGAGAAGGCGGATCACGCGAGGAGGAGGACGAAGCTGAGCGTGCGCTGCTGCTGCTGCTGCTGTCCCACTTGCTCGTGATGTTGGTCAGCTCGCCCAGTACCGCGGTCTTGGAAGCCGACGGCGGGCTGGCGTCGCTGTTTTCGATGTGTTTCTTGGCCAGCTGTGCCACCTCATCCAGCAGCTCGGCCGTCCCCGGCGACAGCAGTGGCAATGGCAGGGCGTCGCGGCCGGCGGCGTATCGGCTTGTCGTTCCCGGCAGCTCGTTCAGCAGCGTGGCGGTCGACGACCCGCTGCTGCTCCGGGTCCGTACCGCCTCTTCGTTTTCCTTGTCCTCCGCTTTGGCAGTGGCAGCGGCGGCGGCCGGTGGGCCGTTCTCGATCTTGGCCTCCTGTGGCTTGTGCTCTTCGGCCGTCATCGCGGCTGGCGGGTTGCTGATGCCCCGCGGAGACTGCTCTGTGTCTAGGTCAATAATGACAGGCGCCGCCGCGTCCTTGCGCTCTTGCTGAAGCGGCGGGTGCCGCGTCGCCACGGGCGACAGCCGGATGGGGATGGGGCGGTCGTCGATGAGGGTGAGGTCGATCATCTCGGGCCGCCTCTTCCTCTGCTGCCTGCGGGCGGCCGGGAAGGTTGCTGCCGCGCCGCCGCTGATGCTGCCGAGGGTGGTGCGGGGCCCGCGAGAAGGCGTGGCGACGTTGGTGATGTTGCCCAGAGCTGCACGGGGGCGATCCAGAGGGGTGGCGGCACCTCCGCCTCCGCTGCCGCCGCCGGGGGGCTGGTTCTCCTTTTTGACATCACCGCGCTCCGGGGCCGCCGCGAGGCCAATGCTGGCGCTCCTGGCGCGCCGGCGACGCTTTACGTTCTGGGGCTGGGCGGCGCCACTCGCCACGGCGGCCTTGTTGTCGTCACCACCACCGCCATCCGCGTCGCTGTCGAGTCCGTCGGCCCTGCGTAGCTGCTCCCTCAGGTGGCGGAACAGGTGCTCGACGACCGAGGGCGGGAACGCGTTCCCGATCTGCTTCTTGACGCAGGACCCCTTGAAGTGGAAGTCGATCGGGAAGCCCTGGATGCAGGCGAGCTCGCGGTCGGTGAAGCGGCGCGTGCCGCTGAAGTGCACCGTCGTGACGCCCGACGTGGTCACCGTCTGGCCCAGCCGGTCCGCGTCCTAGGCGGGTCGGGCGGGGCCTCCGAGCGCCGCGGAGTAGAGGTCGTGCAGCTGTGCCCGTCTTGGGATCTTCGCGATGGCTTTCCGGATCGTCAGGTGCGGCTTGAGCCTGCGCCCACCGCCGCCGAACCGCGCCGCCATGCCGCCGTGCGAGGGCTCCGGGAAGGTGGGGAGGGGTTCGCCCGGGCACGCGCCGATGATAATAAGGCGCTTGCGGGTTTGTGGGAGGCCCTGGGGTGGACGAGGTGTTAAGTTAGTACTTGAATGAGACAACCGAGTCCAGGAACTTACCCAATCGGCCAGGGGGATCTGGCTCCAGCGGACCGAATATCCCAGCTCGGTAAAGCCGTGGATTAGGGCGGCGAAATAGCCTTTGTGCGCCCTGGCGCTGGCGAGCCCAAAGGTCTGCTCGAGCGTAAAAACGCGCGGCTTGAGCTTTTCAACCGCGGCCTTGCACGAAAAGAGAGCGGCGCTGTTGACCTCGTCGTTACCGCCCTCGATCGTGTGGGCGGGCGAAAAAAACTGGCAAGGGGGCGAAAGGTGCAGGATGTCAACGGGCAGGGTCTCGGCCCCCTGGATAAAGTCGAAAACTTCGTGCTGGAAGAGCACGGTTGTGGGGAAGTTGTGCTCGTAGGTGGCACACGCGTGCTGCCAGTGGTCCACCGCGTACTCGACCCGAAAGCCGGCCGCGCGCATCCCGCAGGACGTGCCGCCGGCGCCGCAGAAGAGGTCGGCCGCCGCGTACTGCCGGCGCTGCCCGTCGTCTTGCCCGCCGCGGATGGCAGCACCGGCCTCTTGTAGCTCGCCCAGGGCGCCGCCATCCTCGACCTTGGCCCCGTCCTCGGGCAGACAGTACGAGCCGCCGGGGATCTTGCCGCCCCGCCAGGCCCCAAGGTTATCATTGTCGGCGCGCCGATACCGGAGCTTGGGCACGTCGGCGGCGCGCAGGTGACGCATCTCGTAGGCCTTTTGGCGCGTCTCGGAAAGGCGGTTGACGGCGCAGGCGTAGGTGATGGCGAACTGCCACCGGCATATAAGCAAATTATCGTTGGCCAGATCCCGGAACTCGGGCCATGGCGCGCTGGTAATGATAAAACTCCGGACGCCGACCACGTCGCCGGGGCCGACGTCGATATGGCCCTGGTCCTCATCCCCGCCCTCGTCGCTCTGGATGAAGCGGCAGATCTCATTGCGCTTCCGGGTTAGCAGCGCGTTCATATTCCTTGTGCGCATGTAAGGAACGCCACGCAGGATTGTATTGTCGGCATCTATAAAGATCTGGCGGACTTCCAGAAACTCCACCTGCTCGTACAGCGTCTGCGCGAAGTCTTGGAGCGGATGAAGCTCGACGAGGTGCCCTTCCTTGATCGTCTCGCCATTGACGACGCAGCTGTTGAGTCTCGTCTGGTGAGCCTCGAGGGGCCTCACCAATGGGCGGTGGTGGGCAGGGCCTTCTGCCCGAGGCCGGGAGACTGCTTCCTTGTCGTCGTCATCGTCGTCGGCGAGTGTGAGGTCTATGAAGGACTTGGCTTCCGGGTAGACAGCCTCGGGCGCGGGTGCGGGTGCGGGTGCGTCCACTGGACCTTCGCTCCCGTCACTGCCCGAATCGTCCTCAACCTTGATGGGCTTGTGCAGGACAGCTCCATACTCCTCGCGAAGCCGGATCAGTCTGTCGACATTCCGATCGTTCTCGTTCTCTGCCGGGTCGTCATCAAGGATCTCAATGATGGGTGGGTGCGCCGGCGGCATTGTAGCAGCAGCGTGGCGATGAGGAGAAACGACTGCGGACGTAACAAAAGTTAGCTATGGCCTAGGAGTGCTAAGCAGAGGTGCTCTCCAGCGAATGTGGAAGGGAAGGTTGGGGGTCTCGAGCCGAAGTCGCCATCCTCGAAAGGAGAAATGGTAAAAGGGGAGCTTACCTCTCCTTCTCTGCCCGCACAGTTTTCGACAATGGAGTGTCTGCCGCCTGGGCTCAGAATGGTCGAGGTGCGAGTGAAAGACTGAGAGCTGCAGGGAGCCCAAGGGGGAAATAGAGGGGGTAAAACACCAGAATAGACAGCAAAAGCGGTATGATGTGTTGGCGGGCTAGTTTTTCAAGTCTGGCAAAGCTCAGGCCGCGAGGCTTGCTGGAAACAAAGGCGAGGTATCCGGGCGGAGAGGGTATTGTGGAAAAAAGACGAGTGTGAAGATAAAGCGTAGCAATTCGCCGAACCCGGAAACAAAAAGTCAAGTCATCAAAATGGACAGCAAGGGTGAACCTTGTCGGTAACCTGGTTTTCCAGGTTGGGGACGGGCCTGGTTGCGAGCTGGGGGAAACAAAGGCGAGTGTTGCGTGGAGGAAGGAGACGAGGTTGGTGGTGGAAATTTGTACTCTGGTGTTGGAAAAGAACTGGGAAAAAAAGAAAATGTGGGGGCAAAAATGTCCTGGATGGAGGGAGAAGGAGAATGGAGTGAAGGAAAAAAGGTTTGGGGAGGGAAGCGAGGTCAAGTGTGAGAAAAATGCGAATACAAATAGTATCTGACGATGATGTGAAGAGAACCTGAGAACCCATCAGCTTGCCTTTCGGCACATCCTAACCTACCCCCTAGTCAAGAATGGGTCTGTGCGGAGCAAATGTTTGCCAGTATGTTCCTGCGTTTCCAGATCCATCAACCCTGGCGATGCCGAGATACAAACTGCTTGCTAGGTTTGGCTGCCTATTGTCCTTCTGCTCTTTGCTGTGCGGCCCATCGCCATCCGTGTTTGTCTGTCTACCTCCACTTGCCCGGGCCGTCGAGATCGCTTTTGTCTCGTCAAGCAGGCGAGTTTATATTCCAACACCGAACTCACACGTTACCGCCCCGCGTATCATCGGCCCTGCTATGCACCCACCCGTCTCCTTGTGGGCCACCAGAAGCTTTGCGCAATGGGCTTTCTAGAGTTGGTGCTTGTGCAAATATATAACATCTTGCCCCCATCCCACCCCAGGACGTCGCTCGGCCTCCACTGTTCCTCCATCCACACCTCCAGATATAACCCGGTATTACGCCAAGGAAGGTGCTCTAAACCATTTCGGCCAAAAGTTAGATACCATTCATGTGCTGTTTTATATAGCATACGTGGTGCAGTGTTGTTACCCGAATTTGTCTGCCTGGGGGAACTGCCAACTAGGGCCTTATCTGGGGCTTAATGCTACTACCCCCGCATAAGCCTTCTCGGAGAAGATTGTCTTCATGTCTGCAGGCCTTACCTTCTTGTCGACACGCAGCTCCGACATACCATTCTTGTCCGATTCCCGAGTGCGTCCGCATTAATCCAGATGTCAAGATTTGCTCCCTTCCATCCAGTCCCTGGCATCATAGCCTTGAGTCCCTCGACCTCTGTCGGCATCTTTAAAAGTGCCTCTCCATACGCAGGCCCGTTGGGGCCGCGGCTTGCTTGCTGGAGTCGGGCTGTTCAGGGGGCCTTTTCACAACCGTGGCGTCAGCCCGCCTTCTACCGACGCAAGTCTAGTAGTTTCGTAATCCCAGACAGCCAGGCAATTAGCACCAAAAAAAAGTCCACCAGGCCGCCAACATAGCCACCGATTTCGAGACCACGACAAATATCCGACAGGCCGTGCTATTTTAGGGACAGTGAGGGGCACAGTTGGGTGGTTGCGGTATCTGAGATCTGAAGACTGCTCGGGATGCATTCGGTTCCTTGTTTGGACTTGAGTGGAATTCGGTCTGCTGGTCTTCACTGCCTTGGTCTTGGAGTCAATCATCTTCGCTCGGTAATTCACGCTTGCCTCCTAAAGTTTGTCCAGCTGCGCATACATATACCCAGCCTTTTGCTGGAATGCGTCCTTTGTGATCCTCCCATGGTTGTCTACAATATCGAGACGAGTGCCCCTTTCTATCAGGATGCGCGGAGCCTCCACGCATGTTCCTACGTGATGCGAATACCACGCCATGAAAGCCTCCCAACCCTCCTCGATTACTTGAGCAATGATGTGGAGAGCTGACCTGTTACACTGGCACTCTGCAAGGGCACTGGGCTATTCTCGAGCGCACTTTAACGTTGCCTCCTAGCCAAGGTTTGTCACGATGCTCTGATTATACTCTCAGCGACTCTATGCAGTGACGGATGTCACAGTGCCTTACTCCTCTACCAAGAAAATCCGGAGCTTCAGCGGACTGACTGCTTCTGACTACTCTTTCGAGGCTTCTAAAGTGATTCTCAGATAGCATGGCGCCGCGCTTCATAAGTTTCTTGGCAAGCTTGGCATAACCAACCTCCAGAGCATCGAGGACCTAATTCAGTGTTAGAAATATGCCCCATTTCTAGAAGATGAGAGATCTGTATGCACACCAACCGATCTTCACTGTCAGCCAATCGCTCATTGGCACCTAGACCATGGTCAAACAGTATATTCAACGTTCAGATCGTTGCTCCAGCCTCATTATGGGGAGCAAGGGCGGCGTGAACCGATCGCCGGCCTGGCCGACGGAGGCCTCCAGGTCGGCACCAAGCGCGATCAGGAGCGTGGCAGCGTCGAGGTGGCCACCAGACGCGGCCGCGTGCAACGGCGTCACATGGCGGTCCCAACCGCCGTGCTCGTGGAGCATGCTGGCATCGATTTGCTCACGGGACTGCGTCAGGGTCACCAAGGCCACCTTGAGTCGGTTGAAGTCGCCTGTGGAAGCCGCGTCGAACATGGCACCCAGATGCTCATCGTTGCGGTCCGCCCTTGGCCGGTGGCGTTCGCGTCGGAGGATCTCTAGAAGCCAAGGCGACGTCCATCTCCAGTGGACAGGTTCACCTTCCTCGAGGTCGTTGTGAGGCGGCTGGCTCATTTTTCCAACGGGACCATGGAGGAGAGAAGAGAGGCGCGAGGCTGAGCCGCACAGCGACTACGATTACAGATGGATACCTAGTGAGAAATGGGGTTGCTGAAGGTCCAGGGTCGAGGTTGGTTGGTGGCTGCCCGACATTTGAGTGCTTGGAGTCGGTTCTTTGTTGGGGCAATAGTTGTTGATCACTGCCTGCTTAGTGGGCCAGACCCACTGCAGATCGAAGAAACTGGAAGGGACAAAACCGTAGTACATACTCATGTATTCCAAATTACGGCTTTCCCCTACAAAATAGAACGCAAATTAACCCGCTCATAAGCCGCCGCCATCCTGAGAGTACAAACTGGGAGTATCCAGCCGCGCCCTCCCAAGCACCGGACTCTCCACCGCCTGCTGCCTCCTCCACGCCTCCCCGCGCCTGCTCCAGGGCCGCTCCGCGTCCTCCACCCGCGGCACGTACATCTGGGCCCCGGTCTCCAACTCCGCCAGCGGCGCCAGGGACCGCTGCCCGCCGCCGCCCCCGGCCCACCTGCCGGCAGGCGGCGGGGGGCGGCCAACCCACTCGCCACCCTGCTGCTGCCGCTGCTGCTGCTTCCAGCCACCTGCGGCCGCGAGCTGGGGCGTCACGGGCGAGATGACGTCCTCGAACGGATCCACGCTCTCCCCCGCGGGGAGCGGCGAGTAAGAGCCTCCGCCGTCGGCCGCGCCGCGCGCGCGCAGCGCCCTGGGCGCCCTGGCCACGGCCGACAAGGGGCTGGTGGTGGTGGTGGTGGTGGGCGTGCCCACCACGACGCCGCCCGTGCGGAGGGGCGCCATGGCGGCGCCGGCGCCGGAGAGGATGGGCATCCTCGTCAGGGGCGGGTCCTGAGACGACGGCGGCAGCGGCGACGTGGTGGAGGCGACCGGCGAGCAGCAGGAGCAGTCCGAGGCGATGTCGGTCGCCGTGTAGGCCGTCGAGGTCGTCGTCTGGGCCGAGCCGGCCTTGGAGCTGCGGACGGCGGCGTCAAGGCGGTGGCTGCTTCTTGCTTCTTGGTAGTGCCGTCGTCGTCGTCGCTGCTCCTGCAGCCGCCGCCGCCGCCGCCAGCAGCAGAGGAAGACGAGGAGTGCGACCAGGAGCAGCAGGAGCGCTGCCGCGGCGCCGATCCCGATGCCCACCTTTTCCGCGGTGCTCAGGCCCGTGTCCGCCGCTTGCGTTGGCATTGCGGTGCTCCTAGCGGTGGGCAGGTGCGAGGCGCCGGCAGTCGGGCTCGGTGCGGGATCCGTCTTTTTGAGTGGTCTCCAGTCAGTGGCAACTCTTTTTTTTCGTGGAGCATCCCAGAAATACGGAAAAGCACCACAAGACCTACAAAGAGTGTTGTTGATAAGTTTGCTGTCTTCTTAAAGTCCAACGCTCGGGAATATTCTAAACCGCCCCCCGCGTCCTTGATCCGAAATAGGTACTGCCCTGCAGGCACGCTGTTCGGCAGCGTCCAGATGACAGAAGTGCGAGAGTCGTTGACTGCAGGTTCCCACAGTTAGACCAGATATTGCGTGTCTCCAACCGTGGGAGTGCACGATGAAGAATTTGTTGCTATGCCACGTCGATGGCAGGTGTAGATCTTACCTGCTACGTTTTGCACCACAACGGTGCGATCTTCGACGGCTGACACAAGGTCTACCGTCACCGGGCCTTCGTTCCCAGTCCAGCTTAACTCAAAGGGGACTCCGGGGACGATGTGGTAGCGGGTGTTGGTGAAGGCCGGTCCTGCGCAACAAAAAGGCAGCAGTAGGCAGAGCAGACCTAGGATCGGGACGCTCGGTGAGCAGGCGTGCAGGAGATTCCGCGAGATTCGCATTGTAGCTATCAGGAGCACATAAATAGAAGAAGTAGACAAACGAGGCAATGTCTCCTCGGCCAGCTGCAGGACTCAGCAATGTCTGACCAACGACATGGCAGATGGACATGCAACTATGCGTTTGTGAGAGACGAGCTCGGCTTGGAAACAGGTCGCGTCTCCCCAAGAGGATCAACCCGAATGCTAATCATGCCGCTCGCAGGAAGCCGAGCCACATTTTATCTCCCTTTTGGTTTCGAGCAAAGAGGAGATAAGCGCGCCTGGATGGTTCACGCCCTAACTACAGGCTGCGAGCGGCTCCTGACGGATTTCGGCAAAATCCCACCTGGGGGTCCAACACGAGGGCGGCAAAGAGGCGCCCCCGGTTGGGGGCCGGTTGCCCTCGTCTGGCCCGAATTGTCACCTGCGGGGCGGGCCGACCTACACCAACGTCCTCGCGCGCCAAGACGCTACATAGCCCACTTACAACAGGACTGGGGGGGACATTGAACACCTCAATCAGCCTAGCACAGCCCTGCCCAGCGGTTCGAGCCGAGGCTGGATGCAACCAACAGGGCCGATTGGGGGCTTGAAGGTGTCGCCATCACCCCCACGGCTCAGGCGCCTAATCAATCTGCTGCCGCCTTTGCCGTGGTGCAACCGCAAGCGACCATGTTTTTTCCCCCTTTGCGGCGAGCGCGCGAAATGGGCAGGCACAGGTGTGTGGCAGGATTGGGGCGGAGCTGGCTAACACGCAACCTCGGAGCAAAACACGACAGTTCGGGCGTACCTGGGATCAGGAACTCCGAATTTTGTACGACATTCGGTCCCGCAACAATGGAATCTCAACGCCCAGTGTACCGACAGGAGTTCTGAGCACACCAGATTAGGAAACGGCTGAGCCGTTGGTGTTGGACAAACCTCGCCTTGTGGTGTTGGCTGATTGGGCTTGTATGCTAAAACAGGGAGACTAGACCGGAACCGAGTAGGATTCTTAGTCTAGACCTCTAACATGGGCCCACCTCGCGGGTGGCCAATCGCTGCTAGAGAGGCCTGGGAACTCGGTTCATTGCTCCGGGACTGGCTGCCTTTGCAGTCGGCCGAGGGTGGAAGAGACAGCGAGAGAGGAGAGGGTAGTGAGGAGATGAGGAGGCATACGAAGAGATGCAATAGTGGGTGGGGCAGTGCCCGCAGATGCATGGTGGCGATGGCGGTGGTGGTGGTGGTCAGTTCAGATTTCAGTCATGCACTACCTAGACCTGCATCTAGCTGTACCTTCCGTTTTGGTCAGGCAGACAGGCACGGCCTGCCTTGGATTCCAGGCCGAATGACGCTGAGTGTTGGCTGCGCTATAAGGCTAACAAGCAAGTCATGGAAACCGGTGTGAAGGCTCGATGTTGACGGTTAACCTTGAGTTTGCTGTCAGAGTGACTGTCATACCAGACACGGGGAGACAGAACAAAACAGACCTATCCTCTGTGAGAGATGTGAGAAACAAGTCGTGGGATTCTGAACGCCAGCAAAAAGATATCAGAAATGAAGCACCGAGGTCATCTTGCTGTTCAACCACATCGTAAAAATTGATGTTATAACGGGATGAAATCTTAAATACCACCAGCATAGGTAGATAGGTAGATACCTAGGTAGGTAGGTAGGTAGGTAGATATCTAAGTGCATGCCCATATAAGCACTACATGAGCACCAGCAGGTGGTAGGATGGCTTAACGTAACAAAGCCTTTCTATCTCGCTAAAAACGGTCTTTTACCCGTATTACAACTGTATAATCGGAACCCTGCCGGACAGAGTGGTCCCTGCTGTTCGTATGGTGCATCGCCTAAAGTGTAGGATGGGACGAGTTTTCTCTGAGTCAAAATCTCGGGCTCCGGCAACCTCCAACCAGCACTGTCAGAGCGGCGTGGATAACTACAGAGCATAGCCGTGCTAACTTAATTTGACTCCTTGAAGTATGAGAGATCATCGGAGAAAATCCCTTGGATGTTGGTTTTACCGTCGACCGTTACGGTGAGTTTTGGGGGAATAAAAGCGTTGCAGAATGCTAAGATCAAGCCCCACCCCAGGGTTGGAAACATGGGTATGCAAAGAAGACGGCTGCGAATCTTCTCTGGGCCGCATCTGCGATTGGATTTCCAGCCTCGGGCCCCTGACCATGGCTCGCGTCAGTGCTGCCAGCCCATGGCGTCGGAACCTGTTCCCCTATTCTTGCAGTTTCCTCGTTTAGCATCCATCCAAGTCTAATGAAAACATTGCTGTTTCATCGTATCCGAGTAGATCGTCTCCGTATGGACACCAGGCGCACCCCTCTGGAGGCTAATCACTGTCCAATGGAGGTTGTCGTCTCATCCCACCTTTCCCGATCGATCCTCAAGCCCAATGTTGGAAACAAATGGGCCGGGTGACACGCCAATGGTCGACGTCAGTCCCTCGGACGGAGGGAGGCGTCAGCCGTCGTTCCAGGAAACGACTCATAGACCTCTGGCCGGCTGCGAAACCTGTCGAGCCTATCGCGGGCGCGCGGCCATACAGACACCTCCATGTCCGTGCTCTTACAGCGTAAGCACAGACAGGAGATAGTTGATCCAGCAGCACTTTCCTGGTTTGCGAAGGGACTTTTGGCGATCTGCCTCTTTCGGGCGGGGTTTGGCTGGTCGGGTTGCTTTGTTCAGACGGACCTGGAATGCACGAGAATAGGAGCACATTCGAGCGCCCATTCGCATCTCACGAATCCCATCGGCCTCAAGGCCGTGTCTCCGTGTCGGCAGTCCACGAGGGCTTCACGCAGTGAAGGAACGAATCGTAAACGTCCGGGCAACGTCGTCCCATTGCTGAATCTACTCTTGCATATGTGCTTCTGTGCTCTCGCGGCCGTGGTGTGGATTAATACAAACCGTGTCGAGTGCCCATGAAGAAAAGCAATCGTCGAACTCTGCACCACGCACGAGCAGAGCAGAGCAGAATCATCTCCAAGAATCTCACTCACGAGGCTTGCCCTACAGACACAGGCTTACTCATCACCATACATCTCTCAAGCTTACATTGATCCTCCACTTCGCTTCTTTCAGCCACCCCAGCCAAAATGCAGTTCAAGACCATCGCCATCAACGCCCTTCTGGTCGGCGCTAGCCTCGCCCAGGTAGCGGTCTTGCAGACAGCCATCAAGCAGGTCCAAGACGCTCTGGGCAAGCTTGACATCACCATTACAGTGAGTACTAGCATCAAGCAGGAAAGAAGGGTGGCAAAGGCTGCGCCCATAAAGGTAGTACCGAAGCACAACTAACAAGTGCGCAGGGTTTGAGCGACGCCAACAGCGCCGCGAACCTGCTGCAGTCGTCGGCGGACACGAAGCAGGTGATGGACAAGGCGACCAAGGAAATCACGGGGGCGCAGGCGCTGTCGCTGCAGGACGCACTGAGCCTACAGTCGGTGCAGCAGCCGCTCATCGACGCCGTGACCAAGGTGACGGACGACATCGCGGGCAAGACGCAGGTGTTGGACCAGATCGGGGCCACGCAGCAGGCGATCCAGACGCTCAAGGAGCAGAAGAAGACGGCGGGCGCGCTCGGCGACGCCGTCGTGTCCAAGATCCCCGCCATCGGCCAGGGCATCGCCCAGCAGAGCATCGGCCAGATGACCACCCTCATCGACGGCGCCATCACCAAGCTGGGCGGGAACCCCAACCAGAAGCTGACACGCGCCGCCCGCGTCCCCGTGCCCATCGCCGCTTGAAGGAACGGGATGGACAGGGGCTGCTGATGGCGCTGCGTGCGGAGGAGGCTGTGCGCCGGGACGACATCCTGGGCACATTCGCTCCCTTATTTCCCCTCTGTTTGGGCTTGGTGTCGCTTTTCATTCTCTTGATTCTTTCTTGCGGTTCTTAGGGAGGATCATCATCGGCTTTTATGGAATAGCACACGTAGCTGGTGGTTGGTGGAAGTTTGGAAGTTTGGAAGTTTGTATTCATTCTGGTCTTGCGCGCAAACGTGCTGGCCTGTAAATAGTATTTTGGTTCGTAATCCATGATTAATTTTCAGGTCGATGTCTGACCTACGTATACCTCGATGCGATATACTGGTAACACAGAGGTGGGGTTTGCAGATGCGCTCGGAGAACAAGAATATACAGTCTGTAGTCTGTGGACGGCGGTCAGACACATGCCACGCCTGCAGGGTGACGACTTGGGCTGTGTGTACGTGATGACGCAGAGGGTCGTGGGCGTTTACGTAGTAAAACCAATGAGCGTGCTTGGAGATGAAAAGTGCGGTGGAAGCGGATCCCCAATGCTGAGGCGCCACCAAAGACTAGGAGCGAAGAGAGCGACGATTGGATTCACGAAGGAGAGAGAGAAAAAAGGAATGAGCTGGATGAACAGGATTGGACCGCAAATTGACAGAAAGCAAATAGGCTTCACACAGCCTGCGATGGAGATGATTGGGAGCTGGACAGATCCTCCCAGGATAATGGTTTTGATGTGTCGTGGAGAGAAATTCTGGGGAGTGACCGTGGATGTGAAAAAAACAAGTTTTCTCCCTCAAGCGGTATTTTCAACAAATCTCGAAGCCTCCTTCCCGGCCTGCTCAAAATACTCACCAACCTTAGCCGGGAGAAGGAATGACAAAGTATAGGCTTTTCAGCGGAGCGAAAGGGAAGGTGTTCGGCGCGGAGGTGGTGATTTAAAGTTTTGAATAACGTGATGGAATGCGTGGATGTGCAAAAGAAAAAGAGGAAGGAGCTGGCGTGTGGTATTCCCGTGGGGAAAGAAAGTTTTAGCTTGTCGTCGGCTGGAGGTCAATCAAATGTCGGCTAATTGGATTAGCGTGTTAGGTCTGGCACCGGCGCCCGGTGGCTTGGAGGGTAACTTGAGTCGGCGTAATGTGGCAGGTATGTAGCTTCCAAGGGCGATTTGGAACTTCCAAAATTCTGGCGAATTTTGGAAGGTTGATGACGGTCGGAAGGAGGGTTTCGGAAATACCCTAAAGGGCTATAAGCGGCAATGTGGAAGCTGTGGCGGGGCAAAATTTGGCGTGTCCGAAATTAAGTCCAAAACCAAACAGATCCGACTCAAAAAAGAGTTTTTGCAATCCAACGAAGGATGGGATAAGTTGGCTTGGGATGGGGCTTAATGGATCGGCGAGGTGAGGTTATCGCGAGATCCAGCGATGCGACTGGTGGAGTGGTTTAGGGGAGGTCTTGACGCAACCGTGAAAACACCAAGGATGGCTCGCGATGGTGCTTTTCTCGGCTTTAATTGATCGTTCTATGCAGGCAAGGTAGGAGGCTGACACTCCATGTGACCTGCCTGGATCGCCATAAAACCAATGAGCGTGCTTGGAGATGAAAAGTGCGGTGTTTTGTTCTAGGCTAAGGCCCGGAGGGCCGAGCGCTACGAAGAGTGCATAAGGTGGGCTGCAGGCCCGTGCGTAGGCTGATGACTCATCCCACCCGACTGTAGTCAGTTCGGCAGCATGAGAGAGCACGATAAGGACCACGCAGCTTTGATAGCTCAAATTTTGTTTGAGAGAGGTACCACGCATATCTCTAAATGTAAAAGAACGAGAACACAGTAGGAGAATCAACGGAGCAGAAAAAACACTGACCCAAGCCGCCCTCGAAGCACTCTCGAAATGCCCGGAGTTCTCATCATCAGCGGCATCCGCGGCCTGGGTGAGTCTTTGGTCAAGCAGTATGTCCAAGCAGGGGAGACGGTCTATGCCATCGCGCGCTCCGGCTAGACGCCCAAGGGGTTCCCTGAGGCGATCCACTGGTTTGTCAACGTCGACCTCATCAACGGCCATGTAGGGGACGATATCGTGCAGCAGCTTCCAGGCACGGCGAGGCCGCTGGGAATAGTGGCGAGTTGACTTCCATCCCGCACCCTGACGTGGGACACGCACCCTTACGCACCCTCACGCCTACCGCACACAGATCATCTCGGCGGGCTGCTTCACGACCCAGGACCTGGACGGGGAAGGCCTCGACTAAGACGAGGAGGTGCGCATGTACAAGATTAGCGCCTTGGCTCCCATCTTCGTGGTGCAGCACCTCGCGTAGGCCGGCGGCGGCAGCAGCAGCTTCCTGGGCCGCGGGTCCAAGCTCGTGCTGGTGTCGTCCGAGGCCGGGAGCGTCGCGCTGCGGCACGAGGGCGAGGGGGCGGCAACCACGCGCACTATACCAGCAAGACCGCCCCAACATGGTCGGCCGCCTGCTCAGCCTAGACCTAAGGGCTAGGGAGGTGGTGGTGCCCATCGTGCACCCGGGCTTCATGCACACCGAGATGGCGAAGGTGGTTGGTTTCGACAAGTTCTGGGATGACGGCGGCGGTGCGTTGATGCTGCTGGCTGAGCTCTGTTTGGCCCCCACCTCTACGTCCCAACTAGGCAATGAAGCTAACGTCGACATCTACACGGCCGTGCCGCTGGACGAGGCGGCAGCAAGCCTGATACAGTGGGCCTCCCAGCCGGACATGGCCAGGTCGGGCAAGTACTGGGCGCCGAGGGGTCCGCGGGGCATGGCACGGCCCCTGCCGCTCTGGGCGACGGCCTGCCCACCCCGCTGTGTCTGCCCTGGTGAGATATCAACACATTTCGGGGTACCTCATTTTCTTGGGGTTTTTAGCTAGCATCTTGACGGTTAGGAGGGAGGCCTAGCTAGCGCCACAACCCAGCCACAGCTAATGCCAAGTGCCTCGATTGCCAGACTTGTCCGTGATTGGAGACGTCGAGGGCAAGGTCGCGGACAGTTTTCGAAAACCGGTGGTCCCTTAGCCCGCCACCGACTTTCTCCGGCAGCTGGCAGGCCCCCTGGCGGCCAAACCCTTTTGGGCGCAAGCGGGGGAAGCAGGGGATGGATGGCACGGACGCCGCCGGAGCATTAGAGCTGGGGTAGCTCTCTGCACACGAAAACGCGCCAGGTCGGGCAGCCTGGGACATGTTTAATAATAGTAGGAGCCAACACTCCACAGTTGGGCGGCCGCTCTGTCCAGGGGCCAATCTCCCAACATGGACACCCCAAGGTCGTGATTATTATATTATTAGGGGTCTTGGTGCTGGCGGGGCATGATGTTACGGCATTCGAATTGCTTGATTGTGCTGCACATTCCTATTTCGGATGCTCAAAGGCTAGGAGGACGATGGGACGCGCTAGATCCCCAAAGCCCGCGATCCGCAAGCAGAGATATTATCGGAGTAGATCGCCGTCGTCCCTTGGCGCTAGACGGCCATGGCACTAGCTCTCAAGGCATCTCGCTTCTTCGCGTCGCGCAGAGACACGAAGGACGAGACGTGCCGGGATGAGTGGGAGTCTTGGCTGCCCCGTCTAGAGTCCCAAATATACCACATCACAGATGGCCTGCAGATAACACGAACCGTTTGGATCTCAAAGGAATAAACGGTATCATCGACCTATCGATCACGGCCGGACCACTGGGGCGGTGGCTGGCACTATCTGAGGGATCGACGGAACACGAGTTCTTGGCAAGTTGCCGCAGGGGCCCGTTGTCAGTTGAACTCGGGCCTCCGTCGACCATTTTCTTGATGTCACCGATTGTTCAGGCCCAATCATGGCGGCATGAATCGGGTTAAGCATGGCTCAGGGGCAGAGAATGGAAAAGCGAAGGAAAGAAGTGGTGATTTGCGGGAGAATCGGAAGGAACATTCCCCTGAAAAACCGTTCCGAAGTCCCATCGATAGTGGCGGCCGCTATAGCGGAACGCCATTTGAATGATGGTATTTTCTGGGTGGCCAGGATTCCCCTGGGACCTGGGTTTTGCCGTAAGCACACAAAAAACCAGAGCCGAGACAGACAGGTGCACAAGAAGTCGCACGTCAGCGAGCGAGGTAGACGGGTTGCGAAGCAGACAAATTGCGACGCAGAGTCGCCGGCACTAGACAAGCAGACAGCCCAGCCGCCCCAGTCCGGCTCTCAACTGGGCAGGTTGTTGGCGACGGAGAAAGTGTCTGCCCCAGGTGTTCTCAGGTGATATCAGCACAGGTAAAATACACAGCAGACACGACCTCCCTTGACAAGGGCTGGCCTTCGTATTCGCAGTCCATATAAGATCTCCGATAACCCGCCAAGCGACCGGGCCAGGGCTGGCGCCGCCCTTGTGCCTGTGCCCTCCTGTGCTTCTGCTCTCTTGTGCCCTCATCGTCCTCCGCCGCCCCCCGACCTGAAGCTGGACTTGTGCCGTGCAGCTTGTGCCGTGCAGTCCGAGTGTGGTGGGTGTGCCAGCCAGCCACCCAGTCGAGTCAAGGGCGTTACTGGACCCAACAGCGGGCGGATTGTCTGCCTGACGGTCTGACCGCTTCCTGCCGCGCTGCCGGGCCGCAGTTCTGCGCTTCACACAAGGCCCAGACGGCACGGACACGCGCGTTGAGCACAGTTGAGCGCAGTGCGAGAAAACGGCCGGGCAGCCTGCACCAGCAAACCCCCGCCTTTGCTTCCTGATCAGCCGTCCCCGCAGGCGGGCCCCCTTTCAGCACCCGCCAAATTTGATATTCGCTTGGCTCTTGCGTGGAGCCGGGAAATGCGGAAACCAAACGCACCAGCACCAGCACCAGCAGCGCCCTAGCCCAGGTCTTTATTACCACCCAGCAAGGGTTGTCGCGACGGAGAAAAAGCAGGGTCAGGCGGACTGGACCCTGAACAGCAACCGCGGCACCCCGGACCAGCTGCCCTGGGTCGCAACGACCAATCCAACCAGAAAAGAAGAAAAAGAGAGTAGATGCACTGAGAAGCGGCAGCGGGAGTCGAGCAAACAATAATAAGGACAGGGGAAAATAGTCCCAGCCGCCGCCGCCAGCCGGGCCAAGGGCCTCCAAATTCGCATTGCTCTCCTGCTCATCTGCAATCTGCACCCCTTTTGGCTCCGCAGCTTGGAAGTGGGGAGTCGCGCATCCGAGAGAGAATCGTCGAGATTGACGCCGCCTCTTCTGGGCTGTCGGTCCCCTTTCGCACGCCGCCAGTGCATCCCCAGACTTTTTTTTTCTTCCTCTTTTTCTTCCCTCCTTTACTTGCATCACTACCTCTCGCGTGCATAATCGCCTATTTCTTCTTTTCTGGCCCCCGCGCCCGCACCCTGTCCGACTCCCAGACCCGGCCTTCTTTGTCCACTCGAACACGTCGCCCCCCGATCTCGCACCGTGGCCCTGAGCCTCGCCGAAAGCACAGGCGACAGCACAGTAACACGTCCGTGTTCCCGTTCGCCGTCGACGACGCCAAAGGAAGATACCGAGCGAAACCAGGGCGACGGATTGTCTTCAACCGTCATTCTTTATTATATTTCACCCCGTGCTCCTTCCCAGATTGCTCCGCTCCAGAAATTGTAGCAGTGCCAGGAACCAGCTCGCGACTACGCAATCACTGTTTGGCATCCCCCAAGGAGCGACTCGCAAGTGAAGAGTAGTAACTTGCGGCTGGCTTTGACACCTAATTGTCTTATTCCCATCCACCTTGGGGCGTCCTTCGCGAACCGTACACCAAGCCCAACCCGACGAGCCTCGCCAACCCATTGCATTCACTTCCCTCCGCCCGCGTGGACCCCGAAGCCTTGCCGACCAAGGCACAGCCGGAGGAACCAAACCAGCCGCCTCTGCCCTACCGGTTAGGTATCGATAGCACAAGCATCTTTCGCGCCGCAGGGTCGCACGACTTTGCCCCTCCATTTCAGGGCGCAGCCGATATTCGTTGATTTTTTTTCTTGTCCGCCGTGGAACAGGCCCGACGTGGCCCCCAGCCCACAGCAGTCAAGGTTGCCCCCGTTTTTATTTCGCCTGGGCTCGCCGCGCGCGGTCGGACAAAGCACGGGCGGGAGAGCCAGTGTTTGTTATGGTATGACGCCGGGGCAAATTCGACAGGAATTTGCGCCATCGAGACATTCCTCTTGAGAGCCTGCGGGTGTACTTGGTTCGGCCTTGTTGTCCACCTGACAGCAGAGACGCAACCGCAAAACGGGGCGCATCACATCGGCGAGACCTGACCTGCTGTTTATTGTCTGTCGCTGCCGCTGGCATTCTGCATAAGATGTCGGATCACCAAGGTGAGTACAGGAGCAGAGGGATGCATTGCGCGGCCGAGATAACGGCACGCCCAATGACGCTGGCTGCCCACAGCGCCAAACCGTCATCCCCGTTCCCTGTTTTGCCGTTATGCAGCCACTGCGGCCGGTGGCTGGACAGTGTGGCAGAGAGTTTGGATGATTCGCTGGGCATCGGAATCATCACTCTGGTCCACTTGGCCGTCGAGCCTGCTGTGTCATGTAGAGGAGATTGCTGTTTCATGTCCCCTATCACGCCCATCATCAGGCCGCCGCGCGCCTCTAGTTGCCCTTTGCTGACCCCCAATCCTCTGCTCCGTTCTGATTTAGGCCACCGATCTGCGGGATCGGGATTGACACTCAATCTTTCATCCAACAACCCATTCCGCAATCGCGCCGTCTCCCCCACCAACCTTCCCCGGAGCCCGGCCTCGCCTTTTGACGACCCGGTGCCTCCTCCCCGTCCCACCTCGCGAAATCCCTTTCTCGATCCTGCAAACAAGCCCGCCCAGTCGCAGTCCCAGGGTGTGTTGATTTCGACCGACGACATGGATTCCAAAACCGACCAGCGGTCTCCCACGGCCGAAGAAATATTTGTATGTTTGACCTAGATTGTCAATATTTCCTCGTCATGCCCACATCCCTCACTCGCACAATTGGCGTCGATACAATCCTTCATTTCAATCACTGACCAGCGACGTTTGCTCGCTCCCTCCAACAGGACGCTCTGACGCTCGACGACGGTGCCAAAAAAGGCACGCCGCCACCTCCATCATCGCGACCGCCCAGGCCGCCCGGTGCTCGCGGAGAGAACGTGCCTCCGCCAGGACGACGTGGTCCTCCGCCGCCCAACCACCGTCCCACCCGCTCACAGGAGGAGGCCATGAGGGCACGGAGGATGCATGGCGCTGGCCACAGCGGCTCCTCGAATTCTCCTGGGAGACGCGGCGAGCGTCGCCCGCGCCGCAACTCGGAGTCGTCCGTCATCAGCGCTGATAAGGAAAAGACGTTGACGGACGAGGAGAAGAAAGCTCGTGACCAGCGACGCAGGGAGCGTGAGCGCCGTCACCGCTCGAGGGACTCGAAGGACAAGACGAAGCCCCCCAGCCGGAAGCTCGATATCATCGACCAACTGGATGCCACCAGCATCTATGGCACTGGCCGTAGGTTTCAGCCCGCAACAATATTCGCGCATGCCTCCGCGACTAACATCCGCTTGCAGTGTTCCACCATGATGGTCCATTCGATGCCCTCAACCCCCACCGCAACAAGAAGGGCAGCAGTCGTGCTCCCATGCAGGCGTTTCCTAAGGACTCGCTGAACAACGTTCTCGGAGGATCTGGACCCGTAAATGCCCGCCCCGACCATGCCACCTTCATGGGCAACTCCAACGAAGAGGCATTCAAGGAATACGCTTCTCCGCTCGATAAGCAGGGCTCGTCCAGCCGCGTGATGCCTGTGTTCGATCCCACCAGCCGGGGCTCTATTCTACACGGCGATGAGTCGCTGGGCTTGGGAACCTCGACCTTTCTCGAGGGCACCCCTGCGGCGCGGGCTGTCATCCAGCGCCGCGAGGCCGAGATGGCAGCCAACCAGGAGGAGAACGGGCTGCAGCGGAAGAAGTCGCTGGCCCAGCGGATCCGCGGCATCAACCGCGATAAGCGTCGTGACTTTGAGCCCAGTGGTCGCATGACGAACCCGGATGGAGCCCGCCGTTCGCCGACAACCTATGGTGCGCAAACCTCTTCCAGCGTACAGAACTCGAGGGGCGAGCGAAACCCCTTCTTCAACGAATACGGCGATAGGGGCGGCGAAGACGAGCTCAGCGTCCGGCGGCCCGATGTCAGGACCAAGTCCCCCACCAGCCCCATGCCACCTCTGGAGCGCAAGATCACATCCGATTCCAACGGCGCCCCATCGCCGCTCGACGACCAGGCTCCCAGGCAGGGGGGTGGCCTCCTGGCTCGTGTCAAGTCCCTGAAGGGTGGCCGGCGAGGACGACCCTCTGGAGGCGACCCCTCCCCTACTCTTCCCGGTACCGCTGCGTAGGGACGCTTCGGTACGCCACGGACCCCGATACGGCCCGTCAAACTAGGACCCCCGATCCTTGCTCAGGAGAGTTGTTCTTGACGCGGTCAATGCCTCGTCTTTTATCCCGTCCACCTTTCGCCGCTGCCGTCTGCTTGTTGATCCTCAGCACAAGCGCAACATATCCGATATAGCAATGATTCACCACCGAACCTTCCACATTGCGCCTCGTACGCCCATATAGAGAATCCGCTACACTAGGGCCGACTGAGAGCCTGTCGGTGGCTTACGATTCTGCGCCAGTCGACACCGGATGCACCGGAGTAGAAACTGCTTCCTTCCTACTCGGCCCACGCGCCGATTGCGCGATAACCATCTTACAGGACATGCATATTTCTTGGCGCAGCCGAGACGTCTTTGCGGAGATATCATGATCTACGGACATTCATCATGAAAATGGGGGGGTCACCTGCTGTCTCGCGCTAGGGCACTAATGTTCATGTATAAACTTTTGGGGTCGGTCCAGTTTTGGCATCGGAAGTAGCTTCTTGTTTGCTTCGCTGACATATCGTTTCCGCTCCTCGACTGTCAAGCTGCAGAATCAGCTAGCCTTGTTGCCTGTAGAGCATTCCTCTGCACCCAAGCCCTATTTCCTTTTCTCGTTTAGTTTTCTTTTCAGTCATGTGTTCTTGGCACACTTGGAAGAAGGGATTGCTGGTCCAGCTTCGTCATAAAAAAACCTCATGGGCTATTATCCGCTAGGGCTGGTATCTCCTTAGGTCTACCTCAGTTTTTTGTCTTTATCACCCTTGGGGAGCCTTTTCGTATCTCTCCCCACATTTCCTGTAATGAGAGCGAAGAGTGAGCCATCGCGTTAGGGTTTGTTTCATGTCGAGGTGTTGCTGGCGTGAACGATGTGATTCTGTTGGCCGATTGGGACGAAAGGGCCGTGGAAGAATCGCCAGCCAGCTCCTAATCAAGGTCCCCAATACATCAACCATCATTATGACATGTGTCCGGCTTGGTCCTCCTCTTCCAAACAGTCTTCAAACGTCCGATTCTGGCCGGGTGGTGAAGCTGCCTGGCCCGGCGTCACGTGAGGCTGCCAACGACGTCGTCGCCAGTGCTCCACTTCCACACTCAGCACACCAACTGTTCGCAGCACCACCCAGCAGGCACCACCACACCTGCTCGACGGCCACATGCCCCATCGCATGTAAAGATGGATCCAGACGCGGGGTTGGCGTTGCCGCAGGCCAAGCCGCATCCCGCCCCCGAGCCGCCGGTTGACGGGCTCACACTCCACCGCCGCGAGGCCGCGCGGCGCGACTCGCTCCTGAGCAGGGGCAACCTCGCCACCGGGTGCGGCGAGATCGACGACGAGGTCCTGGCCGGCGGCGGCTTCGAGCGCGGCTGCGTGGCGGGCGTCAGCGCCGAGCAGGAGGAGTTTGGACTGCTGGTGAGGGAAACAACGGTCCCGTTCATTGAACGGAGCGTCCCCATCTCCTTTGTTTCTCTCGTTTTCGCTTGATCGGGGGTCGTCGTCGTGGGAATAGAGTTGTTGACTTTTTTTTTTGATGATGGGGCCTGCTTGCTTGCTTGCTCGTGGCTCCCGTTACAATGATGTGCTGTAGATTGGTCTGCAGACTGTTGCTCGCCTACTGGTCGCTGCTCAGCTGGATGGTGCCACCGCCGCCACCACTACAACCACACCGGCGGCCCCCTTGCCCCGGGCCATGATAATCACCACACTCGACATGGCGGCGCTGCTGCCCACGCTCTCCGCAGTGCTCGAGGTCCAGGCGGACATGCTGCTGCTGCGGCTGCGGCTCGCGGGCGGGGAGGAGGACCCGGCGCGGGTGCGGGCCGTCGCGCGGTCGTGTCTGGAGCAGATCTCCATCTCGCGCGTCTTCGACCTTGAGGGGCTGTGGGAGGTGCTGCAGGAGGATCTGGTCCCCGAGGCGGCCGTTCCTGTGGACGCGGGCGCGTCGCCGTCGCCCGTAGCGCCAGGAGCAGCAGGCTCAGGCGCTGGCGACACCCCTGCCGATGCGACAACTACATTGCAGGAGAATCCGCGACTGGAGCCGGGTAGCATCGCTACCGAGGGTCAACAAAGCTCTCCGGCATCAGAAGCAGCGGTGGATGGGGCTGTCGAACGCTCGTCTCCGCCGCTTAAACTCCCGACTGCCAAAGCCACTACAAAAAGGACGGAGATTATGGACAGCGAGGATGAAATGAGCTCGTTGTCTTCGAGCTCCTCGGGACTCTCGTCTCCCCCAGCATCACCGCACTCTCCCGCGGGCGCTCCTGTCGCCGATCAGAGTGATGTACACCAACCGCCTGCCGAAACACAGGAACCGTCGTCATCTAGATCATCGTCACTGTCACCGCCGCCTAGCTCAACCATACCCCCAGACGTACGGACAGCATCCCCTCCACCTCCAACACCGCTAACGCTGCCAACGCTGCCAACTCTGCCAACATTACCCCCGACCACAGTCCCAAACGACAAGACGGCGGCACCGAGGCCCATCTCGACGACCCCGGACGTGATACTGGTGACGCACATGTCGGCGCTCATGACGGCGCTGTTCCGGCGGCGCGACAAGCAGTCGGCGCACTCGATGCTCGAGCTCCTAGCCTCGCGCCTGCGGCACGTCTCGCGGTCGCCCGAGCACGGCTGCCCGCTCGTCATGCTGCTCAACGGCACCAACTCCCCCGTCACGATGCCGAGGGAGCAGAGCCGCCAGCAGCAGCACCACCCCCGCCAGCATGAGGACGGCCCGCCGCCGCCGCAACCGCCGCGGTACGAGGGAGACCCCGGTGGGGGCAGGGGCGGCAGTAGTAGTGGCAGCAGTCAACGGCCCCTGGGCCCGACGCTCCGGTCTATTTTTAACCTACCCCACGTCGTCCCAGACCCTGGGCACAACCGCTACGGCCAACACGGCCGCAACGATGATGACGGGCGGGGAGGGGGTGGCGATAACGCGCCGGCGACGCGCCGCAACAAGCCCGTCTACGGCCTCGTCTTCACGCAGCTGCTGGACCTGCACCTCCTAGCGACACTGGTGCCCCGCGGCCCCGAGGACGCCGAGGCGGCGCTGCTGTGGCGCGCCGCGGCGGCGGCGGCGAGGTACTGCTGGGTCGTCGAGGTGCTGCTCGACGAGCCGGGCGCCTGGCGCGGCGGCGGCGCGGGCGGGCCCCGGATCTGTCGGGAGCAGAGGTGGGGGGCCGTCGAGGTCTGGGGCGGCGGGGTGCTGGTGGCGGACGCCTTTTGATGCTGGATCCGCCGTATGTTACTGGTGCCTAGGGCCGCTAGCCGTCTAGCGTGGGGAGGGGTGTTGTCTATCTACCTGTCTACGTACCTAGCTATGTATGGTGAGCTGTAAGTGGGCAAGCGGGTGGGGGGGCTTACTGTGTGCAAGGGATTCCTGGTGATGGTTTGTAGAAACATTTCCCACGTCGTCGAGCTCACCGACCTTTATTTGCTGGCTAGTTACTCGGGTATGCAGGCAAACGGCAAGCCATGAAGATGATGCACCGACGAGAGATGCCCGCCGTGGTTTTGAAGCCGGGATTACGCCCGGAAGTGGTTCGGCTTGTCCTGTTGGCAACCCTAACCCGTGAATGAGGACCGAGCTCGCCTAGGGCCGCCCTGCTGTCATGGCTCTCCCAGCCCACGAGATTTCCACCCCTGGATCTACACCGCTACAGGTTGCCGCATGCACCAAGAAGCATGTGAGGAATACATGCGCGCCGGAATTGTTTGTTTTCGCTTTTTACTTGCTCCTGGGAGGTGAAGCAAACGGGTTTTCTGGTTAGTGGCCCGTTTCCAGATGCCTGTGTTGAGACAGCACAAGTGTCGGTTGTCGATTCATGACGCTAGGGGGAGGGGAGGGAAAATGCCGACGTGTTCTTCGTTTAAGCAGGATGGAACGGGAGGGGATGCGTTGTTGTGCGGGGATTCTTTTTTTTTTCTCTCTCTTTTCGTTTCTTTTTTCCAAGGGATCAGATGTTGGTGGTGCACATCACCTGCCTGTGCTATCCCGAAACGGTCGAGTCTGCAGCTGGGGGCCAACTCATTCCGCCTACTCTAGCCTGCATCTGTATTTTTTTATTTTTTTTGTGGTTTAGGACCCGGTGTGGTAGGGACATGATCCCCTCAGTTCCAGGCAGGGCAAGTCACCCGGCCCCCGCGGGTCATTAAATTCGGCGTGCATGAACGACAGCGAGGCAGGATCACAGACAGTCTGTCAACTGTGTGTTTTCTTCGTCGGCACATATGATATCACAAGTGACTGGCGGGTGACTGTCTTGCCAGTTCACCAGCCGGGCGCCGGCGGCACGTGGCCCCGAGCGACACTTGACAGGGACTGACGAAAAAAAAAAAGAGAAAAAAAAAAAAGACAGTCGGAGCCAGCCAGACTCTTTTTTCGTCCGTCCGGTTCTTGCCCTGTTTCCGTCTGTGTGTTTATTCTAATTGCGGAGGCGCGGCTGCAAGCTGCGCTATTGCGGTAACACGCAGCCCTCGTCGGATTTCTGCATCCACTCTCTATGTCTTGGATCTGTTGGGATGGGACACACAATGGGTAGCTACCCGAGGAGCGAAGCAGCCAGTGCAGCATCAATGTCCGCAATCTGAATGAATTGCATGCCTGTCTCAATTCCAGCCTCGAGGTTCGGCAAAACGGGCGTGCGGGACCTGGGGGTTGTGTGAGTGTGGACCATGTACTGGTACCTGACGCGTACAGTGACACAGTGCTACAGTCCCCTCCTGGAGGAGTGCCTCTAATTTTATCCAATTGGACGGGTACGACCAGATGGCTGTCCTTGCGGGCAGTCGGCCGCGCCTTCTGACGTGCGCTCTCTCGCCATGGATTCCGCCGCCCTCGCATCCATGCCGTTGATTATGCGAGCGGGCAGCTTATCGAGGTGCTACACAGGCGTTTTGACTGGGTGTGGGAAACCGTATTTTGGCGGCGTCAAAGGGGACACATCAGCGTCATCCAAAGCAATAAAACCCCGCCAGGGCTGCGTACATGTACCCGCTTGGGTTCGAATGCCGTCGGTATGGGTCTGCTCGGCTTGTTCGGGAGCAAACGGGGGGAAAAGAAGCTGCACGAACCCTACAAAACCGAATCCAGTCGGGCTGCCCGCAGTTCTTTTCACTCGCATGCAGACAGCCCTCGAATCTGACATCGCTTGGCATTGTGTCGCCCATTTTATTTCGGGCCTCTTGGCCGGCCTAGTCAGCAAGGCTCGAAAGGGGAAGCCAGCGCCCACTCAGGTCGACACAAGGTGCAAGGTGTCTCGAATGATCGACGGGGGAACTCCACCGGGTTGGACGTGTGTCTGCACGGGTACCCATGAATGACATGACGCGAGATCCTTCCGAAGAAGCAGTGCTCGCTCGCATTGAGAGAGGCGAGGTGGGAAAACAGTGTTTCTGTTTTATCGTATCGCCCATTTCCCCGGCCTTTCCGGGCGTGTCATTTTTTCTCCTTCCGCTCGAGTTGCTCGGGACAGGTACTAGTACCTGAGAGACAAAAAAAAAGATACCTGACACCACGCCCAACCTCGCTCAGCATAAGCGTGGGAAATAAGCACACAGTCCTGACAAGCATAGCACGCCACTGCCAGCGCAATCACACACTAAACACGCGCCGCGCGGTCCGCACATCACTTGTGGTTCGTGTTCTTGAGCAGCATTATTGCCCACATCCCGGCCCCCGGTCACTGTGCCTGGCTGGCCTTTGATCATCCCAATTTTTTTTTTCTCTTCGTGTCGTCCGCGCCCAACCACGCTGCTCACAGACGCGGCAACAGCGAGGCAAACACACCTGCCCCGAACCGACTCACGGAAAGTCTACGATACACCGCGGTGTCAATCTCGATAAGCTTCCTCCGAAGCGTCTGCCCAAAACCACAAATCTCCTAGGCTCCCGTCCGGCAAAACCACGACACGGTTCGAGCCCAGCCCACCAGCCCCCTCCTCTCCGGGAGGTTTGCCATCGCAGCCGGCAAGGACGGAAGAGAAGGAGGAGTCAATCAGCGGACAAGTCAAGAAACACGTCCCCCAGGGGCGCACATGCCGCCGCCATGAACGCCCTACAGCAAAAGTGCCGGCCAAAGCACCAGGTCCTCGTTCTCAAGTGCTACCCGCGGACGACCAAGGGGGCCGTCGATGTCAAGCCCAACTCGAGCGAGCTCAGCTACCTGCTATACTATGTCGCGTCGCGCAAGTCCAAGTTCCAAAAGGTCGGCTCGTTCCTCGAGAAGAAGACGGCCAGTGATGTCTGGCGTTTACGAATCGGGTTCGTCTTATTTCCCATATCCTTATGCTCTCTGCTCCCGCAGCCTGCAGCACAGATGTGCACAGCCTTTGTTGATTTCGCTGGGTTGCGCATGGCACTGCAGGCGGCACACCCCAAGCCACCTCGAGGACACGTTGGCTAACATTCTGAGCTATTGCGACACAGGAACGTGCAGGTGACGCTCCAGATCCTGGAGGCGTTGATCGAGAAGAACCCCAAGGACCTGCCTCTCTTCGCGACGTCGGTCCTCAAGATCCTCGACCTGGTGCTCAAGTCCAACGACATCACCATGGTCGAGTCGTCCACGCCCACCTTCGAGGCCTTCTGCGCCAACCACGATGCCTCGTCCCTGCCTGCCGACCAGGCGTACATGAAGCAGTACGAATCCATCGTCCGCCAGTACGCCTCCCTCGCCTCGACACGGAGCAGCCCGGGAAAGACGCAGCCGAGCAAGCCGGTGGCCATGCGGTGGCGGAACACCGGCCTCGAGGCCATCAGGAGCGTGGCGTCGTCGGATACCCTGGCCTCGGTCTCGGGCCGCCAGTACGAAGTGATCGTCCCCATGATCCTGGAGAACCTCTGGACCGACAACGAGGACTTCCTCGAGGTCCTGCTGCAGCGCGCCCAGATCGAGGAGAAGGTCGACACGGAGAAGCTGCTGAGACGCCGGACGAGCGTCGCGACGGTCCGCACCGCTGACACCATCGGAAACGCCGACCCAAACCCCATCGCTCTCTCCGGCACGGCCATGGACGTCGACAAGCTCGCTGAGGAGGATATCGGCGTCCTGGCCATGGTCTGCCTGAAGCAAATCTTTATCGCCCCGAACCGCTCGCAGATCCACGCCGCCACGCAGGCGCTGTTGACCTTTATCGAGGAGCGTGTGGTCCAGGAGGAAAAGGTGGTCCGGACCCACCACGGCACCGGCCGCGATAGCGGATGGGCCATCAAGATGTTTGGCCTCATCTCGTGCTGGGCTCCGGTGCAAGAGAGATACGTGATCCTGGTGACGACTATGGACACGCTGGTTCGCATGCCGCTCTCGGACGACACACTGCCGCAGCACATAGTCCTGGTTGCCATGATGGGCGCGCTCCTGCGATCCGACGTCAACCTCATCGGCCTGAGCGTCATGGATGTGCTGCTGAGCTTGATGCAGCATATGAAGCGGCTGGTGCAGCTTCCTGGAGACCCCAGTGGAGGGCGGGAGGCCGAGAACTTGGTCCCGGGTAAGCCGGATCCGAGGTCGCCTGGCGCCGTTGCTGCCTCGACGGCCGCGGAGCTGTGTGCCTCGAATCGCAAGGAGCTCCTCGGGCGCATCCAGCAGACAATCGGCGACCTTGCGACGCATGTCTACTACGCAGACCAGATCTCCGACATGATCTCGGCCATCCTCCTGCGGCTGCGTCCCGCAAGGTCCGGCAGCCCCGCGAACTCGTCCCCCCAGGGAGAGAAGACCGAGGGTCAGACGGGCTCGCTGACGAACCTGGCCGAGGACACGAATGTCGAGTCACTCTTCTCGCTAACCATCGCCAAGACGGCGGCGCTCAAGGCGATCAAGTCGATCCTGCTCGTGGCGAACCCGCGGACCAAGATGACGGGCAACCTCGGCCTGGCGAGAAGCAAGGTGCCGATCCAGGTGTGGGAGGGGACGCAGTGGCTCCTGCGCGACACGGACGGCCAGGTGCGTAAAGCATACGCCGATGCCGTCATCCTCTGGCTCGATAGGGAGACGACCAAGGGAGACCTTCGTGCGAAGGACGAGAGCGCCTCCAACCCGCGGCACGTGGCCCGCTCTTCCAAGGAAGCCAAGGACATGCTCAACGTGGCGCCGGCGAGGAGGGCCGCGTCTAGCGCCTCGACGCGCAAGGAGGCCAAGCCTCCGCGCTCACATTTCATAAACGTGCTCCACGTGGCCATCTACGACAACGCGCTCCAGTATCTCGACTACGAGACCGACCTGGTGCTGCTGCACACCCTGCTGGCCAAGCTGGTGTCGCAGCTGGGAATCAACGCGGTCCGCTACGGCCTGCCCATGATCTTCCGGCTGCAGGAGGACATCCAGGACGTGGAGACGCCCATCTGCAAGGTCCGCCTGGGCAGCCTGGTGCACGGCTACCTCTGGCTCATGACGGACCAGTTCGACTGTGAGAACTCCATCGTCGGCCGGGCAGTCCACAACGAGATCTCGCGCCGGCGCAGCAAGAACTTCTGGGTCGAGGGCATCCACGTCCCGGCCCCGCTGCTGGAGCTCGTGGGCACCCCGGGCCTGGCACGGCCCCAGCCCAAGATGCCCCTCCACAGGATAGAGTCCGAGGCGCTGCTTCCGTTCGACGACCGCTTCGCGCTGATCGAGTGCATCTGCTCAGGCTACCAGGAGACCATGGTGAGCCCGCCGGGCAGCCCTCCGACTTCGCCCGGGCGCAACTTTGCGCACCCGATCCTGGGCCAGGCCATGTCGCCCGTGCCGCAGGCGGATAGGGAGGTGCCGGCGCGGTTAAGGGAGGACATGTGCGCCGAGTGGTCTCGCGAGATGGTGCTGGCGCTGGTGCAGGCGGGCAGCAAGTCGGCGTCGCTCAACGGCTCGCGCACCGGCACCATGGGCACCTCGGGGAGGAACAGGCTGGCCGCGGCCGTCGCCAACGGGTCCCCCGCTGGCAGCCAGAACAACCTCAGGCCGCAGTCGCAGCCAGCGCCCCAGAACGGTGGCCTGATGGCGCCTGCGGGCGGGCTGCGCAAGTCGAGTCTCCGGAGCAACCTGACGCCGTCGCCGGTCAGCAGCACGGCGCAGCACGGGGGCGTCACGTCGGTCGACCAGCTCAAGATGGTGCTGTCGGGTCACGCGCAGGCGTCGAACCTGCGCGGACACACTAGCCACGGTGCGGCCGGGGCCGGCGGCGGCGGCGACGACGACAGCACCGACAGCCTGGTCAGCTACGACTACGCGCCATCGGAGCTGTCATTCAACCCGCCGCAGACGTCGGGCGGCGGGCCACCGAGGACGGGGCACCGTTCTCGGTCGCAGTCGCGTGACGGCAAGACGTCGAGCCCCAACGGCAGCACGAGGTCCAACGGCGGCGACAGGCACCAGTCCGTGGACGGTGCCAGGGGCTACGAGGAAGGCGAGGCGGTGCCGCCCGTGCCGCCGCTGCCCCACGGTGTGTCGTCCTCCCCGCCCCCGGCTGGCGGGCGGCCATCGACGTCGCCGCAGCCACCGGTGCTCCCGCCCGTCACGCAGGACCACAGCGCCATTCGGCCGTCCAAGACGCGCAGTGTCAAGAGCAGGGCCGGCGGCGGCGGCGACCACCGGCCGTTCACAAGCGCCGGCGGGTTCGGCGACAACGTCGTGCCCGTGCCAGCACTCGACCTCAACGCGCTGCTGTCGGGCATTGACAGCAAGGCCGGCGAGCATAGCCTCGGCAACGTGGCGCGCCCGCCTTACTGAGCGAGTGAGTGGGTGGGTGAGTGGCATGGTTCAGACGATGGGAGAAATATGGGACACGGCATCAAAATCATCGACTTTCTTTTGTGGCTGTTTCTTTCCGACATAGACTATCTTTTTTACTTGTTGAGGCTTCATCAGGACGCTTGCTGTATTTGTATGCCCAAGTTTGCATGATGTTTTTTTCTCTCTCCTTTTTCTATCTCCCTTGGGTTAACATACTCCTTTAACGCATTCGACTGAGGAAACCAAGGTGGGCTTACATATTTCCAAAGGCAGCACGTGCTAGATGAGGAGCGAGGAGCCAGGAACAGGGTGTTTTGTGAGCTAGTCCGGGTTTTAATGGTTGCTAATGCTGTCTGTCTGCGGGTGAAAGAGAGAGCGGGAGCACTGACATTTACACTAACATTTTATCTACGCCTTTTTTTCTTCTTCTTCTCATTCTGTCATTAGGGGAGCGCTTACTGGCATAGACTGAGGCAACGGCAACGCTCGCCCAACCGTTATATCCCCATCCTCTCCTTTCTTCTTTTGCTTCCTCGTCTTTCGCTACCTGATCTGAGATTATTTCTAGCCATCTTTTTCTTTGACGGGCGATCGCAGTCTCCAAAATCCGATTCACCATTTGTCCAAGCTTTTTCGGTTTCGATGTTAGTCAGCTCGCCGGCTGTATTCATGTAACATCTCTAGCAAGCTAAAATCTAGTAAGCAATGCCCCCCTAGACAGAGGCAGTCGATTGGGTGATGTCATCAAGGAGAGCATTCTGTGCGAAAACCCCTTAACGGCAACTTCCGCGCGCCCACACGAGGGGCCTGCAGCTGCATCCCTGCAAGCGGGCAACTGCGACCTCGCGATTGTGGGCAGAGTCAAAATTTATCGTCTCTGCGACCAGGAGAAGACTGCTTGACCATTTTCCATATCGTCCACACATCTCCAGCAGAGCTATCGATCAGCTGTTCGCGGCGCCTTATGTGGCGTATCCAATTGACTGTGTTTAAATTTCAGTCCTTCCTTCTCCCCCCAGACCAAAGTATACGAGCAAGATGCAGCTCCCCGCACGGCTGGCCCTCGCCGGCGCACGGCGCATAGCATCAGCAGCATCAGCAACGAGGTTAGCGCCAATGGCTCCCTTGACCGCCAGGTCATCACGTCTCTTCCACGGCACCGGCCGCAACACTGCAGTCGTGACCCCGCTCCAAGGCAACGGCCCGCCGCCCGACGCACCCGTCGCCACCGACCCGGCCTTCCGCGAAGATAACGCCGCCGCCGCCGCCGCCACCACAACCAACCCCGCTACTGAGACCACCAGCCCTAAACCGACGCCACCGGCCGCCGCCGCCGAGAGCACTAGGAACAGCGCTGAAGACGCGCGGGTGATCCATAAGAGGAGGCGCCAGGCCATCATCCTCCAGGCGGCGCGGGATGTCAAGGCCGCGGGGGTCAAGTCGCTGGCAGAGCTGCAGAAGGTCAAGGCCCTGCCGAAGCGGTTCTGGAGAGAGGTCCACGTGCGCGAGGTCGATGGTAAGGCTCACCACCAACCACGCCCCTCCTGTTCCGATGCCCTGCTCGAAATGCTAATCACCCACACCGGCGAACGGCAGGCGCGTGGGAGGTCCACCTCGACTCCAGGAAGGTGCGGCACCCGACCACCAAGCAAATCCTGAGGGTCCCCGCCACAAAGCCGCAGCTGGCGTACGCGCTCGCCAACGAGTGGGACCAGATGGAGTCGGTGCGGCAGACGACCCAGCAGCACATGGTGCCGCTGACGGGCCTGGTGTGCCGCGCCTTGGACATACGCGACGACGACGCGGCGCACCGGGCTGCCGCGGGCAAGGACGGCATGGCACCGACCCGCGCCTCGGCCGTGGCCACGGCCATGCGCTACCTCGACACGGACAACCTGCTCTGCTGGGCGCCGCCCGACGCCGAGGCGCTCGCGGCGGGCGAGACGATACTGCGGGAGCTGCAGGAGCGGGCGGCCCGCCCCATCATGGCCCACCTCGAGTCCCGCGTCTGGACCACGGGCGGCGGCGGCGGTTCCGTCCGGCTGCGGCCCGCGCTCGACGGCGGCGGCATGCTGCCCACGCCGCAGGACCCGGCCGTCCACGACGCGGTGCGCGCCTGGCTGTCGGAGCTCGACGCCTTTGACCTGGCGGGCGTCGAGCGCGCCGCGCTGGCCGGCAAGTCGGTCCTGGTGGCCGCGCGGCTCGTGGCGCGGTGGAGCGAGAACGGGCTCGAGGCCAAGGTGGCGGACGAGGAGCAGAAGCAGGACGGAGAGGCCGAGTTTGGGGTCGAGGAGGCCACCGAGGCCGCCAGCGTCGAGGTGCGCTGGCAGACGGGCAGGTGGGGCGAGGTCGAGGACACGCACGACGTGGAGAAGGAGGACCTGCGGAGGCAGTTTGGGAGCGTCGTGCTGCTCGTCTCGGGCGGCGAGGCGCCGCGGAGTTGAGGGATGGTGAAAATAAGCAAGGTGAGGTGGGGTGAATGTCGTCGACTTGCTGCATTATTGTAAAATAGATATCACAAGCGTGCTAGAAAAAAGGTATAGATGGACGGCTCAGAGCGGTCTTTCTAGTATAGCAGGGCGGGACTTGGCCTGATGGAATAGCCTTGTTTTGAGCAAGATGGACCGCTCAAAGGTGGTGATGGCAGACGTTTTGGGCGCACCTCATCTCAGCTAGAAAGATCAAGGAAAGACCAAGCCAGTCCCGAGGCAGCGGCCTCAAACCGTCACAACGGCGCAGCGAATATCAGCCTTGCTGGGGCTGCATCTACGATATAACATCTAACCTAGCATCTCTTCGGTGAAAATGCCCAATCACGATTGGACCTGGCAGGGAATATGGTTATGGTTATTTGGTCTCGAGTCGTGTCGGCAACGCAATCTCTTGACCAGCTTCCTCATTTCAGGGGGTGGAGCGGGTCCAACCCCACGTTTTCCCCGCCGGCGTAGGGAGCTCCAGGCCAGCCCAAGGCCAATCAGCCAGCCTCGGCATTGGAAGTCGATTCGTCAGATCAAGTCGGGGTAACACAAAGAGCGGCGGCCGTTGAGAAAAGGCAAGCCCCGAATCTGACGACCCAAAGGCTCAGGCTCAAGTGCGCGTACGCATGTAAGACGGAGATGCAGCAGCAGCAGCAGCAGCAGCAGACACCCAGTCCCAACACCGCCATGGCCCAGCATTTGCCCCAGCCCGAGGTTGCCATTCTGTGGAGGCGAGCCGAGAGCCAAGCCAAAGCTCCACCAACGATTCGAGGCTATTGCTTGGCCATTTCAATAAACCCCTTGCTCCCTCCCCGACTGACAGCTGTCAGCCAGCGATCCCCTTCCTTTTTGTTTTCTCCAATGTGAAAGCTGCTTGATCTGTGATTCGCTCGATATTTCCCCAACCGGCAGGACAAGAGTTCAAGCGGCATTGGCTGGTGAGTACGCTGCTGGTAGAATTCAGCCTCAACGCGCTAGGTTGCACTACAAAGGTCGCGTTGTGTCGTCGCAACTCGCAACCCAGGCTACGGTCAACTCAGCTCATGCATGTGAACTCGATACAGGTCGTTGAAATACCATCTGGCGAGATCAACTCAATAACCAACTAGCATCAACATCAGCATCTCTGCAACCGCCGCAATGGTCTTCTACCCGCCAGCCTGGGTGCCGCAGCTGCCCTTTGGTAAGTACTGGCACCAACGACCGACGTGGCGGCCCGCGCCGTGGCTGACGACAAGCCAACAGACCCCCCGGACAGCATCAGCATCGAGGAGTTCATGACCAACGAGCAGTACGGCCGCGCCTCGGCCTCTAACAGCCTGAACCCCTTCACGTGCGGCCTGACGGGCAGGACCTACACCAACGCCGAGGCGTCGGCGCGGACGGACCGCATCGCGCGCGCGCTGGCGGGGCGGCTGGGCTGGCGGCCGCGCGGCGGGGGCACAGCCTGGGACAAGGTCGTGGCCATCTTCTCGGCCAACGCCGTCGACTACCGCTCCGTGCTGCACGCCGTCCATCGCCTCGACGGCATCGCCACCCCGGCCAACGCCGCCTACTCGGTCCAGGAGCTGACCCACCAGCTGGCCGCGTCGGGCGCAAAGGCCCTCGTCACGTGCGCGCCGCTGCTCGAGACGGCCCTCGCCGCCGCCCAGGCCGCGGGCATCGCGCGCGACCGCGTCTTTGTCATGTGGGTGCCGGGCACCCCTGAGGCGCGCCAGCAGCTGCAGGGGCTCGTCACCGTCGACGACCTGGTGGACGAGGGCGCCCGGCTGCCTGAGCTGGAGCGCGTGGCCTGGCCCAGGGGTCAGGGGGCGCGGCAGCCGGCGTTCCTGTGCTTCTCGAGCGGCACGTCGGGCCTGCCCAAGGCCGTCATGATCTCGCACCGCAACGTCATCGCCAACGTGATGCAGTTCACGGCCCACGACAGCGTCGCGGCCGAGAGGCGCGGGGGGCTCGGCCGCCAGGCGACGCTGGGGCTGCTGCCCTTTAGCCACATCTACGCGCTTGTTGTCATTGTGCACGCCGGCACATACCGCGGCGACGGCGTCGTCACGCTGCCCAAGTTTGAGCTCGGGTCGTTCCTCGAGGCGATTCAGCGGTTCAAGATATCGCAGCTCTACGTTGTATGTTTTTTTTTTCCTTTTTTTTTCAGTCTACTGCAAAGACGCCACTTATGTGCTGACACGACTTCTTTTTCCTGCTAGGTCCCGCCCATCATCATCCAACTCACAAGAAACGCCGACAAGTGCAAAAAGTACGACCTGAGCTCTGTGCGATGCGTCTTCTCGGGCGCTGCGCCCTTGGGCGAGGAGACGGTTGCAAACCTGAAGAGCATTTACCCGCATTGGCTGGTCACACAGGGATACGGTGAGCGGTCCCCCTACGAGCCCGATGGTGACAGCTACCCTTGCTGACGCCCCCCGGAATCCCAGGCATGACCGAGACGTCAACCGTGGTCTGCAGCACGAGCGAGCACGACATCGTGACCCGCTCGTCGGGCTCGCTCGTGGCCATGACCAAGGCCAAGCTGATGGACGAGCACGGCAACGAGGTGACGGCGCTCGACACGCCCGGCGAGCTGTACGTGCAGTCGCCGTCGGTGACGCTCGGCTACCTCAACAACGAGAAGGCGACGGCCGAGACGTTTGTGCACCACGACGACGGGCGGTGGATCCGCACGGGCGACGAGGTGCTCGTGACGCTCTCGCCGGCCGGCCACGAGCACTTCGTCGTGGTCGACCGCATCAAGGAGCTCATCAAGGTCAAGGGCCACCAGGTGGCCCCGGCCGAGCTCGAGGCGCACCTGCTCACCCACCCCTTCGTCGAGGACTGCAGCGTCATCCAGGTGCCCGACGACCGCGCCGGCGAGGTGCCGAAGGCCTTTGTCGTCCGGTCCGCCGCCGCCCGGGCCGCCCCGGGGGGCGACGTCGAGGTGGTGCGGGCCGTGGAGAAGCACGTCGAGGAGCACAAGGCGCCCTACAAGTGGCTCAAGGGCGGCGTCGAGTTTGTGGACGAGATCCCCAAGAGCCCCAGCGGCAAGATCCTGCGCCGGCTCCTGCGCGACAGGGAGAAGGAGAAGAGGCGGGCGCAGGGTTCCAAGATGTAGATTTATTTTTGTCCGTCTCTCATGTTTCTGTTGTTGTTTCTCATGTTGCCTCGCGAGTACACAGTAGATTTTGGACACGGGGTATGTAGCTAGGTATAAAGTGCCAAGAAAAACAACCACGTTTTGGAGGCTGTTTGAACGGGACGTCCAGTTCGCATTTTGTTGCCATGGCTGATCGCGATTTGCCTCTGACCTGGGAGATCAAACGGGGGACAGGTGTCTCTCCCCCTTCCCTTGCAGCCAGGATAGGAATGTGGAGCCGAACAAGGGCAGCTGTCGGATCGAAATCTTGGCGAATGAACAAGCCGCCAGGCTGACGGGCGGGTTTCCGATGAAACGCGAGAGCCTGCAGAGCCCCAAACCTGGGCCCGGGCCCCGTTGACTGATACCTAAAACCTCGGACGCGACGGGGGGACGACTCCGCTATCGCGTCGTGTTGGGACAAAACGCCGCCCCCAGCCGAGATCAGATAGAGGCCCTTTTTTTTTTTCTGTGTTGCTGACGGGCGGCGGTGGCCATTTTGGCCGGGTTTTGGAATCGCGGTAAAACAAAAAGACTGCATCTGCAGGGTTGTCTGGGCCCCCCCTTTGGCCCTGGTATTTTGTGTTCAAGCTTAACCAACCCAAAAGTCTTGTTCTTTTATTTCCTTTCTACTTTCCCTACTCTTCTTCTCTTTTCTTGGCCAACCACGCGGAACTGGATTCTCGTCGGGCTGTTTTTAGGGTCTTTTTGTATTTCTGGAAATAGCTTCACTTCGTATTCTGTAAAGCCTGGTTGCTTTTTTTTCTTTTATTTTCTCCCCTCCTTTCCGCAGCAGTTCAAGATGTCGACCATCCGCTCCTTTTCCTCCTTTTTCCTGCTCCTCCTCCTCGGTGTCCTCAGCGGCGGCGCCGAGGCGCAGAGGAGGCAGAGACAGGGCGGCGGCGGGGCGCGGCAGACGCCGCAGCAACAGGCGGCCGCCGTCAGGCAGGGCGTGTCGGCGGCGACGGACGGGTCGACCATCCTGGACATGACGGCCACCATCAAGTAGGGGCCTCTTCTTCTTCTTCCCCCTGCCATGCTCTTTTATAGCAGTTATATGGTCAAACTGACACCTTCTCTCTTCCTCCCCACAGCGGCGCCGACATCCGCTTCAAGATCAGCGGCCCCGCCGACCAGTTCACCACGGCGTCTGGCGTCACGGGCGGCACGCAGGAGCCCAACGCGACGACGGGCACCATGGGGCTCAACGTGCTCCTGCACGGCGACGGCGGGCAGTCCTTCTTCGACTTCCCCAACCAGGCCGTGCAGGGCAACCTCATGGGCGTCGCCGTCCTGGCCCCCTCGGAGAACCTGCTCTGGGGCATCCGCACCGGCCCTCCCCTGGGCGACCAGCGGCCCGACGGCGTGGCCGACGCCCAGGCCGTCAGCGACCTGGTCCGGTCCGTCCTCCCGCAGGTCGCCGCCTTCAACATGTCAAACGTCTTCTTCACGGGCGTGTCGGGCGGCGCCCTCGTGCTGTCGGGCTTCTTCATGCCCGCGCACATGACCGAGTTCAAGGGGACGGGCGTGCTGCTCAACTGCGGCGCGCTCGCGCCGCAGGTCGACTTTGTCGACGCCGCCGCCGTCGTGTCGTCGACCAAGATCCACTTCCAGTCCTCGACCGACGAGCTGGCCAGCCTCAAGCGCACCATCCCGCAGAGCATCGCGGCGTACGAGAAGGCGGCGGCGGACGCGGGCCTGGCGGCCGCGCAGATCAACGCGCTGCAGACGGTGGACGCGACGCCCAACGGGGGCCACTGCGCCTTTGACGGCAAGGGGTTTGTCAGCGGCATCCAGCTCGTGGCTGACAATTTCGAGACCATCATGCAGGGCGGCGACGGCGTCGTGCAGGCCATCGGTGCAAAGTCGGTGCTTACGGGTGTCGTGGGCAACGAGAACCCGTTCGCCGCCGCCGGTGCCGGTGCTGGTGCTGGTGCTGGTCGTGGCCGTGGCGGCGCCGCTGCTGGCGGTGCTGCTGGCGGTGCTGCGACACAGAGGACTGGGGGTGGCGCTGCGAGGGCTGGAGCGCAGGGGAGGAACAGGGCATAGAGCAGGCAGTAGTTTGGGAGTGATTTATTGTACCTCAGTAGCCAATCTCGAAACCGCCATGCTAGCTGTTCCAACCTTGTTCGAACCGTCATCATCGCCAACCCGCTCAGCAAACAGACCTGTGAATCCCATCCGCCATCCTATGTTTCCTCCCCCCCCTCCTCTCCCGTCTCGCCCTCTCACACTCCTCGGGCGTCCCCTTCTCCTTCTCCTTTCCCCCGGCGCGCGGGTGGTCTTGGTGGTTCCGCCCGCGCCTGAGGATGTCGAGGTCAACCTCGTCGTCGTCCATCAGCTTCTGCGTCACCTCGCAGATGTCCGACACGAGCCGGTCCAGCAGGTCGAGCGACAAGCTCTCGCGCACCACGACGCGCAGGATCTCGGTGCCGTCCTCGCCCGGCGGCAGCGCGTAGTTGGGCACGATCCACTGCCGCGCCCGCAGCAGCAGCGACACCGTCTCCTGTCGCACGTGCGGGAACTCGCGCTTGAGCTCGTCCGATAGGTGGAAGGATACTACTGGCAGGCCGGCCACGTAGTCGGCCGACGTCTCGCCGCCGCCGCCGCCGCCTCGGTTGCCGTGACTGTCGTTGGCCTTGTCTTTACCGCTGTTGCTGCTGCTGCTGCCGCCCCCGTTCCGCTTGCCGAGGGGCGGCTTGGTGATGATGGTCTTGACGCTCTGCGCTAGGCTCTCGATGGTGTGCCCCGCCGAGCCCTCGTCGTATGGCAGGCGCTCGCCGCCAACCGACGAGGGCGACTTGGGTGCCTCCTCGATGTGGAAATCGCCTCCCTTCGTAGAGGTGGGCGACAGCAGGGACCCGGAGTCATTGGCAGGGCGGTGGATGTCCGACACGCACGTGTACCAGCCCGTGGCCTCGAGGCTCTTTGAGAGCAGGCGCGCGTTGGCCAGGCAGCTCTCCATGATGTTGCGGTAGCCGTCGAAGCCGAGGTGGATGAGGTTGTAGTACTGCGTGATGACCTGGGCCCCCGGGCGCGAGAAGTTCAGCGTGAAGGACTGCTCGGTCCCGCCTAGGTAGTGGAGCTCAAAGATGAGGTGTTCTGGCAGGTAGGACTCGTCGCGCCACACGATCCAGCCCACACCGGCGGTCACCAGGCCGTACTTGTGCCCTGTAATGGGTTAGCATTGTTACGTCTTGGTTGTTAGAAAGAGCTTGCTCACCAGAAGCGTTGATGGATTTAACCCGGGGAAGATGAAAGTCCCTGGAAAGAAGTCAGTCAATACAGTTTCTAGCCAGATAAAGGGCAAAAGTCGCCTACCACTTGGGACCGCCAGCTCCAGCATGCGTAAAGGGGGCGATAAAGGCCCCGCTGGCACCGTCGACGTGGATCGGGATGTCGATGCCCGTCTCGGCCTGGTAGCGGTCCAGTACCCTGGAGACCTCCTCGACGGGCTCGTAGTGACCCGTGTAGGTGCTGCCCAGGATCACAAAGACGCCGATAGTGTTCTCGTCCAAATTCTCCCGCACCAGGTCCGGGTCGAGACGGTAGTGGCTCTTGGCCGAGACGGGCAGGATGCGGGCCTCGACGTCAAAGTAGCGCGCAAACTTCTCGAGCGCGACCTGGGCGTTGGCGCCCATGAGGATGTTGGGGCGGCTCGCGTCCTTGCCCTCGGCCCGGCGCCGCTCCTGCCACCGGCGCTTCATGGCCAGGCCGCCGAGCTGGATGGCCTCGGACGAGCCCGTGGTGGCGCTCCCGATGGCCTTCTCGCCCTCCTGTACGCCCCAGAGGTGGGCCAGGATGCTGACGCAGCGCTGGTGGATGGCGATCATTGCCGGGTACTCGTCCGAGTCGGCGAGGTTCTTGGCCATGTTTTCGACCATGAGCTTTTCGGCCGTCTCCTCGACGTATGTGCCGACAAAGCTACGTGCCTTGGTTAGTTTTGCTGATGCAACGGGCAGAATACTCGGGACGTACCTGGCAAGGTTTAGGTTGGGCTTGCCGTCGAGGTCAAGCTCGTCCCGGATCATGGCGTAGACCGTGTCTGATTCGGCGCCATGCTTGGGGATCTTGAACTTGGGCAGGCTGACCTGGCTGGCATAGCGCGACGTGTAGGGGGTCAGGTGGCTGACGGCGGCCTCGCTCCGCGGGTCGTCATCGCCGTCCTGCTCCGAAAGCGAGGCGCAGTGGAGGCGTTTGATAATTTCATCCGGGTTAACCTGCAATTTCTTGTCTCAGCGGGTTGTTGGGGGTGAGGAGTGGGTAGGGAGTGAGCTTACATGACGTGCCAAAGACATGGCTTCAGTTATGGACCCAAGGTGGAACAGATGGAGGTCAGGTAATTGATAGCTCGTCAATTGTGTTGGCGATGCTTGGCGTGGTGTTGAACTGCCACCCAGAATCTTGAGAGACAACAGAGGGGACCCCAATGACTTAAATACCTACACGTCACAAAGCCATCCAGACCTCCCCAACGGCAATCCGATCTCTGAACTGGGCTAGAAAATATGCGATGGGATGTGCGCTTGCGCCGCACCGACTGAGGATGATTGATGTATGACGCCATGGCCCACAACCAGAGCAGGCCTTCTTCCACCTGCTGCGTAGGCGACGTAATGGTGTCAAAACGCGGGCAGCACGCTCAGTGGACAGCACCTTGGCAGGTAGCGCAAAGCATCGCGAGACGGTGTCTGTCTTGGTGCGTTGGCCGCGTAAGTCCAGCCGACATTATTCCCTTGAACCTTCCTTCCCGCAGGATCGACAGTGCACACACGGTGCAATCGCAGCAACATGGAATTTCCATCCCGCTGCTGCTATTCCTGTTTTTCATCTCGACTTTTGCATTCAACACCTAAACATTAGAAAACTCAGCCTTACATATCAACAGCCACCGCCCTGCCACCTCCAGGCAAATCAAACGTGCCAGCCATGCCCGACATGCTAGCATTATAGTACAGCATGAACCCGCGGCTGTCGATATTCGGCACCTTGCCTTCGACCCGGAGCCGGCTTACGTGCGCGTTGCCAGTCATGGTCCAAGACGACGTCGCCGACAGGGACACGTCGACCCGGCTCCTGTTGCCGCTCTGGCCCGCCGTGCCGACCCAGGTCGAGCCCATGGTCACGCGCCAGTCCACCCAGCTGCCGTCGCCCGCCGCCAGCACGTCGCCCTCGAGCGTCGACTCCTGCGCCGTTATCACGTTGGGCCGATGCTGCAGCTGCTGCGCCGGCTTGCGCGGCTCCTCTGTGAATTTGTCCATGTCCCGCGTCGGCAAGGCGCCGCCGGCCCGGACGAGCACGCGAGACTCGCCGACTGTGCCGTCGGTATTGGTATCGTTGTGCTCCAGGATGAGGCTGGACCGGATGATCTGCACTCTCGCCCGCGTGTTGGCGATCCAAACACCTGCGACTGTGGTGTCTCTGATCTTGATCTCGGAATCCTTTATGGTGACCCTTACGGGAGGAAGGGGTCTGATCTGCGTGGGGACGACTGTCGTGGCCTTGGCCGAGGGCTGAGGCCCCTTAGTCTTGGTCGATAGGGCGGTCGAGTTGGCCGACACGCCCACAACCGTCGTTTTCGGCCTCGCCACCATTGTGTTAGTCCAGGTGACTGCCGTAGCCGTCGACGTGGCCTTGACAGTGACATTCGAGACCGGAGAGGCCCTGTTGACTGTGATAGCCGTCGACGTAGCCTTGGTAGTGGCGTTCGCGACCGGGGAGGTCTTGTTCGCAACCACGGGCGTCGACGAGTTGTCGAAAATCACCACCGCCGCAAGCATCCCCGCCGACCCGCTCACGCTGTCCAGCAGCACCCTGGGCGCCCTCGCGCTCCTGGCCCTGCTCCTGCTGCCGCGTAGCGCCGACGCGTCCACGACTAGGAACGGCGCCCGCCCCGCCTCGCAGGAAAGGTTGCGGGCTTCGAGCAGGCTCCCGCCGCCGGCGTGGAGGCAGGGGCTCCCGACGCCCGCGGTGCTGGCCGTCGACTCCCGGATGCGCAGGCGCGACCCGACGCCCCAGGCCGCGCCGGCGCTGCTGCGCATGCCGCCCGTCGCCACCGTCAGGCCGCCGGCCTCGACCCACGACCCGGCCGCGGCGACGACGGCGTGGCCGACGGGGCCGGTGCTGGCCACCTGGCCCGTCTGGGCGCGAACCTGGGTGCCGGGCCCGTAGGCGAAGAGCCCGATGGCGCCGTTGTGGGACGTTATGTTGAGGTTGCTGAGGAAGGCATGCGTGCCGTTGGCCTAGTTGGCTCGATTTTAGTAATATTTCGCTACCTCATTTCTCATGAGCTGACTTACAACGTTGACAGCCGAGTTGAAACCCCAGGCCTCGGCATTATAAGCGTTGGTGCTGCGCCCCAGCTTGGACACGGCCACGTTCGTGTTGTTCCAGTGGGTTCCGTTTGTCACCGATACGGCGACCATATCGTCCTGGTCGACCTCGAAGCTGTTCTGGTCCATGGCAACGTTTTTGTCGACCTTGACTACCCACATCGCCTGTCGATGTTGAAAAGGCATCATGTTAGCTGACACGAACAATCGAGCTGGGTCGTGGATGTGTACGTGCCTGGAGCGGCTCGGGCTGGGTTCGGAACTTTGTTCTGTTCCATGTCACCGGCTCTGCGTTCTCGTCGGTCCATATCTCGTCTGCGACCTCGGGGATGGCCGGCTCCATGGTGAACCGGCGGAAAACACCCCTCACCGAGGCCTCGGGCGCGGCGGGTGATGCCACGGCGCCAAGAGCCCTCGACAGAAGGAGATATTTTACTAGACTCTGCATCATGTATATTGATGACAAGATATCGGTTCGCTGTGGAATAATACCAGAGTAAGGCATGCAGTTTTTAACGCCCTTTCAAGAGTCCTCCTGCGTGCGACTCATTCCCGCGACGTGGATCAAGTGCTCGACCTTTCTCCAGAAGAGATTTCCACTCCATGCTTTACACCCTTGCTGATTTTTTAACAGGTTTATCTTTACGAGGCTTTCACAGAACTCTAAAATAGCCTCCTTTTGACTTAATGGCCGGACCGTAGTGGCAAACCCTGGTGAATGAGCTGGAGAAGATAACCCCTGGCTCCCACGCGTGGGGACGATGCAAGCCGCACAAACTACTTCCAGTGGGTGACTAATTAAAGTTGGACCACGAAAGCCCCCTGGAGGGCGCATCCAAGGCCGCGTTTAAAAGGGCTCCCTTTCCATGATGAGGAGCTGCCACGCATGACGGCACACACATCGTGTTACAAAGAAGAACTACAATCACCACAAATGTCTTCCACCGATCGATTCCTTGAGGGATCCCTCTCACAAGGGCAATGTAAGTCCATGCCGAACTAACCCGCTCTGGCGTCGGCAGATCACGCGTTTTCGGCGCGTCCGGCGGAACTAGGCCGGGTACCTCGCACCGTCGTCATAGCGCTTGCGTGTTGCGTTTTCTTAATACTTTCCATTATTTATCTTCGAGGCTGGTACCCGTCTCGGGATGTACGGGTGACTGCATAACGGACACATGGAAAATGATAGATACCGCGGTTAGACCTTTCCATTCCCGCGTAGGCAAACATGTTCCTCTTTTATCACGATATGGCTAGCTGTCCCTAGCACGACGAGGCATTACAAGACCACGTCGAAAATGTACGTCCCACTCTCTAGCTTCATTATTTTAAGCCATACCCGAAGGAAAAATCACACCCAGCCAGGGAAACCAAAGCAATGTCCGCCACCCCAGCTACAGTAAGCATCGCCAAAAGGATAGCATGGCAGCCGCTAAACCCTGACGCCCGCGATCAGCTTGACCCCCAGTACGTTAAGCTGCACGACGAGGTGCTGGTTTGTGATTGCATGAACGCATCAGGGATGCTTTACGTTGGTCGCGCTGCCAAGTTTGTGCGGGCGGCTATTTCCGAGGGCGGCTTTTCTAAATCACGTAGAAGGAATTCGCACAACCGAGGATGTCATCCGTTGTTATTGGCCAATTAAGGACAATGGCTAAATTTCGGCAGTCGTAGATTATGTGGGAGCTTTTGACGGTTTAAGGCTCTGGCTCAATCCAAAGTTCTCGGCGGGGAGGATGAGGGTGCCACTTCCGGGCTGACAATTGCTGCGTGGTGGTTCAGCCACCCCGCAACTCTCGGATGCCACAACCGTCAAAGTGGAACAAGGTGTGCACGTCAGCACGGGGCAATCGAGTCTTCTAACCGATGCCACATGGACTAGGCAGACATGCCGCAGAGGATCGGCCACGACTGCTGACAAGCCAAGGTTGCCTGGTTCCTTCCGATGCAAGGAACTCAGCGTGTGGTCCTTTGTATCCACCACATCAGCTGAGCGAAGATGGGCGCAAATACGATGGATGCGGTGGCCCAGGGCTGGGTAGCCAAGTGGCGCGCCCAATCAGGGGCGTGTCAGCTCAGCTCGTGGTATAAGTCCCAATCGGGAATAACCACCGTACCAGAATCCACCAGTCGGCGGGAATGTGAAATCAAGGCCGAGGCTTACGCTGATTCCAGGATAGAAAGCGTGTATCTGCTGCAGCGATCGGCCTCCACCGCCAACTCGGCCCGGATGGGCGATATGCAGCCGTGGCCCCCCGACTGGTGCTGCGTGGCTCGCGACATAGAGCCCTAAAGCGGCCGTTCAGTGTTATCCCCGTGATCCCTCCTGGCTTGGGCCAGCCTGGTTGGATCCAGGGTGGGCGGCGGGCAGGGAGGGGGTGAAGCTAGTGAACAAGACCAAGATAAATAACCCTCTCGTTCGCATCGTGTTTGGCGGTTGTCATTGATATTGCAGCCCTCAACCGCTTGCAGCTCCAGGGGGTCACTCGATAAAGTGGCCTGCATGTGCCTAATCAATCAGGTTTTGGGACTAAACCGACTCGTCTACTGCCTTCCCTATATACCCAGCACCATGTCGTCACTCCAACGGCCTCGTGCCCCCTCCCTCCACGCCATCCTCTTCGCCCTCCTCGTCCTCTGCTCCCTCCAAGCCAGCGCCGCCGCCTCCCCGGCCCCCACAGACCAGCAGGAGCAGCAGACGACGCCCCGGCCTAGGTGCAAGGCAGTCCCGGGGACGGCGGCGTGGCCGCCCGAGGCCGCGTGGCGGGCGCTCAACGAGTCGACGGGCGGCCGGCTCATCCGGCCGGCTCCCCCGGGGGCCGTCTGCCACCCCGGGCAGGCCGGGCACGACGAGGCCGCGTGCGCCCGCGTGCGCGCTGCCTGGCCCGACCGCGAGCTGCACATGTCCGACCCCGTCTCGACCATGTCGGACAACTGGAACAACGACACGTGCCTCCCCGACCCTGCTTATCCGTGCAGCGGTCGGGGATATCCTGTGTTTGTCGTCAACGCCACGACCGCCGAGCACGTCCGGCTCGGGGTCAAGTTTGGTTGGTTTTTTCTCCCGTGCTTTCTTTTTATCATTCATAGGCGGCCTTTGCTAATATGCTCAATGACACTACCCAGCCCGGAAACACAACGTCAGGCTGGTGGTCAAAAACACCGGCCACGACTTTGTCGGGCGGTCCGTCGCGCCCAACGCGTTATCCATCTGGACGCACCACATGAAGGAGATTCAGCGCGGCACAGGCGCATTCAAGCCCAAGGGCTGCGGTAAAAACGTCGAAATCAAGGGCAACTACATCACGGTAGGAGGCGGCATGCAGATGGCCGAGGCGTACAGCTTCACCGACGGGTTCAACGAGACCATCGTCGGCGGCGGCGGCATGACGGTCGGCGTCGGCGGCTGGGTCACGGGCGCCGGCCACGGGCTCCTGAGCCCGACATATGGCCTCGGCGTCGACCAGGTGCTCGAGATGGAGGTCGTCACGCCCGCCGGGGACGTCAGGACGCTGAACGAGTGCGTCGACCGGGACCTGTTTTGGGCGATGCGGGGGGTGAGTATTGCTTACAGCAGATCAAGTTCCCTCACGTAACGCCCAAGACAGAAGAAGGCTGACAGAAACAATATCACTAGGGCGGGGGCTCGACCTTTGGCATCCTGACCTCGGTCACCATGAAGACGCACCCGACACCGCGCATGCCCTCGCTCAGCATCCTCATCGTGGCCCCGCCCGACTCGCCGACTCCCGACACCGCCGCCGCCGCCCTGCCGGACCTGGCCGCCTACGTGCTGAGCGAGCTGCCGCGCCTGAGCGCCGCCGGCGCCGCCGGCTACCTGCAGGTCCTCAGGCGGTTCCCGGACCCGCGGGAGGGCCAGCCGGCCGGGCAGGTCGTCACGGGCATCACGTGCGTGCTGACCATGCCGTACGGCACGCCCGAGGCGCTCGCGGCCGCCTGGGCGCCCGTGGCGGCGCACGTGGGCGCCGCCTGGCCGGGCGTCTTTTTCGCCCTCGTCGAGCGCTCCGAGGACCACGCCGCCTGGTGGTCCTGGTTCCAGGAGCATTACGACACGAACCCGGCCGGCGGCGAGCTCGTGCTCGGCAGCTGGCTGCTGGACGGCAGGGCGCTGGCGGCGGACCGCAACGCGACCGCGGCCGCGTTCGGGCGGTTCCTGGGCGGCGGGAGCGGGGATGTCGCGGGCACGCTGCTGAACTTTGTGGGCGGGAGGGGCGTCATGGAGGCGAGGCCGAGGGGAGGGGGCGCCGCGGTGCTGCCGGCCTGGAGGAGGGCCTATCTCCACCCTAGTAAGTCACTCGTTTATTGGAGGGGGGAAGCAGCGTCCTTGCGGGTTTGTATGCTGACGAGGGGAACGAAAACAAAAGTCACGGCCGTGCAATGGCCGCCGCTGAACTCGTCGGCCAAGGCGGCGGCTCTGTCGGCGCTGCTCGGCCGGGTGGCGGGGCTGCGCGAACTGGCGCCCGACATGGGGGCCTACATGAATGAGGTATGTTCGGTGCTTGGAGGGTTTGAGCCTGCCGTATCGGAGAAGGGACGTTGACTAACAGTAATGCTAACTATACTAGGCAAACCCATACGAGCCCAACTGGCAGGACGCCTTCTGGGGCGCCAACTACGCGCGGCTGCGGTCTATCAAGCGCTCCGTCGACCCAGACGACGTCCTATGGTGCCACCCTTGCGTCGGAAACGAAGGCTGGGAGGAGGTCGATGGACAGCTCTGCCGAGTATAGACGCTGGGCCTGCACATGTGATGCAATTGTACGACAGCGCGTGTGAGTTTGGAGATAGACCCTACTCTTCATGCAGTAGAGTTCCAACAGTCCAGAAGCAGTGGAGGCCAGAGTAGCGCAGTCAAGGGAAAGTCCAAGTTTAATTTGCGTGATATCTAGCACACGAGCCTTTGCACCCACCAGCGCCTCCTCTTGGCCGTCTAAGCCTACATGCCGCCGCCGCCGCCGACGCCAAATCCCATGGTGCCACCCGCTGGAAGCACTTGTCAGCTCACAGTCATGGCAGGAATTTTGGCTATGTATCACCCCTTGTGACGGCGACATACCTGGTCCCGTGTTGCCTGGCGTCCATCCAAATTCTTTGGCTAGCTTCATCTTCCTTGCCACTAGATTTTCAAAGCTTGCGTCAGTTACTGCGCCCCTGATGGACAGTATGAGCTGGCCCAGAAGTCTAGACACTCACCTCCGTCCATGCCCTCGTGCGTCTTGGGCGCGTTTGTCGTGACAAACTCCCACACGTGGCAGCACCACAGCGCCACCAGCATCTCGAACTGGCCGCGCGGCATGGCGGCCGTCACGTCCAGCGTGTGTCTGGTGTCCCCCTTGTCGTCGCGCGTCTTGGCCACGACGCCGCCGCCGCCGCCGCCGCCGCCGCCCGGGCCGGCGGTCCACCCGGCGCCGCTGATGGCGAAGACGCTCTCGGCCTTCTTCTCGAACGTCGGGATGCCGTACTTGCTAGCCTTGCCCGACAGCCCGAGCGGCACGGCCGCGGCCCTGGGCGACCTCCTCCCCGGCACGAGCGAGCGGCTCCTCTTCAGCCCCACGCCCGCGGGACCCGAGACGCGCGCGCTGGCGCGCTGGACGTAGAAGCGGGGCGACTCGGACGGCACGCGCTCGTAGCCGCCGTGGGTCCGCCGCATGCGCCGCAGGTCGTAGGCCGAGAAGGGCGCCACGTGCAGGCGGTGCCAGTACACGGCCCAGAAGCGCCGCAGCGTGTACGCGCCCAAAGAGGAGCCGAAGAGCGTCCGCGGCGACGTCCAGGCCTCGGGCGGGTCCCAGCCCAGCACCGAGACGAAGAGGGCGGCGCACAGGTGGCGCGCCGCCGTCAGGCCGTACTGGGTGCACCACATCCAGTGCACACTCATGATGGCGCGCAGGACGAGGTCGGCCCGCATCGGCTCGGGGCATCAGGCCTTGGTTTTCGGGGAGGAAGTTGGCGATGCCGATGCCGTTTGCTCTAACCAATAAACGATGAGCATGTCGACTTGATACCGGTTATAAAGCCAGAGTCTCAACCCCATCAAGATGTGGTAGATGGCGAACAAGGAGCGAAATTGGTGGTATCGCAACGACGGCTCTCCTGGCGGCTACCGGCTGAGCCGGTGATCGTCGAGCCTCCAGATGTTGACCCAGATCTGCACCGTCACCTTGAGCTGCTCGGCGAGGGGCTAGCCTGTCGTGGTTGTCTGCGGGCTGAGGAAGAGGATAGACGTCGTGTGGGCCGTCCCCCAGACGGCTATGTGCACTGAGAGCGACGGCAGCTTGCGCAGGACCTCGATGTCAGCCCCCAGGAGGCCGATAGCCACGACGGCCACGAGCAGGGCGGCCAGGACATGCCGCGGCAGCTTCTCCCGCTGTCGCAGGATGAGAAAGGACAGGAGAAGCGAAAGGGAGAGCCAAAAGGCCGGCCAGGCAAAACTGGAGAGCGCCATTATCGGGGTCAGGGGTTGGTATGGCCGTCGGCTTGATTCCCCAAATGGAGGGCGACGCATGCCAGCCCGTCTATAGGCCACCCGACGACGGCTACGACTCTCAGCCCTAAGCGGCGCCCACCAGCACCCCCTTGGCATGAGGGGTCACCTGCAAGGCCATACGCCAAGAAAGGTCGCGAAGGAAGACATTGACTACCTCATCCGTCATCCCGAGCCGCTGACAAGCGCACTTGGCAGACAATGTAGCGCCCTTTTAACTGGGCCCGCCTGGGGCTGGGGGTGATTCCGCCTTGCCGAGAGGGAGGCCGGCAGCGCCAAGACGTCGAGGGTGGTTGCATCATAAAGTTCACTGTTTGGCATCACCAGTGGATGGCGCATCTTGCACCTCGCTCACGTTTGTTTCTGGAAACGCGGCAGCCCTATCGGCCCGGTGCCCCGGCCAGGGGAGATGCAGGGATACCTCTGGCAGGTTGGATCCAAGAATCTCGTCAAGTTGCACTAAGAGCATCTTGAGTCGTCTTGATGATCAGAATAGCCTCGGTGATAAAACTAATCCTATACATGCAAACCTCTATTCACGGTTCCCATCTGTCGTGCAGTGCTTGGTTATAACACTCGAAGGCGGCCAGCCCAACACACTCGCTACAGCACCGGCCTCCCAGCCCCCGACACCCACTCCATCCGTCAAGATGCCTCAGATCGTCCTGCCCGTCGTCATCGGCGCCATCGGCATCGCCATCAAGGCCTCGGGCCCGTCATCCATTGCTACGTCATCCGGCGGAGCTGCCAGCTGGGGCGCTTCTCGGACGAGCCCTTCGAGGTCAGCGACCTGGCGGGCTCCGTCATCCCGGCCATCAACGAGACCGTCATGCTGCGGGCCCAATGTTGTTCACTTTGAAACCTTGGAAATGTGTTCGCATGACAGACAGACAGACAGACAGCTAACCCCGTGTCCGTCTCTTACTAGTTGCGCGCTTCGACAACGTCCCGCCCACCTGCATGGTCCTCTCCACTGTCCTGACCGGCGGCTGCGGCGTGGCTCCCCCTTACCCGACCGTGTACGGCTCAGCCTGCCTGCAGTACGCTGGTCTGAGCGAGGGTCAGCTTAACCAGCTGGGCGACGCCCTGCGACCCCATGTCCACCCGGTCTAAGCAGGCGAGCGCCAGACTGGTAGAGGCTGCTTTGGGGGAAGCCTGTGTCGATTTCCGGCCTCTAGGCAGAATCTTCCCCGAAACCGCTGTTTTTTTCTTTGTATGGGGTCTCGTTCTTTCATTAACCTATGTATCATTCACGAGACTTTGTAGCTCACGGGAGCAGAGATTTACTTCTTTGGAGAGAGAGCTTGAAGACGTACACAGTAAACACAAACTTAAGCCGGCAGGTTACCAATACTTGCAATGCCTACCTTCTCCCAACCTTCCACGCCTAGTATAAAAAAGATGGCAGTTTTACAAATCCTAAGGATTAGAATGATTGATGATATTGGCTTTTTTATTTTTTATTTTTTATTCTTTATTTTTTTATATCGTTCTTCTTATGCTTATTCCTGTTGCTATTCCTGCCCTTCCAATCCTCGCAACCCTTCTACTGTTTAGACGGAACTGCCGCCTTTTCTGTGGTGGGCGTACCTTCCAAGGTCTCAATATACTACCCGATTGGCCTCACTGTTTCGATGGGCCGTGCTTAAGGTGCCGTCCGAATCAGGCAGTCGGCAACACCCGAAAGCCAATCAATCACTCCGAGGTCGCCGTGCGCGAGTCATGCGCACCGTGGGGGAGGAACGCGTCTCCACAGTGATGCGTCATCCCGAGTCAAGTGTCTGGGGCAACCATCAGGGTTCTTACAGGCTGCAGCTAACGCCTTATCGCGACCTCGTGCGTCTCGTTGAGCTTCTCTCAACCATACATGCCTAACCGCCATCGTTCCAGTCACTCTGGCTAGGGCTGGCACTGTGTTTCTTCAGTAGTGCCATGACCAGGTAGACAACAAACAGCCGAGTCGCCCCAAAGCCACGTCCACGTCCCGCCCCATCCACCGCCTCCCCCTCGCACCCGCCGGGCCCGCCCACGATGCGCTCCACCGCTGCCCTGCTTGGTTGCGCCGCCCTGCTGGCCACGGGCGGCCGGGCCATGCAGCCCGGGGCCGCCAAACCCGTGTCCGCGCCGATGCGGAAGCTGCAGTGGGGCCAGCTCAACTTCCTGCACACGACCGACACGCACGGCTGGCACGGCGGCCACCTGCAGGAGTCGCAGTACTCGGCCGACTGGGGCGACTACGTCGCCTTCGCCGAGCACATGCGCGCGCGCGCCGACAAGGAGGGGCACGACCTGCTGCTCGTCGACACGGGCGACCGCGTCGAGGGCAACGGCCTGTACGACGCATCAACCCCCAAGGGCCGCTACACATACGACATCTTCCGCCAGCAGGACGTCGACATCATCTGTACCGGCAACCACGAGCTGTACCAGGCCGACGCCGCCGACCGCGAATGGAACCAGACGGTGCCCAACTTCAAGGGCCGCTACGTCGCCTCCAACCTCGACTACATCGAGCCCGGGTCCGGCCACCGCAAGCCCATGGCGCAGCGGTTCCGGCGCTTCAAGACCAAGAACCAAAAGATCGACGTGCTCGCCATGGGCTTCCTCTTCGACTTCACCGGGAACGCCAACAACACGGTCGTGCAGCCCGTCGAGGAGACCATCAAGGAGAAGTGGTTCCAGCAGGCGATACGCGAGAAGCCCGACATCTTCGTCGTCGTCGGCCACGTCGGCCTGCGCATGCCCGAGTTCCGCCAGATCTTCACCGCCATCCGCAAGCAGAACTGGTTCGTGCCCGTCGCCTTCTTCGGCGGGCACGCGCACGTGCGCGACGCCGTCAAGTACGACTCGCGCGCCTACGCCGTGGCTAGCGGGCGCTACTTTGAGACCATCGGCTGGATGTCGCTCGACGGCCTGCTAAAGAACTCGGAGCAGGCCGGCGTCCCGCTCACCTTCCAGCGCCGCTACATCGACAACAACCTGCTCGGCCTCTACCACCACACGGGTCTGGACCAGAAGACGTTCCCGACCAAGAAGGGCCAGCAGGTCTCGGCCATGATCACGGCCGCCCGGTCCGAGCTCGGCCTCGACGACCGCTACGGCTGCGCCCCGCGCGACCTGTGGATGAACCGCGCCCCCTACCCGAGCAACGACAGCGTCTACACCTGGCTCGAGACCGAGGTACTGCCGGCCGTGGCCGTCCGCGAGGACCGGAAGGATGTGCCCCGCCTCGCCATCCTCAACACGGGCGGGATCCGCTTCGACGTCTTCAAGGGCGCCTTCACCCGCGACTCGACCCTCATCGTCAGCCCCTTCATCAGCGGCCTCAACTACGTGCGCGATGTGCCCTACGCCGTCGCCCAAAAGGTCATCACGCTCCTCAACTCGGGCGGGCCCATCCTCTCGGGCGCCGACGCCGGCCTGGACGCCCGGTTCATGGCCGCGCCCGAGCAGTGGAACCTAGAGAGGCAGAACGTCGTCGTCGTATCGTCCGAGCAGGACGGCGAGTCTACAGCGCGCACCACGTTCTTCGATGATAGCCAAAAGCCGCTCGGCAGCAGCGACAAGGGCCACCACCACGCAAAGCCGGACCTCGTGGGCGGCTACACGACCAAGGACGACATATCGGACGACGGCGACGACGCCGTGCACTCGCCCCTGTCCTTCTACCGCGTGCCCAACTGCGTTCAGGCCGAGATCGCCTTCCCGCAACCCGACGGCGAGAGCAAGAAGCCGCTGCCCGAGACGGTCGACCTGGTCTTCATAGACTTCATCCAGAAGTGGGTGCTGCTGGCGCTCAAGTTCGCCGGCGGCGAGTACGGCCCGGAAGACGTGGCCGTCTATCGCAATGGCACCTTTTCCGAAATGATGGCTGGCTGGATCAAGGAGAACTGGAAGGGAGATTGTTAATGTGGGTTGAATATCTTGTGTGTGTGCGGGCTTGTTATTTCTTACCTAGACTATATAAATTGTATCTAGCGTGACGATTTTAGTATTTGTTAACGGCCTGGCTGTGCCGCCTCATTTTGGAACCGTCTCTCCTTTGTGTGCACGGGGGGCATCAAATGTCCCAATATCACCGGCACCGAACCTAAACAATCATCTCCCGCACGGGCACTGATCCTTATAGGCACGGCTGGCAGTCTGGTTTCCAACAGCTCACAGCAGCAAACCGGGTGGTCGAACGGGCAAAACCGTGGCGCAAAGTCACAACCGTCTTCCACGGGTGAGGGCCAGGAAACCCCAAGCTCGCTGATTCGAACCGTCCAGTGACGGCGATTTTAGAGCTAGCAAAATCTGCGAGTGCGGGATTTCGTAACGACGCTGTTTCACGACGGCCGAGTGAGCTTTTTGCCTTTTTTTTTCTTTGCTTTTATTTATATGTTCTTCATTGTGTGCAATATGGGCGGGGAATCGCCACGAGATTGGGAGTTGGGAATCACGATGGACATTGTTTTTGTGCAGCATACTCGGTTTATTTTTCCCCGCCCGTCCATTTAACAAACTCTGATAGTAATTGAGGATATAACAGGAAAGCACCAGAACGCCAAACGCCATCATTAGCCTAGAATGCTACAAGAAAAAGACGACAACAAGGTGGCCGACAAGAAGACAGTAGGCCGGCACCATTGTCATCTGAGCTGGTCCAGTAGCCTCTGTTTCCTCCTGTCTATCAGCTCCTTCTGCACCTCCTCGACCGTCGGCAGCTCCCAGGCGTTGCCGTCGCCCGCGTCGCCGGGGAGCGGCTCCCAGCCGGGCGGGGCGTCCTGGGCGCCGCCCTTCTTTCCGCCGGCGCCGGCCGCCAGGTTCTCGAACGCGTCCTTCTCCTTGGCGCGCTCGTACTCGCGCAGCTCGTCGTCCTCCTCGTCGGGGCCGTAGCCAAAGTATATGGCGTCGACGCCCTGCCTCCGCAGGTCGTCGCGCTCCTCGAGCGGCTTGTCCCCCGCGTCCTTCTTTTTCCCGCCGCCGCCGGCCGACTTGGCCGCCGCGGCCTCGAACAGCTCCTTGACCCCCGGCAGCTCCTTGGCGCGGCCAAAGTAGCGGTACCCCCTGCCGGCGCCGACGATCTCGCGGCCGGTCGCCTCGTCATAAACCTTGCCGGAACCGCCGGCTGCGCGCGCGTAGTTTGGCCCGCCCAGGTTCCGGATGTGCGCCTCCCAGGCGTGCTTCTCGCGCATGAGCTTGTTGATCTCGTCGTTGAGGTCGCGCACCTGGAAGTCGGACAGGGCCGACTCCTGGATGCGCGACACCTTGCGCGAGATCTCCTTGAGCACGTGGCCGCGCCACTTCTCGCACGCCGGCACCGAGTCCTGCTCCGCGATGTTGCGCGGCCGCCGCGCCCGCCCCGCGTCGATGATGCCCAGGTCCGCGGCCTGCGCCTCGCGGAACCGGAACAGCATCGACTGTGCTTTTTCCGAGTTTCGAGCCTAGAAGGTGAGACGGGGGTGGGCTTTTGTTAGTTTGTGCGCGCTCCGTGCTGGCTGGGGGGATTCCCAGGGGGGGTCGTACCATTTTAGCTAATTGTCGTCGCGCCGGACGCGGTTGTCGGGTTTAGACAAGTGAAGATGGCGTGCTGAACGGGCACGGGGGGCTCTGTGCCTTTCAGGGATAGGACGGTGTCTTGGTGCGGAGGTAGACGGTGACGGTGCGTGGTGAGAAAGCGCTGAGCGGTTCGGGTTCGGTGGCTGGTCTGGAAAGCCTTGGGTCGGAGCTTGCGCCTGTTGTCCGACATTGACGTGCATCTTCGGGCGGCTCAGCGACGGCTTTTCTTATCGATTAGCGGCAATGGGCCCCCGCTGCAGCGGCGGGGAGTGGGGCGCTGTAGCCTGGCGGGACCCTGCATTCAACTAGAAGTCGCGTCCTGCAAGAGCTTGGTCGCGTTGAACTTCTTTCCGCACCACCACCTCGGTTGCCTTTTTTCAAGTACAACCGACAGATCACCAGCTGCAAATCTGTTTTTCTGCTACCACCTCACCTTCTATCGAGTCTCGTCCGACTTTCGCTCCCCATGCGCCAATCTGACCAGCTGTCTGCCCTTTTTCCTAACCGCGCGCCACCGTGCAACCGCGATATCCATCCGCCGTCAGATCGCTCGCCTCCTTTTTTCTCGCTCTTCCCAGCGACCAGCTCGCTCCCACGCAGGCATCCAAGCCAACACAAGCAATCAAGTCTTTTACCATTCCCTCTCTGACCATATTCTGCCTATTTCGTCACTGTGCCATCGTCTTCTGAAACGCGCCTACTCGCCCACCTCGTAGCATCGTCTGCCCTGCATATCTTCTGGTTCTATTCCAACCGCCAACTTTCTTATCCTCCCTCTGGCCCTGGCATTCGTCAGCTCTTTCCAACCTCGTCCTTCTTCTAACAAAAGGCTGTCAGGACTCCCTCTTGATTCTTTAGGTCTGCGAGTTGCTCCTTTGACTGTTGCTTTCCTTTTCTTTCAATCCGATTCCGCCTCCTTCATCTCCCGACATGACATATCTACCCGTTACGCACAACACACACCCACTTCACCCTCAAATACATCCCAATCTCCACCTTACTCTGCGCTGAAGATAAATCCAAGGGAAGACATACCTTCCGCTACTCTAATGGCACGCCGGGCTCGTCCAACCAATGGTACACCCCGTCGTCGCCATGGTGTGAGTTCCTCAAGAACAGAGATCTGAGCAGAGTGGGAAGACATAACCCCCCTCGATAACCCAACCCGCGCTGGCAGCGGCCCTGGCATCTGCGCTGCGGCGCCTTCCCCCGCTCTTCTCTCCTTTCAAGCAGTGGGGACTTTCTCCCCTCTCGGCGCCGGTCGAAGAAGGAGCAGCGATGACGACCCATAACACTTTCACGTAGGCTTCGGCCGATGATCCCCAAAACAGTAGTTTTCAATCGGATGCCGCACCTTTTTCCTTCTTCGACACCCCAAACGGTCTCGCTCAGGGGGGGAGATATCCTTGTACTCGGGGGTTTCGAGAGGTGGCTGGTTGTTGCTTTGGGACTCGCGGCCGGACGGGGACGAGTGTTTTCAGGTCGGAGCGTGTTCCCTCATTTTCTTTACACCACCAAACTTCGCCCGGTGATGATCAACGAGTCCGAAAAGCCAAATTTGCAGACCCAAGCGCATGGGCAGGAGGAACTCTCCTCGACGCTCCTGCTTGCTGGTCCACTCCCTTCGGGGTTGGAGAGGCCGCGGCAGGGTGCGGCGAGGACGAGACTCCCGCTTGCTGGGTCAATGAGAACTGAAGAGAGCTAATCTGAGGGCACACCACTACTTTTTCTTTCTTTTTTTTTCTTCCTCACCTTGTCGCTTCCATAGTCTCTATCTACTGTTGATGACATGCCAAAACTTACCTTTTCAGGGAATACTGGTGAAGCACGTTCTGGGGGAGAGGTCGTAATGTGTGTGGGGGACTCTTAGTCAATAGGTAGCTCAGGAGACGAAATCGGTATCAGTCGCAATTTTTTCCACCTAGCAACATCCTTCAAGATAATGTAACAGGTGATCCTAACAAACAAGCAATCACTTGGTCTAAATGTGGAATCCCACTCTGTAGCTCTCTTCCATCCATCAACCGTTCATATGCTCCCAGAATAAATGAGCTCGCTTCTTTCACACTGTCATGGGTTTGAATACGTCGCCCATGAAATGACCCGGTATACACGCCCCAGAACTTGTCGCGGTGGTTTCCTCCCTTTGGGGGTGACTGGTTGATTCTATTGCATTTATTTTTAAGTTCCCTTTTCCCTCCCTGCCTAACCATGACGAGACCTCACAAATCCCAACTTGCCCCACTCATTGTGTCTTCTTGGCAGCCGACGCCTTCTTCGCGGGCGCGCTGAACATGAAGACGATGACAAACGCGAGCCAGCCGGTCACGGTGGCGCCGATGCCCGTGATCCAGGGCCAGGCGCCCGAGATGACGTAGGAGCGCGGCCACTCGTCGTGGGCCATGTGGCGGACCGAAACGGTGTCCTTGGTATCGATGTTGGTGAGGAAGGGGCGCTTGTAGTTGACCTTGAAGTTGAAGATGCCGTGCTGGTCGGGCGTCTTGAACGAGACCGAGTAGGCAGTTGCCTCCTTGGGCGCCGGCTGCAGCGCCGCGGCCTTGAGCGGCAGGCGGTGGAAGGGCGAGAGCATCGAGAACTCGAGCTGGAGCTCGTCGGCGGCGGGGACGGTGAAAGGACCCCAGGCCTTGCCGTCGTACTGGGAGAGCGAGATGGTGTAGGTCTGCAACCTGGTTAGTACATCAATTTGACTAGGTTAGAACAAAAGGGCCAGTGCCTTAGGGACATACCACATCGTTCTTGACCCGGTAGATGGACGGGTTCGAGGCGTTGCTCGCGCCAGCCTCGTTCAGGTGGTGCTCGATCCAGTTGACGCGCAAGACACCCAGCTCCTGGAAGGCCCAGGCGCTGATGCGGCTGGCAAACTCGCGGTTGTAAGTGGCGACCTCGTCCTTGGCGCCGCCGGCCGGCTTGACCTTTGCGTCAAACCACTTGTCGGCGAGCATCTCGGCCGAGCCGACGACGGCAACGCGGGCTGAGTTGCGGGCCTGGGCGGCGCTGACTAGGCTCAGCTGCTGGCCAGCCGCGAACAGCTGATCGGGGTCGACGCTGTCGCCCTGCTCCTTGGGGTCGTAGCTGTAGGCGGTGCGGGGCCCGCGCAGGACGGGATTCAGGAGCGGGCTCTGGCCCAGGGTCTGGGCGACGCCGCGGGGGAAGGCGAGGAGGCGCTCCTCACCGGGGGCGGCGAAGACATCGGCGACACCCGGGCGGACGGGGGCCGGGGCTGGCACGAGGACGACGTCGTGCAGGTCTGGGGCCGAGGCAGCGTCGTAGTTGAAGTGGTCGACAACCAGGCCGGTCCGCTCGGCGGGCAGCTGGATCTCGAGCTCGTGGAGCAGCGAAACGATGGACGAGGACGCGGCCATCTCGGACGACAGGGCCAGTAGGATGTTGCCGTTCTCCTTGACGAACTGCAGGAGCGTGTTCGGGGTCAGGTTGGGGCCGAGGCCTGGCGCGAGGGGTTAGCTCAGGGACCTTATGGAGGGGGCGGGCATGGACCCAGGGGGCAGCCTCGGCTGGGAGACGTCATTGAGAACGCTGGGGGAGAGCTCGAACATACCCTTGACCTTGGTCGGGAAGAAAATGGCATGGTCGTAAGTGCGCTGGCCAAGACGGAAGAGCTGCAGCGACTCGGCTTTGGGAGTGCTGTATGTGATGTCGAATCCCCTGCCTATGGTGGAGGTAATTGTATAATTGGTTAGCACTCTCAACCCCAACCAAGACAAGGAAACAAGAAGGTCGGAACACACTTGTCAGGTCGCCCAGGAATTTGGAGTACTTGTCCTTGTCCGCGACGTCGTCCAGCACCACCAGCAGCCGGCTGCCGCTGGAGCTAACAGCGGCGCCGGCGGAGCTGAGGGCCAGCACGAGGAGCGAGAGCGCCGGGCGCAACATGGCTGCTGCTGCTGCGCGCTGCTGTTCAAAGACAGAAAACGAGGGGCGTGGGTGGGAGAGAAGCCTGCAATCCCGCTGGTGGTCGTTTTAGGGAAACACTTTTTCAGGCCGTCGAGAATTGGCGACAGGAAGCGCCGCGATGTCTTGGTTGCATGGGGGTTCTGCCGCGGACGTGTGTGGGTGTCCTGTGCTGAAGAGAGCTTCCCTCTGGATACGTAAACCTTTGCCAAGACGAGCTGCTGGCAGGGGTGCGACAAGGAACCGGCCTGGCCAGGGTCGGAAGCTCGAAACCGCGGCCCCCTTGCTCTTCACTGAGCCGCAGCGGGCGGGCCAATCACAGCGACCGATCCTGCCGAACGATTTTCCGAGGACTTGTGTTGGCTGCCACCGTGAGCCGTCTACTCCACCATCCATGTGGGGCCGTAACGCAGCGTCGAAGCTCTCTCCAATCACGCCGCCTCAATTGATGACGAACCAGGCCATCTCGACCAGCCAGCCTGACGAACGGCTTTGGAAATCCACGCGAAACGGACGTCAACGCCCCCGAACGAGCCGGGACATCCCGCACCACCATCGACACCTTCACCTGCAGGCAAAGTCGCCATATCCAGCAGACGCCTAACCGTCCGTCCGTCCCCGATCCAGGGCCCTGACCTTCCTCACCCCGACAGACCAACCCCCCCTCCTCCTACTCCTCTCCTCCCACCAAACAATGTCGGCCACCCCCCGGTTCTGGGCCGGCCCTGCCCGCTACATCCGCTGGGCCGCCCGCGAGAGGCCCGCCTACTTCTGGTCCGTCGTCGCCGGCGGCGCCGGCCCCGTTATCCTGGCCGTCGTGCCGCCCATCCGCAGGCTCGTCGGCGACGAGGACGCCCCCGTCATCCCCATGACGTACCCGAGTAAGAGCCGGATCCGTCCAGTCTGATGTTGTGGATAGAACTTGGTAGCAGCAGTAGTAGCAGCAGCAGCAGCATGCAGGCTCTCTTTACTCTCCTTTACTGACGCACTTTGCCTCTTTGCACAGTACCCACCGGCCCGAGGAAGAAGCTTACGGGCTATGGGGATGAGACCGAAGATGCGTGACGATGATGGAGGGACCGAATTTAAAATATAAAAAATAACACAAAAAAAACATTCAACAGTCTCATGGCATGGAGGCCAGGGACAGGGCCAACACCATCGGCGCATTGCCGTATGGTGGCCTAGACTGTACATATGAGGGCGGCATCCCCCTTTTTAACTGCATCTTGGAGCAATGGAAATCAAGTTCTTTTCTGCAAACATGTTCCTTTTTCCTCAGTTCGCTATGGCCGTGTGTTTTGCCCCCGTTTTTTTCAGACTCAGCTCTCTCACTTGTCAACAAACTCCTATACAATGATGGTCGATATATCAGAAATAGGCAGCCCCCTCCAGCGCTCCTTTGGTGTGCTCTCTATAAGGATGAAAACTTGTGTGGTAGACAACGAAGAAAGAAAGAAAAAACAAGCTTCTCCTGCTCAACCTACCACCCCCTTTTAGTCAATAGTCCTGACTTCCATCCCACCACAACCGGCCCCTATCGTTCACGTTGGATCAAATTCCATTCGTACTGTAGCAGAGTGTTAGTCATTCGATCTTCCAAATTTCCAAAGCAGCCCGTCGGCAACAGGGAAGCGCAAGGCAACTTACCACCCTCCCATCCTCGTCCCCGGTGTACACCACCTGTGGCATGGGCGTGATGCACGTCATGGCCGCATCCACGTTGGCCCCCGTCTCCGACTTGGGGTCCACGTGGTCAAGCCGCCGCAGGAACTCGAGCTCCCACACGCCGCCGCCGCCGGGCCCTGCCCCGGTCGACCGCCTGCCGCCGCCGCCCCTGCCAGCAGCCATGTTGCCCGCTCCAGTGGCGGCCGCAGAAACGACCTTGCGCCAGACGTTGACCCGCCCGCGCCGGTGGCCCGTGAAGATGAGCTGGCTCTCGAGCCACTCGCCGCCGCCGCTGCCCTCATAAAAGGCGCACGAGTAGACGTAGTCGTCCGTCGGCGTCGCGTGGCCCCCACCGCCGGCGACGCCGTTGCCCCGACTGCCGACGCTGCTGCTCCGGCTGCTGCTCCCGCCGCCGCCGCGGTGGTGGTCGACCGTCAGGAAGCCACCGTCGCCGCCGTGCGCCGCCGCGGGGCCGCACACGTTCTGGTGGAGGATGAGGTCGCCGTTGACCGAGAAGAGCACCACGTTGGTGCCCGAGCACAGCATGATGTCGCCCGTGACGTCGTTGACCCGGGCGCACTCGATCGGCCAGGCGCCGCCGCTCCCGCCGCTGTTGGGGCCCTGCAGCCGCCTCACGAACTCGAGCCGATTAAGGTCCCAGAGCAGTGCCTCGCCGTCCTGGCTGACCGTAACGAGCACGCTGAGTGCTTTGGATACAGCCACCGTGGTGACGGCCGTTTTGTGGCCAAAGAGCGACGACCGTGGTTGTATGTCGATCGGCTTCCCTGGCCCGCCCGTCTGCACCGTATGGGCCGTCACAACGCCGTCCTCGCCCGCCGAGATGAGTGTCTTGGAGTCGGCAAAGGCCACGCACGAAATCTGCCCCATGTGCGTATTCTCGAACACCCCGGCCAGCTTCGAGTTCTTGTCCTTAGCATGCTTCTTGTAGTTCTTTGTTTTTTTGCCGTTTACAGTTTGTTTCCCGGTTATTTTTTCTGAAGGGAGTAATCGCAGCAGAGTTCAGGACACTGGGTGTATCTAATATGACTTACCTTCCTATTATCGCTGAAGTAGAACCGCACGCTGTTATCCGCGTATCCCCATTCGAGGAACTTGTCGTAGTGCGGCGGGAGGTTGACGCGGAACGGCGACGCGCACAAGAGGCGGTCTAGCTTGGGCGCGTAGATGAGGGACGCTACTTTCTCGTGGCTCTCTGTAGCGCGAGAGTGGGGGTCTCGGGTCAGTGGAAATCGGCAGAAGGACATAACATGTACACACAAATACATACCTAGCAGCGGATACGGCAACCTGGTCAAGGCGTAGATGGACGTGTCGAGCCTCTTGATATGACAGTGCACGCTCTCGCGCGGCGGGTGCGGCTTGGGGAAGACCTGGTGCGGCGTCTGCCCAAAGTTGTGGATGATGCTCGTGATGACCTTGCGCTCCTGCGGGTCCGTGACGTTGTCGAGGTCGACGGCGCCGTGGTACGACATGTGGTGAAACACGTTCAGGTTCTCGACGGCCGCCTCCCCGCGCTGCTTGTAGCCGAACACGAGGTCGATCCAGTGGTGCAGGTTCTGCGTCACGTACGGGCTCTCAAGCGCCTCGCGGTGGCGCGCGATGAAGACCTTGGGGTCCCCCTTGGCCCAGGGCGGGAGGACGACGCCGTCGACCTTGCTGCCGTCCTGCCGCGTGCCAAAGTCGTAGCTGTTGATGTTGCTCAGGAACTCGGGCAGGCAGAAGAACTCGGGGATCAGCTCGCGCACGTCGGAGCCGTTGTCCTGCGACGCCGACTTCCACGCGCCCGCGACAGAGTAGAAGAGCCGGTCCGGGTGGTCAAAGTGGCCGCCCTGGAGCAGCAGGTACGAGTCCACAAACGGCGGCAGACGGATCAGGTACGATGCCACCACCATGGCCGACGAATAGTGTGTGCCGTAGTGGAAGGGCGGCACGTCGAGCTCGGCCAGGCCGTTGTAGCGCTCGCGGAAGTCGGCCTGCCGATTGAGCGTCTGCGCGCCCATGGGCTTCGACAGGTCCCGGAAGGTGGCCGGGTCGTTGAGGTCGAGCTCGTCGCTGCTGTAGTCGGCCAGCACCCAGGGGAAGACGGGGTATTGGGTCAGGTCGTTGAAGGTGCGCCCGGCCATGGTGTTGACGAGCATCAGGTAGTGGAAGTTCGAGATCTCGCCCTTTTGCCACCGCCGCATGATGGGGTTCCAGGGCGACGAGTTGAAGATGCTGCCGAACTTGGATCCGAATGTCTGCGGCGCCTCCTCAAACACCTTGAGCGCCTCGAGCCGCCACGCATCCTCGGGGCTGGCCAGCGACGACCCGGGCCCCGCACTATGCTGCGTCTTCTGCACCAGCTTGCCGTGGATCTCGTCGCGCATGGCCGGGTTGATGGCCGTGAGCAGGTAGCTGCGTCCGTCGCGGAAGAACATCTCGACCGCCACGTCCCGGAAGAGGAAGCGCCGCTTCGAGATGCTGATGACATCCAGCCACCGCCAGCTCCGAGACTCCTGCTCGCTACGCTTGCTGACAGCCCGCCTGTCCGCCGCGCCCTTGTCTTGCGTGATGATCTGCGAGAACAGGTCGCGCTCCTCGGGCGGCGCCTGCCACACATTAATGATCTCGCCGTCGGACCGTTGGAAGACGTTGTCCATCAGGTACAACGCCTCCTTTCCGATCAACAGGATGCCCTCACACGCCTCCAGTCCGATGATACGCGAGATGTTGTACACGCTCTGCACCTGGTCGCCATGCTCCAGCCGCCTCATCACCTTGCGGTTCTTGTCCTCGAAGCTGTCCTCGGCCTCCGGGTCGTCCGGATTCTCGACAAGCTCAAAGTCATCCTCGGGCCCAACCCCCTTTGTGCTGTCCGTGTCCCCGCCGACAGAATCCGGCTCGGTGGAGAAGTCAAAATCCTTGCCTCGGCCAGCCCCTTGCGCAGGGTCCTTGGAGGGAGAAATAGGCGATGTGATCGGCTTTGAGGATCCGATCGCGACAGTCGGAACCGCAAGCAGCGGCTGGCCTGTATTGTTGTTGCTGTTGTTGTCGGTGTTGTTCTGCGGCACAGTCGAAGGCGCGGCGGCAGCGTCTGTGTTCCTACGCTGCTTTGTCTGATATCCTCCCTCCTGCCGCAGCGCGTAGTCCGGTAGCAGCCTCAGCCGCATACGGTTGCGCCCCTCGGTCCGGTCCAGCTTCCACTTGACCGTGGCTTGCTCGGCAAATGTAGCACCCGGTCGCCGCAGATCGCGGTCCATCTTAGCAAAGGCTGACGACAGGAAGGCCAGGTCGTCCTGCTGGTCCTGGAGCAGCCGCTGGTGACGGAAGTACTCGTCCACGTAGATGCTCTTGGCCCAGCCGCCGTTTGCCATCTCGTGCCGCACCAGCACGTTATCACGTTCCAGCCCCTCGGCGTGCCACTGGCGCAGCTTTTCCCTGCGTCTACTGAGCCGCGAGCGCGCCGTCTCCGTCGTGCGTTGGTTTTCCACCGCCACAAAGTCCTCCCACGGCCGCGCCATGCCGCCGAAGAAGAGAGTATCCAACGACGGCCTGTGCTCGTCCACCCACTTGACAAAGTTGCCGTCGTCCACCTCGGTGAGCTTGCTGAAGTTCTGGGTAAGCTGGCGCTGGTCTGGGCCCGCGCACTGCCGTAGGATGGTTTGGGACTCTTCGGGCTTCTGCACCAGCATAATGCGCCACACACTCGCCGCCATGAGCCGGATCTGTTCCCTGGAATCGAGGAGCCTCGAGTACAGCTGGTACCAGACGAGCTTCATGTAGTCGTCGTCGGCCGAGACCGAAGCCAGAAGGACGGTCTGCCAGTAGAATATTCGCTGCAGGGCTGATGAGGCTTCCGAGTCCGACAGCTGAGGATCATCAATCTCGCTGAGACGCAGCAGGGCGAGCTTGAGGAACGAGTGTCGCACCGTTGCCACGGCCTGGTTGCAGAGCCGCACGCTCTTCAGTGTCGAGATATCGGGGCGCTGGAGATACTCGAGTAGCATGCCGGTAAAGTCGAGCATTGGCTCGATACCATTCATGAACCAGCCCTCAAAAATGGCCTCGGTCATGTGCGACGTGAAGCGGCCTACGTTTGTGAGCGCCTTGGGTTCGCATAACACCTTCAGGTCCTTCTGGATAGCGTGCTCAAGGTGCGAGATGGTGCTGCGCAGGACGTACGACTCAAAGTACGCCTGATGCTCTTGGAACCCAGGCGGCACCTTGATAGACAGGCCAAAGCCCGGGAACTCCTTGCGCACAAGCACCTGCTCGCCGAACACGGCCGTCACGAGGTCCAGGAGCCCGTCGAGCACGGCGTTGCTGACCTTTTGCGTCGCCACAATTTTCTTCGGTGACATGACCTGCGCGAAGAGAGCCTGGCTTGGAAATTGAGGCGACTTCTGCGCCGTGAGTAGGATGAACGAGGAGGCCTTGCGGAGAGGGGTTCCCTTTGACCCCTGTACCGGAGCCGCACCTGGTCGGTCTGGCAGCGTGGTGGTTGAGGTCCTCACGATCGGCGCTGAGTTACCTGAGCCAGGCACCGGCCGTATTATAACATCCCCGCCCTCGAACGTGAGGGCCGAGTCTTTTGAGTTGAGCTCCGTCTCTGGGCTGACGGGGTCGGCACTAACGATGATGGGATAAAGAGCCGACAGCAGGTACCGGACGTACTCTGACGAGAGACAGAACTCTCTAAAGTCTGGCGATCGCGTGTGCAGGCTGGACAGGAAGCGAATCACGGTGTGCAGGACCACTGCGTGGTTATCTACCCTCTCCTTGTCGGGCCGGGGCGTTTCTGTAAAGGGGGTGCAAGGCAATCGTCAATGTTACGCCCGATATGGGTTTGCTGCTCAGAGTCAACTCACGTCGAGAAATCAGTTCGTCTGCCAATGCCATGGACCGAGGCCCCGGCTTGGACTCGGCGGTATCGACGACGGTGGGAACGCTCTTAACGAACCCTCCCATGCCCGCCGGGGACTCCGGGTCGTCCTGGTGCCTCATGACATCTCTCAGGCCATGCTGAAACATCGAGGTCACTATCGGTAAGGCGTCCGGATAGATTACTCGGCCAGTGAAGATGTCGAGCAAAGTGTTGTGGTCGAATGGTCGGCTGAAGTCCACGTCCGCGACGTCCTTGCCGAAGAGGATGCAGAAACAGATGGGCCATAGAGTCGACAGCTCCCACCAGTGCTTCAACCGATAGGCCATGACCCAGAACCCTCCAGTCTTGTTTGTTGCGGAGAATTTGGACGTGTACGATGAGCCGTGCGTGACCAGCAGCCGTGCCAATATCTTGCAGGCGTACACTACGATTTCGGCATCTTCCTCGGCCAGGAGACACAGCAGCCACTACGCACGCACAAGCACGTATTAGTCGAATCTGGGTCTGCAGCGGATGACCACCCTCAGTGAGTAGCATTGCTTGCTTACCTTGTTAGTAACCGCGCGTGCAAATCTCCTGATGTCCGCCATGTTGCCACGCTCGCAGAGAAGTCGCGTGTAGACCTCGAGGATCTTGACTCCCAGCTGTCTCCGGCCGAGCGTTCGCGGCGCGCTGGTTGCGCTCCCGGACCCGTTAATCTCGACCGTCGGCCGACGTGCCAGTGTTGTTATACCAGGCGTGCTTGAGCGGCTCAGATTCGCCGGTGCCTTGGGGGTCCTCGGCAGAGAACTTGCTGTGGTGTGGAAAGCGTACGTGATGAAACGGGCGAGCGCCCGGTGGACCTCGAGGGTGCAGTTGCACTTGACGAGGCTCTCGAATGCCTTGATGAAGTGTGGCATCGTATCTTCGGGCACAGTCTCTGCTTTCATGGCGTCGAGGAGCCTCTTGATGATGCGCATTCTTGACAGCCCGCGACTGTTGAACTGGTGGTACTTGCTCATGACGGCGAACGTGACGAACTGCTTGTAGTAAAGCTCTTGCGTGATGGGAGCCGACTTCCTCCAGGTGTCGAAGTCTATCAGGAGGATCCGGTAGGCCAGGGGGTTGATGATGAACGATTCGATGGGGTCTGTGTGCTTGTAGCCGACAAAGGCCAGTACCAGACTGAGGAGCTGGAAGCTCGTCCGGTCTCGCTCCTCGGCCGTCAGCTTGAGACGCCAGGCGCCGTTGTCGCTGCCAGAGCCGCTGCCCCCTGCTGGGGACGACACGCCATAGCCCAGCTTGGCGCGCAGCAGCATGGCCAGTATAGAGTACCCGTTCTCCCGCTCCATGGCGTCGCTATTGCGCCAGCTTTTGTTTATGCAGAGGAACATCATCTCGACGCCTCTGAGGAGCTCCTCGGGCGTCGTCGAGCGCTCGACCAACTTCAGAACTACAGGTGTAAAGCCTGCAAGCCGCCAGAGGCTGTCGTCGAAGTTGCGGGGAACGGCGAGCACAGGGTCGCCTGAAAGCACAGAAACTCCGTGGGCGCGCACGAGGGCGTCGTTGACACAGGGGAGAGCCACATTAACGGCGATGGCAGTACCGCTCTTAGTTGTCATGGAGAGCAGGTTTCCAGCAGCCACACGTGAGAGTGAGCGGAAGAGGCGCGAGTCGAGGAACAAGCTGTCGGTGCGGAACATGGCAGCCGGCATCGTGCCCATGGCTATCTTGGCTTCGGGGAGAATTGTGCTGGCACGTCCACGGATCGCCCTCAAAATATCCGAGTTCTCGTCTTTGCCGGGATGAAACAGCTCGTTACGAAGGCCCAACGCGGCCGACGCCTCGTATGTCTGGAAGCCGCCCAGGCAGTCCTGAAAGTTTCCTTGATAGCGCGCACCCAGACGGTAGTGCACGGCGAGAAAGTCGTCGCTGAGTACGTCTTCGAAAAGGTGCGCCGACGCCATCGACCATCGGGAAAAGATCAGCCCAGGACCGAGCTGGGTCGAGAGATCTCGGGGCGTGCCGAGGAACGCCTGGACAGGCACAGTCTTGTTGGCGTTGGATGTAAATGAAGCGAAACTCTCGGTGCTGGCATTGGATAGGGGCGGCGGTACGGGGTAGGCAGCCCGTATCTGCTCGACAAACTCGCCATTCACATACAACGAAGCCTTGCTTGCAATCATGGTTTTGGGGCGCTTGTGGACGAGACCGATGTGATACCACTGGCCCGTCTTGAAGGTGAAGCCCTTGAACCTCACACTCGGGCGCTGCGACGTGACTGACGTCTGTAGGATGAAGTTGTGTGTGTCTCTCTCGAGGTATGCGAGCAGGAAGCAGGTCTGGGTGGCATCGAAAACTCCAAATATGGTAGTGTGCGCGCTAGGATCGAACCTGTCGATCCGCACCCAGGCAGTGAACGTGTAGCCCGGCGAAGACTGCGGCGGGAACGAGCGGCCGAGGTTGGGCAGCTCGATAGAGGAGTGGCCATGCAGCGAGAGGTCGAACTGGACGAAGCTCGGACCGTTGTGCTTCTCGGTCATCTCGAGGCAGAACTCGGACGCAGCCGGATCTCGGCTGGCAAGAAGGAACTGCGCATCCGCCAGCTTGTTCACGCCGAGAGACATGAGCATCCGGCAGAGGGGTAGCACGATCTGCTTCTCGGCCTGGCTAAGCTTGGACTGAGGGTCAAAATAGATGCGGAGTAATCTGGACAGCACTCCTGTGCTGTGCAGCGCCGAAAGGTTGAAAAAGGAGGTGTTTACGACGGACGAGATCGTGGAGAGCACCAGCACCGAGGCGGGATTCGTTTCAAGCCCCTTGTCCCGCGGTATCGACTCCCAGAAGTCGATGACCGCACGCATAATCTCCGGGTTGTGCAGTACAGTCTTGACCCCAACTATTCCTTCCAGCTTCTGTTTTATCGTCTCGAGGCTAGGAGGTGGTTCTCCGCCGTTATCCTCTGTCTGCGTTCCATCCTTTGCTTCTTCGTGTGTGGTCGCAGCGGTGCTGCTCGGAGTGGTCGCAGTCTCTTTTCTTGCCGCCACCGCCGAGCCGACCCAGCGGCTGAGATCGTCGAACCGCTGGTCATCCAGGGAGAAGGATAGCAACTTTCCGAAAAGCTGACAGTTTGTCCAGAGATCGGCATCGCTCCCGCCAAGACCGATGCTGGCCAGGACCTGCTCAAGGGCCTCCCAGCCGCCGCCCTCGACGCGGTGGCGAAAGTATCGGCGGTTGCCGTGATGCTCGCGGAATGCGGCGGACAGCACGGCTAGCAACACGTGCAGGAGCTCGAAGAGGGAGGCCCGCTCGGTGGGGGTGCGGACACTGGGGTCGTAGAAGCCCGAAAAGGCCCTCAGGACGTCGATGAGGCGGTGGAAGCCGCGCAGGTGGCGGAAGTTGTCCTGCGCGGGGCACGGAGGGCGGTTGGCGGCGATGAGCTGGTGTATCTCGCGCGCGTACCGCACGACATTGTGTATCTCGGGGTAGCCGTTACCGCCGGAAGTCGAGGGGGAGGCGGCCTGCGCGAGCTGGTCAAGCAGGGTCTGGAGGACCTCGGCGGCCTTGGAGACAACCGGGGGTGTCGAGGCGGATGTCGAGGACCGGTATCGGCTGGGTCGGGTCGCCATTGTAGCCGCGGTTCGTGGGTGTGTCGAGGTAGCGGTGTTGGGAGTCGAGAGGTCGAGGCCAGAGTTATAGCAGGCGGCGGGCAGACGCAGTTTCTGGTCCTTGCCTCGCTCGCAGCGCTCGTCGTGTCGGCTTCGCCCACCCGTGCTCCTTGTTGCTCACTCTCTCGCTGTTCTCACGCGTGGCTCACAGTCCCGCACCTCGTCATATCATCGAGATCGAGGACCAGATTCGCAATTCCCCAGCACCCATCGAGGGTCCAGGCTGCATCCAACAACCTATGCACAGCATGGAAGGAGGCGTGGGCTGGAGCTATGTTCGGCGAACAGCAATCAAGTGGAGCAGCTTTGACTGTCAGCCTGCTGGGGTTGTCCCGATGCTCGCTAAAGACAATCAGCTCAGCAGCTCAGCACCCCTACCGCATCCCAGCCAGCCTTGCGATTCTCCGCCTGGCAGGAAATTTGGCCGTCCAAGGCGAGGTTAGAAGTCGGGCAAAGGTAATTATTACCTCCGTAGGCGAAGGGCTTTCTGCCCGTCAGGAGTGGCTACGACCTTTGCTGTTTTCCGACCTTTTTTTCGTGGTGTCTGCTCCATCTGAGAATCCCACCATGCCCACCACAACGTCACAGCGGACGTCAAATGGCGAAGCACGCACTAAATCGCTTGGCTGTGCCAACATGAACGCCCGTGCGCACTGTCCCAGTTTGGACGGGAGCTCTAGCTTAGGCCGCCCCTGTCCTCAGCCTCAGTTCGCAACTTGGCCGTATCAGACACACGTCAAGCTGCTGTCAAGCGATATGAACTTTAGGCTCGGTTATGAAGTATCGGTCGTCAACCGGAACGCAATGCTAGGGTATGCATCGAACCTCATTCATTCTGCTTCACCACAAAACGCCCTGCAAAAACATCAACTCAGCCAAACATTCCAAACGGGGAGCGGGCTTGACGCTATATCAGTCTCCCGCCCTCGCTCACGAGCTAAACACGCAGCCAGCTGTATTGTGAAATCACAGATGAAAACCATACGCTTGTTCAATGTACGAAGTGCTACACGCCCATGAGACAGCCAAATAACCCCACCCGCCCAACGCCAAACAGATGCAATCCCGTCACCCTTCCCCTCCTGCGCCCCAAAATCCGCTATCATAACGAGAACCTGTGGAATTACGTAGCAAAGGAAACATAATGAAATGGGCCAGAAGCGGATGGCGTATCAGTGGTGTCTTGATGCCGCCTTGGCGAACTCCTCCTGCTGAATTCGCTCCAACTCCTCGAGGCTCAGTCCACTCTGCTCAAATTTGTTCGCCTTCTTTTCTCGGCCCTGTGACATGCCAGGTTAGCACGCGTGCGTCGCAGAATACAATCACAGGGTACATCGTGAACATACTTTCTGGGTTTCCTTATGTTCAGCAGCTGCCTCGAGAACTGCAGGCACATACTCAGAAAAGCCCAGTACTTGAAGGGCCTTGGTGATGTGGTCGCATGCGATGGTCTTCTTAGCCTCCTTATCCGATATCTCGTTCGCCTCGGACGAGATAAGGGTGATGAACTCGACACAGCATTCTATGAGCAGGTCTCGAGCCTCCTTGGAGTACGTGATACCATCAGTCTGCGGCAAAATCTCGCTGACGATCTTTTGAACCGTCGCTGTAGGGGGGCGGCAGTCAGCCAACGTGCGGGCTGTGCGACCAGGTTACCTGGAACAGCTACCACGCAACCATGGTCGTTCGTGAGGATTGGGTAATGCATGGGACAAGCAAGCAAGCCCTTGCGACTTTGAGTGATCGCCTTATTGGCCCCCAATCACGATGAGCCATGGGCTTTGTCCCATGACCTCAGCGGCAACAGGAACTGGCCAGATCAAGAAATGTGGTGACAGCGCCAGCGGCATGCACTCAGCATAGTTGCTTACCTTTCGGAAGCGAAAGATCGTCGTTACCTAGGTAGAGAGAGTTAGCATAATTGGAACGGGAGCAGAAGTAGAGAGTGTGTAATAGGAGGTTCGCTTGTCAGGGGCTGGTGCCACCCCTGAAAAGCGATGGCACCCGCCAAAAATAGTAGAAAATGGAGCAAGCGGTTGTGCAAAGCAAAGAAATGGCGGCAGAGCACATACCGGTAAACTCGTTGTCGGACATGGTGGGTAACTGAACGTGTGCGACCTATCCTAGATGTCGATGCTGTGTCGTGGGCCCGTCAAAGAGATGCAGGATGCTGGGCGGCGATTTGGCTGGTCGGCAGCCGGGAGGGGCGGCCGTGATTCTTGACACAAGAGCGGAGAATGAATAAAGAACAGAGAACAGCCCTGTCGGGGAAATATGTGCAAACAATATTACACCAGGCAACAGCAAGACCCGACGTGACTGTGCGTTGTTGTGGTGGTACCTTTGATGCAGTCGGGAATTCTTGGAATGTCTGATGATGGAATCCACTGCTTTCTGGACTGGAGCCTGGACGGGCGCCTTGGAGCCTCGGGCTGAACGCGTCGGCGGCTCACGTCTTTATGAAAAACCACCGCCGCGGCGCATGAAGTCAAGGTGGGGCATCCCTGCCCGACAAAGCTCTTATCGATAGATCGGATGTGGAACGGATCCACCTCGAAAGGAACCACAGCCCATTCATTTTGCTGTATTTTTTCGTCAACTTTTTTTTCTTCACGAACTTCCATCCTTTCTATTCTTCAATCCAACTCGCCTTCTTTTGGTGGCCCGAAGAAGAAGATGCCTCGAGTCATCCTCTCTGGACCTGCTCGCAGCCGCTTCTAGTCCATTCGGGTGCCTCGAGGACGTGCCCTATGGCGACACTAGGCAGATGTCGTCGCCGCCCGCGCACACCGAGGCGCGACAGGCTCTTCCGGCTCGTAAGCCCGCTCCCTCCTCTCGTTTACACGCTTCCCCTTCATGATGAGTTTTTATGTCGCCCCAGTCTTACCTACACATGGTGAACGACTTTGTCTTTCCAAACGGACACACTGATCCCAAGCATCATCCACCATTGTCTTGCTCTCCATCTCTTGCGAGAACGCACAGCTAACCAGGATAATTCAGTCCAGTAGGGCTCCCCCTTCAATACCACCCCTCCCATCGCACTGCCAACCTTCGACCACGGCCCCCGCCGTGATGCTCAAACCTATTGTACTATTTCCAATTGCGAAAACTCTTCATGAGCGCACCCATCAGTACTAAGCGACCGTGGTCGGCGGCTTTATTCCACATACCAAGCCGGTACCATGGCCATCACGAGCTGACAGCCGCCCAGGCTGCCGTTTGGGATTGGCCGTGGCCTTGTCACATGCCCTTGAGGGCCATGAACGCTCCATCTCCTAGCGAGGCTGAGCAGCTTCAACGGTAGGGTATGGCTTGAATATTTCTCGTTTTCAATTGCCTAGAGGAAGACTATGTCTTCGTCCTAACACAAACAACACACGCATGGCCGATGATTAAACAAAATATTCCATGCTAATACTGAAGCAAATATGTGGAATCAAATATCGACTTTTCATCTTTCACCTGAGGCCTTTCCCTTTGTCACCCTTGATTCATTCTACCAAACTTTGCTGGAACATCCAGGCTGACTATTTGACCAGTACTCAGATTCACATCTTGACTTGATCACGCCTAGCCCCGATACGACGCAACCTCCTCAGAATTCCAGCTGCCAGTCTGTTAGCTCGACGTCTGTGTCAGCAAGGACGAAGCACTTACTTTACGTATTTGCCGCTCAGATCCAACTTGGCTTCCACAGCCAGCGTGGCAATGACCTTGCCTGGCCCCTCGGGCGTGTTGAGGCGGCCTTCGTCAAAGGCTTCCTTGAAGCCGGCGTAGTCCTTGTCGGCCATGATCCCCTTGCCCGAGTCGCGAATGACCTTCTGCATGTCAGTGTCGACTCTGCCAGGCCCTACGGCCACCGATGTCACATCGGGTTCTTCAACGGCGAGATGCTGGCACAATGAGTTCATCGCTGCCTTGCTACCACCGTATGCGCCCCATGCCGTGTAGCCCTTGAGGGCTGCTCCGGATGACACGAATATGACCCTTCCGTGACTCTTGCGAAGCTCTAGAATCGCTGCTTTAATCTGAGCAGAATGCCGGTGGTCGTAGTCAGCATGCAAACCCATATCTCTCTGGGATTTCCAACCCATACCAGAGCAACACCGCTAAAGAGATTGATGTCGAAGGCCTTTTTCCACTCGTCGAGGTTGGCATCCTCGAGACGCGCCAAGGGTGCGAGTGTGCCATGATTGATCACCAAGCCATCGATCTTGCCGAAGGTTTTGATGGCAAGGTCTGCGAGTTGAGATGCGACCTAGAATAGACTACTATCAGTGACCCGAATACACACAGTTCACCACTTGGCCTCATTCAAGCATACCCCCGAGCCAGTCAAGTCGGCTACCAAATACGCAACTTGAGAAGGGTGCTTGTCCTTGAGCTCCTTCAGCGGGCTCTCTGTCTGGGAGGCCAAGACGACCTTGTGAGAGGACCGGATGAGCTGTGTCGATATCGCCAGGCCGAGCCCTCGGCTGGCGCCGGTTACCACGATGACCTTTGCAGCCATGGATGTGCTGTGTGCAACGCGTTCGCGTGGTCTATATCGGCAGCCAATAGAGCTTGGAGGTACTGAGATAGCTTGTGTGAAGGTGCAGGCAATGTCCAAAATGTGGTTGTGGACGGACGCTCGGTGATTTTCTCCAAGTGGGGTAGAGTGGACAACTCTGACATAACCAAGATCCAACATCCATCGATATCAAGGATGCCTAGTGCAGGACGATTTGCTACCGTTGTGTATGATAATTACATCCATTTTAGAGGCATGCTCTCGCTGCCTATACGACCTTTTTGCTTGTCTTCGGTCCAGGTCAATTCCACCGTGATATCCCGCCAAGGCACGCCGATGGACGCCTGTGTGCTGCTGTTAACTTTTGCGTGCTGGAGTAAGTAGACACCACAGCACATCACCCACCCCGAGACGCATCCGCCTGGTTGAGCAAATGCATGGTTTCGCGTTGGAGTTCCGATTGCGAGGGATCTCTGGCAGAAGACATGCTCGATTCCCCGATGCTCCGCCCGGCCAGCTAAATTCCGAGGACACGGGAACTCGTGCCCGCGGATAGAGGGCGCCGAGAGGTAGCTCTGCATACCCGGCATCTTCTTCTCCCGTGCTACCCCGAACACGGGCAAGCCGCCCGAGGACGAGGGCGGGTTAGCAGGCCCTCGCGGCACGCCCGGTCCTACTCGACACGCACTCGGACCTCGAGGATCGCGCGGGAGATTGAGTGGTGGCGTCGCATGCGTCCACAGTTTACTTCCAGCCCGCCCAAAAGCGGCTTGTCTGGGCTACTCGTCACTCTCAAGGCTGTTGTTGTCTGTAGGTTGGATGCTGCGACGGCAGTGTTAGCACCAAAATGGCGGCTTGGACGCCCGGGGCCGTGTCGTTTCCGGGCTGCCGGGCGGATCTTGAAACCGTCAGTAGGACAGCCATGGTGGCATTGAAGATTCTGGGGGAGGCACCCTCGCCGCCGACGGGGGAGGATACTAGCAGCGACGTGGCTGGGAGACAAGGGCAAGTGGCTATGTTGCTGCTGGGCATGATCCCTAGTCTATCAACACACCAGCCTAGTTCAGGGAAAGCTTAGGGCATCCATGGTGACGTTGAATTTCAAGCCATTCCGAGTGCTAGCAACCTGCCACCGATCCAATGACGTGACGATTTCCCTCCGGCCCTGTTTCGCGCCCCTTTCTCGTCTGTTTCTGCCTCGTGAATCCCCTATCCGTCGACGATCACAAAACACGTCGCGGGTAAGCGCTATGATTGACTGTGTCGGATGACATGCATCTGCCGGGCCACCCTTCATTACGATCCTTCCATCGCCGGTGAGAATGCGGGAGGGCACGGTTCGGGCCCGGAAGGATCAGGACGGTGCATGGTGTCGCACGGGTTCCTTTCCACAAACGGAATGTATTGACGACGGATGTGTCCAAACGTCCGCTCAAGCATGTGGGTTGTGCTTTGTGTTCTCCGGCATTGTAACCCTTCCCTCAAATCGGAGCGTCAGATAGGGTTGCATGCAACGACAAAGGCAACGCAGCTCAGTGATGCAGTGTTCTATTCACGGCATCTGTTTGGCCAGTCGACCGTAAGCACGCTGCTTTTTTCCGGGTTCTAACCCAGCGTACGCTGATGCGTTCTTTTGCAGCCAAGCTTTAGGTGGTATAAGCTGCGGTATAATTCCCGCAGTATTGCGGCAACGAGAGAGCACAGCACCAGATCCGTCAAGGACTAGGAAGCACTGCTTCGCTTTTGGAAATGATTATGGAGAGAACGGGGGGTGGGTATTTCCCTTGATGGCTTGTCAGCATAGATAGGTACTCATACGCCAACCCCTTTCCCGCGCCGTACCGCGTAAGTGCCGCACGTGGTCTGTTGTTCGTGAACGGTATCCGCCGGCATGTCAGCAAATTTCCATTCGATCCGCCGTGGGCAAGTTGGTGCCGGGGCAGATAGGCGCATGCGCATATGGGCACTATCTCTCGTTGCTCTTGGGTAGCACGCGGGTAACGCGATAGTCAACGTATGAATAGGTGCTCGCTCGCAGATCTGCTGTTGGTTGGACGTTGAGACCTAGGACCATAGTGGCCCCTCACCCAGGGCTAGGTTGCCCACCTTAGTCAACACTTCGTAAAATAACGGTCCGTCAGTTGCAACATGACGGGGCACACGAGGCGAAATGTCGGGGCTCCAATTTCTTGGGTGGACGGCAAAATAATGCGGGTGCTCCCAAGCTGTCGGGAGACGATGGGAGGTGCGGGCACTGAGTCTCCCTCCTGTGGACCCGGCGCGTCGCCGCTCCAGTGAATGTTACTCTCGGTGAATCACGTCTTGATATCTTCAGTGTTCTTGATCCATCCTAACAGGGCGGTGTGACTGCTGTCTCCGTCTCCAGTGTGCTGCTGTCCTTGGCTGTGGCCCTGGATCAAAGCTGGAGACCAGAAAGCCGAACTAGGAAAGAGGATTGTTGACCCAACCGACTGTTGGACGAGGGATCCCAGCTCCACAAGAAGACCAAGCATTCAGGCACATGCCGTAGCCTTGGGGCTGCTCAAAAGAGAGCATCTGAAATTGCGCCAGCTCAGGCTTCAATGCTCAATGCCAAATGGCCCTTTCGTCTTCGACGTGGGAGCGGCTGTGGGGCCTATCGATCTGCGCGCTCCAATCAGACCCCGTAATTAACCGCTTTCCCGCCCCCCACATGGATCCCTGCTCTGCAAAAAATACACAGGCGAATCAAGGGCCCGCCCCGCCGCTAGGTTGTCACGTCGTCGAGCCGGCTGGGGTCGTTCGCCCACCACCAGCACCGTCACCTTTTTTCCCCCTCTGCCAATCGTGGGCGACAGCACCAGCACTCCCTCCATCCTCCTCTCGCGCTCGAAATTGGGCCCCCAACCGAACGCCACCCTCTCCCCTCCGATTGTTTGCGTTGGCGTCCCTGCGCTCTTGTGCTTGGCCTAGCAGGGGTCCTCCGGGCTGGCCCTCGCGATAGGTTGTCGATCAGTGGGCCAAGGCATTCCCTGAGAAAAGAAGGCTGGCTCCCCTGCCCATCCACCCACAACCCACAAGGCATCCAAGATAGGCGAAGGTGACTTGACTTGACGAGCGGTTGGGGTCGATGCGGGAAAGAACTTGGGGGGTTTGCTGTTTGTTTGTTTTCTTCTTGATCCCCCGCCAGGACAGACCGCAAGCGGGGTCCCGCCTCAAGATGTCGGCTTTGACGAGCAGATTGGCCATGCCAATATCACAATGGGCCCTTGTTGATCTGATGTATCCTGGCCATGGCCCATGTGCCGCCGTCGGAACTCACCGTGTCGCCTCCCCGCCTAGGAACATCGCCGAGTGCCCAGTAGCATCGGCTTTCTTGTCAGTGCTCGGTCCATGTATCCGGGGAGCGTTGGTTGTTGATTATTTTTTCTTCTTCTTCTTTCCCCTCTCTCTTCCTATCTTCTCCCCCAACACACGAAGCTTGATCAGATGTGTCCTGCCTAACTCGGACTGCTGCGCGCCGCGTGCATGTCGGGTTGCTGATCACAAAGCTGACCCCGATGCGCAATCCCTTTCTCCCAATAGAAAAGGACCAGCCATTCATATTATCCGTGGTGCCCAGTGGCCCGGCTTGCCCGGCACTCCTAGATCAGCCAAACAAAAGAGCTAGTCTAGGCTGTCTTTCGCACCCGCCGCACGCGAGGGCCGACGCTTCTGTGATAGCTTGCACTGCGGAGAGGGTGTGGAGTTTCCACCCGCGTTGCAGCGCCGGCCTATTGTCCGGGAGCTAACAAGCAGCAGAGTTCCTGAGCCTCCTGTTGTCGGCTTCCGAAAAGGGCCTTCAAGCTGCTGCACTCCTCCCGCTAGCCCACGCGGAGAGCTGCAGCCAACTGAAGCGATAGCGTTGGCCCCTCTTCTTCCCTGCTCGCACCCCTCTGCCCTGTCCACGCCGGCGACCCGCTCGAGTTGAACCCCTGTCGGCTGTCACCTCAATCCCCATCACACCCCGGCCACCTTCTGTGTGACATGCAGCAGCGGGGGACAGCCACCAACCTGGCCAGCCAATATTAAAGTGCGGTCAGCCGCTGGGCCTGGTGCCATGCGTGCCTCCCTCGAGCCCGTGCTTGTTGCTGACATTGGAAGCTCAAATTCTTGTGCCTTTTGAGGTGCCCCCAGAAACTGGAATTGGGACTTTCGCCATTGAGCTCGAATTCCACTATAATCTTCAGCCTCAACCGTCCGGCGCTATCGATTTATCTCGCGGCGGCTGTCCCTAGTCTATCACCCTGTTCGCCGTGTGATGTGATCGGGCTGTCTCGCCGACTCCACAATCTCGTCGATCACAGATCTTTGCGTCACATATATCCGGTCGACCCTCCAAGCCGCCCCCAACTCCCCTTCGCTTCTCCTGGTCGAGTTGTTGCCCCGTCACTCCGAAGAAGATCGGCCTTCTTTTAGTCCTCACAACGCCCAATGCGCTTTCCATACACACTACTCTGTTAGCTGTGTCAACCTTGGGTCAGGCCTTGTTAGCCACGTGCCTAGGAACTCGTGCCCCTCGCTCGTTTTCCCTCCGCCTGCCGCCTCGACACCAACGCAAACGATCATCGACACACGAGAGTCTGGCCCTGCCGCTATGCGAAAGGGAGAAAAGGGAACTGGGCCTAGCATCTCCGCCTTGCTGCGCCAACACGGAGACTCGAGGTGACGGCACTTCATGTCCACATCGATCTGAACCGCAAGATCCGTGTCTAGTCGGCCCTGTGTGCGCCAACTAGACACATTTTCGAGCCACTGTCGTGGTTTCATATTGGATCTGGCGACATATAATTTCAATGGCGGCCCTAGTACAACAACCACGAGCCGCAGGGCTCGTCGAGAGCTCGGTCGCGGCTCTCTCGCAACTAGCAAAACGTATCTACATACCATTAACACCACTCAGTCCGCCGGGTCAAATCGAAGCCAACACGGTCGACCCATGGACCGAGTCAGGGAAGTACGGACTGGGTTGGACCTACTTCGCCCTGGCATTGACGGCATGCGTTCTGTTCACGAGGGTGTGGCACTTTTGGCAGGACAAAATCCGCCAGGCCATATATAAGCAGGAGGTCGAGCAACACTGGAACCAAACATACGCCATCGAGCAGGAGTTGCAGCAACAGCAACAGCAGCAGGAGGAAGCACTACACACAGGGCGTACATCTGGGCGTCACTTCTTCCCCGAGGAGGGCGGCAAGGAGGAGATGGCGTTCCGACCAAAGGCGCACATGTCCTCGGTCGGTTTCGTCAACGACACTCTCGCGCTTTTCCGCTGGATTTTCTACCGACCGATCCCCGATATCAGGTGGCACAAGCACCGCTTCACTTTCTCATCCCTGGCGGTGCTTGCCGTGGTCACTGTCGCTACCATCTTCGCCACCATATACTGCTTCATTCTGCAGCCGCTATACTGGCAGAGCATCAAGTTTGGGTCGCCACCCCTTGCCGTCAGGGCTGGAATGATCGCAGTAGCCTTGACGCCTTGGATCATTGCCACCAGCACCAAGGCAAACCTCCTCACCATGATCACCGGGATCGGCCCTGAGCGACTCAACGTTTTCCATCGATGGGGAGGCTACCTATGCCTCTTCCTGTCGCTCGTCCACACGATCCCCTTCTATGTACAGCCGGTCTGGGACGATGGCGGCCTCGATGTATTCTCAAAGCTCTTCCCGGAGGGCAGCGGTGCTATCTACGGTACTGGGATCGCCTGCCTCGTCCCCCTCGTGTGGCTCTGTATCGCATCGCTCCCATTCATCCGCCGCATCGCGTACGAGATCTTTGTTATGCTCCACGTCCCGGTCGGTCTAATCTACATTGCCGTTCTGTTCTGGCACACCAAGAACTTCCTCAACTCCTGGAGCTATCTCTATGCGTCCTTGGCCATATTCTTTGTCTGCGCCATTCTGAGGGTTTTCAACCTCAACTGGACCAAGCCGTGGCGCATGGCATTCATGGTGGGCGACGAGGCCGCCATCACGCTCCTGAGCGAAAATGCCGTGAAGATCACGATCCCAACGCAGATGCGCTGGAAGCCTGGGCAGTTTGTGTACCTCCGCATGCCGGGAATCTCGCTCTTTGAGAACCACCCATTCACCATCTCGTCGCTCTGCAGCGAAGACTTCCCGTCCGAGTACGGAGAGAACTACCGCGATTGCGTGCTGGTGTTCCGCCCTTATGGCGGCTTCACTCGCAAGGTCCTCGAGACGGCGATCGAGAAGGGGCCCTTCCACACCTACCGTGCCTTCCTCGACGGCCCCTACGGCGGCATGCGGCGGGACCTGGCCGCCTTCGACACCGTCATCCTTATCGCAGGCGGCAGCGGCGTGACTGCCCTCATGTCCCAGCTCCTCAACCTCATCAAGCGCATGCGCGATGGCAAGGCCATCACCAAGAAGATCGTGGTTGTTTGGGCGCTCAAGCGTCTCGAGGCCATGGATTGGTTCCGTGAGGAGCTCCGCATCTGCCGTGAGGCCGCCCCGCCCGAGAGTGTGACGTGCAAGTTCTTCGTCACGGCGGCGGTGCGCCAGCAGCATCAGTTCCTCCCCCAGGGATTTCAGCCCCAGAGGGCACCGAGGCCACTCAGCAATATGTTCCACGACAAGCTGGACGGATTCGTGGCTGGCATCGCGTCCAAGCGCAACTCTGCATTCATCCACTCCGAGGCTCGTGGCGACCCAGACCGCGAGCGCGAGCTGCGTGCCGAGGATGAAGACAGGATTACGGCGCTCCCACAACAGAAGTACTTGCAGCCGCACAACATCTCATCGCAAGGGCAGCAGCACCCGCCGCCGCCGCCGCTGGCCAACAAGGACAGGGCTTCGGTGGCAGAAGATACCCTTCGGCAGCTTGAGGGCCGTGACATGAGCATGGAGCAGGCCAGCGAGGCACCGTCGGACCGCAAAGGTTCGATGGACAAGAAGGGCGAGTTCCATTTCCCTGCCATGCAGCCGCGTCTTGATGTACCCACCTTCCAGTATGCGCCGCCCGGCTCGCCAGGCCACAACCGCTTATCGCAGCACCTCGTGCCACCAAGTACATCAGACGGCAATGCCACACCTGATCTCCAGAGGGAGCAACAGCAGCAGCCGTATGACGACCCGGATAAGAAGCAAGAGAGCAAGCCCGCCTCGACAGATGCACCGCGGCCCCCAGAGCTGGCACACCTGCGGACCGACCTGCCCAGCAACACGCTGCGGCCGGCGCCGCAGCTGCAGCGGGGCACGCGGCCGACGTCGACGTTCGGCCCGCCGTCCGGGTTCGAGTTCGGGTTCCCCGAGACGCCGACCGAGTTCCAGAAGTCGCTGATGCGGTTCGCGTTCCCGATCCCGCACCAGATCGACGGCGGCTGGAGCGTCGAGTACGGGCGGCCAGACCTGGGCTACATGCTCAAGGAGTGGGCGACGGGCGGGGCGGACGGGCGCGGGATACTGGGCCGGCGCACCGCCGTCTTCGTGTGCGGGCCCGCGGCCATGCGCGTCGGCGTCGCCAACACGGTCGCGCGCCTGCAGGCCGAGATCTGGGGCGACGAAATGCTCGAGGAGATCTACCTGCACACGGAGAACTATGCTCTGTGAGCGGGGCCCCGCTGCCCGCCCCCCACCTCTGGTGACTGTATTTTTGTGTATCTTGTATCTAGTATACCCCTATACCCATATGACTCATATACCCCTTATTTATCACGTCTGTACGGATGCCCCAGGATATCCTACCCAGTACATAAACACGCTACGCATATACCTCTATACTATTCCTGAATGGCTCATGATGGATGATAAGCAGGCAGGCATCGCGAAAGATGCGGGTGCGCCGAATGGAGCGGAGTGGAGAGAATAACGGAAACGACAGCGGGAGGAGACTTCTTATCCATGGTACGCGCTTTTCGATAGCCGTCTTTGCTTTCCTTTCTGGCTTCTTCCCTTAAAGCTGTAGGCTCTTTGTAGCTCCGGAAACTCGAGAATATTATCCTTCTAGTCCCCTTTCTGCAAGCGAAGCTGGACGAAACAGCTGAGAATCTCCGCATGTCATGAACTCTGGGAGAGGATGGTGTTGCTAGTACTATTATCCCACACTGATTACGTTTGACGAGCTGTAGCATCGTTCCATTGCAAGGCTCATGGACAAGTTATCCCTCTACCAAAGATGTGTGAAAGAGTGTTAGCGTTGGAGAAGGAATCCGCTAATCAATAGAGAATGATCACGCCTCGCCGTCAATTTGTGAAAAAAGGTTTAGCGTCAAAGAAGGAGTTGGCTGACCAATAGGAGGGCGGGGATGGCGAACGGAACTGATGAGCATCTGTTATCTACACGTGACTAGCCATGCACCAAGAAGGGTCTCCGAAGTCGCGCCAGTATGGATACCAACATCGAGGGGAAGTCCATTCTGGAGACCAGCGCGATTCCGTTGATCGACCAACGACAGCTAAACCACCGCCAAGATGTCCATGTTCCGATCGAAAAAACTCGACCTGGGCTGCACGATCAAAACCAGGGTGGTGCGAGACCACACCAAGCGCAAGATCTTTGAGCAGTTCGAGCCGGAGAGGTGCGTCCATCTGCTCCCGAGCCTGGCCCGACCCCCTAGCAGTTCTTGTTTCCTGCTCGGCTGGCGGGGGCGACAAAGCCAATTGAGGATTGAGAGGGAGAGAGCAAAGGAGACCCATGGCTGACGCCGCGACGACCGCCCCGAACTCTCTAGGCAAGCGCTGCGATATATCATCCGCAACACGACGCTCCCGCCGCGCATGCGGGCCGAGGCGCAGCTCCAGCTCACCCAGATGCACGCGTACACGAGGCCGACGCAGATCCGGAACAGGTGTATACTTGGCGGCAAGACGAGGGGTGTGTTGAGGGACTTCAAGCTCACGAGGGTAAGGAGGGCGACACCCTGTCATTGCGGGGAACACGGGGGTCTGTGGCAGGTTCCGCGTGGCTTCGGGGTGCTAATATGCTGTTTTCTTGCTCGAACAGTTCAACTTCAGGTTACAAGCCCTCGCGGGGCATATTCCAGGTGTCAAGAAGGCCAGCTGGTAGAGGGGGGAATCATTGGTGCTGTGGTGATATCCAGAAAGAAAATGCTGGGATAGCTCCAGGATGGGGACTTGGGTCTTGGGCACTGAAAAGCTGTCCAGCGGCAGGCAGCAGATTGCCGTTTGAAGCGAGTGCAAACGGCTCTCGCTCCGCAGGTGACTCGAACCAGCGGATCAAGTGTGGCTGTGGGTACATATCCCGGGGATACCTTATTTCTGCAGTCTCCTATTCCTCATATATACCATGTACGAACTTGTTGTAGAAGACATAGGCGCATAGGAATCTGCGTTGTTCTTGAGTCTGCATCCTGATCATTGCGGTTGTTTTTTGTGTTCTATCTGATGTTTGCCCGAGTTGGTGCAGCCCGGGTAGCTACTGCCCGTGTGGGTAGAGAGCAGGTCTCGTTTGAAAGCATTGAACTTCTATATATGACTGCACCTCACTCCGGAACTGGTTGGTTTCCTCTCAACCTCAACCTCGACCTCTGCGACCAACGCCCAACTCTCCAACTTTCCAACCAGAATACACAACCACTTCCATCATACCTGCACCCGAACTAACATCCAAGATGTTCAAACGCCTGTGGGATAACCTACCAAAAGATCCGGCTTTCGAGCCGGATCTTGCGAAGCTTGGGTAAGGTTCCTGCTCAGGAAGGTGCGAGTGAAAAGATACTGACGGCGTGCCGGCACCTGACATAGCTACTTCATCAACGACATCGACGAGGTTCGCAACATCGCGGAGCCCCAGTTCTACTACAAGTTCTTCCTCACTAAGAACAATCGCTGGAACGAGCGCCAGCGCTTCGCCTTCCATGGTAGGTCTCGCACTCGGCACCGTCTCCCCTCCCATCACTTCGCTCCGACCTGCCCGCGACTCGTCATGCCTGACTAACTTCGCCATCAGAGGTCCTCGAGAAGGAGATTCACTCGCGCCTCGAGGCCACCGGCCTTGCCAAGCTGCGCCTCCCCATCGGCGCGGGTCCCGAGGGCGCCCACGTGCCCATCTTTGCGAGCCAGGACCTGTCGTGCCGCTCCCGCGTCGTCATCGTGGTCGGCGAGTCTATCCAGGACCTGGGAGTGCTGGCCTATCGCATGGTTAGCGGTCCCGGTGGCGTCGGCGCCGGCTCGCTCGTCAACTTCGCCAAGGCCCTCGCATCTCCGGAAGGCGGCGCGGCGCCGCCGGGCCTCGTGCTTGCCAACACGGGCCAGCTCTGGTGGTGGCCGCAGGGCCGCCGGGCGCTCAACGAGTGGAGCCGCGATGCGGTCCCGATGCCCAGCGCCGTGCACTATGGCCACCCGACGCGCGAGGAGAACCGCGTCCCCGGCAACCACACACCGGCCCAGCATGTCCGGTACCTGTTCAACGAGTTCCTACCTACGGCCCTAGGAGAGGGGGCCGTCGTCGACGTGATCGGCATCTGCGACGGCGCCGACGCCGTGCACAAGTTCCTCGACCAGGAGGACAACTGGGAGAAGTGGGGTCCCCGCCTCGGCTCGTTTGTTTCGCTGGGAGGCTTCTTCGACGGCACGCAGGGTCGCGTTGCCGGCCTCAAGGAGTTCCTGAGAGATGTGAGGCCTCTACTTCCCATTATGTCCACATCATAAATGTCTATCCTTGTGCTAACACTCTGATCCCCAGCGCGGCCGAGCCTATATCCTTTCCGACGAGCCGCTGGACATACCCATCTCTGGCGCCGAGGGCAACCCCAAGGTGGGCGCCTTCACGTCGTTTGGCTGTCCGGTCTACAGCTCGGGCGAGACCGGCATCGGTGAGCTGATCATGATCAAGGCCATGGACTCGGTGCTCGCCTGGCTTCGGGAGGTGGCGCAGGATCCCGACTATACCAACCCGCAGGTCACCGTCACGTACAACAATCTGGGCGAGGAGACCGGCGGATGGGGTGGAGAGAACTTTGTCGAGTGGCGCGAGCCGAAGGGCATCGACAAGGCTGACGAGAACGTCGAGGAGATAAACGTGACTGACAAAGCCCCCATGCAGGCCGAGGAGGCCATCCAGCCGGTCGAAGAGAAGATTGCGCAAGGGGCTGAGGACAAGAATAAGGTCGAGCGGGTGCAGGAGGAGGTCAAGCAAATCGAGGGTGGCGAGGACAGCAAGTGAATGGTGGAGGAAAGACGCAAGATCAGAGAAAGGATCAAAGAAGATATCAAAGAAATGGAGGAGAGGATCAAGAACAAAAAATAGCTGGCAATGAAGGAGGAGGTCTAGCAGATCAAGGAGGAAGCACAATGGGCCAGGGAGGGGAAATAAAAGGCGAACGTTATAGGGCCTGTTAACATGGCTGCCTCAGATGGGTAGACTTGGCTCTATCCTCCAGATTACCGTACTCATGGTCGAGTTGAGGCCATAATATATTCGGGAGTGACTGCCTAATATATGGAATTCTGAACGGGCTTGATGCGGCCAAAATAGCTGTTGGGTAGAGAACAAGATTCTTGCATTTTCGCGACTTGAGAAGCCATGCTCGATGGCTCTGAGCTCAATTTCTAGCATTTCTTGCCACAGGAAGCCACGCCGACAACAAAAAATGGCAGTCTTACAGGTCCTAGCATTAGAATTTGTTGGTGCCAATGGCTTTCCTATTCTTGTTATTATTTTTGTTATTATTCCTGTTGTTGCTCTTGTTCTTATTTCTAAATGGAGCCGTCCCATCGCACTGACTGGGACTGTGATCTTTTCTGTGGTGCTCGTAGAAGCTAAGGGATAGCGAAATTCATCTTGATACGGTGAAATCTCTATTTGGCATGCTCGTAAGGCCTCGTCAGACGTGTGACTAATGGACAGCCGTCATTCTGATGGAGGATAAAGTTGACGGCAATAAACATATGCAAGGGCTACCCCCTCCGCTTGACCAAATTGGCTAATGCAACGCCAAGGAATGATGACGTTGTTCGCCGCTGACCATGAGCCGAGAGCTCCTTGTCTGTTGGCTGGCTTGTGCCGCACCATGGCGGGGCTTTGGGGTGGAGTGAGGCTGTGCTTTGCGGTTCGTGCGGTGGGGGAAACTGAAACTGACGATGGGTCAGCGCTGGTGTTGGCGCCTGCGTCAAGGCACCAGACATCAAGGAACTAAACGGGCTAGGAGCTCAACACTGTCCGCCTACAAGTCAATTCGTCCCCAACCAAGCTCTCTGTCGTGTCCTCCTTTTATGCAGCACCCATCATCCCGTCTTCGATCCCGTCTCCGCACTTTAGATCAGTCTTCAGTGCAACTTCGCAGCGAATCTGCATCACCTCATCGGATCCACTCGCTCGACGCTGGCGTCCTGAATTGGCGGGGCACAGCTTTGATTTGTGGACACGCAGCCGCGAATTGGCCTCGTCCGCTACACGACGGGCGGCCTCGAGCACATCTCTAGGTTACCTCTACCCACCCACCTCTACCTACTAGAGACTCACTATAGTAGTATCTGGCCGCCCACAAGCGACGCTAGGCGCCATGTCGGACGCTGGCGACACCAGGTTTGTCTCGGCGCCCCGCCCTCCCACTTGCATGTGACTGAGACAATATCCATGAGATGACGGACCTGACGGCGCGCTGGATCGGCTGACAAGACAACTTTGCCTCCTCTGCCCGCAGCCAGCACAAGCGATCCAGATCTGCCGCCGCGCTATCGCTGCTCCGGCGCAGCAGGGACAAGAGCGGCGACGACGACACCAACTCGGACGAGGGCTCTTCCCAGCATGGCCAGCCTGCCCTGACGGCACAACCCTCGCAGGTCTCGGTTGCAATGTCGCAACAGTCTTCGTCCAAGGGCCACGGCCAAAGGCTGTCCATCAGTGGCGCCTCGGCCGGCCGCGCACCATCATACCAGCACGCCCCAAGCATCTCCGCTGCAAGGCCCAACCCAGCGCTACCGGAAAAGGGCGCCTCGCTCGAGCAATCGGTGCGCAAATTCCGCGTCGTCGAGGCGCTGAGAAGTGGTGACACGGCCTCGATATCCAAGACCATCCGCGAATCCTCCGGCAGCGCACGTCGTGGTAGCACTGCCTCTCTCGGCCCCGTCGTCCCGCTGGAAGACACCACAGTTCTGCACCTAGCCATCCAGTGCGCCGAGCTCCCCGTCGTCGAGTACATTCTTTCGGATGGCTCAGGCCTGATCGACGTCAACGCGCGCGACAAGGATGGCAACACCCCGCTCCACATGGCCGCCATCCAGGGCCGCTCGCAGGTCGTACGCTTGCTGTTGGAGCAAGAGAACATCAACGACGCCATAGCAAACCACCAGGGCCGCTTCCCCCTCGACCTCGCCCGGAACCCAGACATTTTCCAGCAGCTGCAACTCTCCCGCTCCATGTTCGCCGACGACAAGATCAAGCAGGTTCAGCACATGATCGCAGGTGGCGACTATAAGGGACTCGAGGACCTCCTCGAGGAGCCTCGCGTCAAGACCGTCCTGGACATCAACGCTACCGAGTTTGCCTCGGACCCAACGACGGTTCAGGCTGGCGGCACCCTTTTGCACGAGGCCGCAAGGCGCAAGGACAATAGGCTCATACAGGTACTGCTTCTGCACGGCGCCGACCCCTTCCGCCGGGACCGCAAGGGCAAGCTGCCACAGGATGTGACCAAAGACGACGTCACCAAGGCCATGCTCAAGAAGTCTCCCGCCGCCGTGGCTGCCCAGCGGGGCATTCAAGAGAAGACGGTCCTTGGACAAGCCGCCTCTCAGGGCGTCGCATCTGCATCCCCCGGAGACCCGCTGGCAGGCCGTGAGGCCCGTGAGATGAAGGGCTACCTCAAGAAGTGGACCAACTACCGCAAAGGGTACCAGCTGCGCTGGTTTGTGCTCGAGGACGGCGTTCTTAGCTACTACAAGCACCAAGACGATGCCGGATCCGCCTGCCGTGGTGCTATCAACATGCGCATCGCGCGGCTCCACATGAGTCCTGATGAGAAGACCAAGTTCGAGATTATAGGCAAATCGTCAGTCAAGTACACGCTAAAAGCCAATCACGAAGTCGAGGCGAAGCGCTGGTTCTGGGCTCTCAACAACTCGATCCAGTGGACCAAGGACCAACAGAAGGAAGAGGACCGACAGCGCGTCCGCGAAGCCGAGCTGCTGGCCCAGGCCAAGGCCGAGCACTCGCACGGTGGCAGCGAGGCAGCCAGTGAGAGCGCCAGTATCGCCGAATCGAAGCCCCGAGGGAGTCTGCAAATGTCGAGGATGCACTCCAAGGTGTCACACAGCCGTACGGGGCCCAGCACTGTCGGAGGAAGCGAGGCTGGCGACGACAACAACGGCGACGTCACCTTTGAGACGGATGGCGGACACAGGGGCACGGGGACGGCGCCGACGGTGTATGACGACGCCGATGACGATGACGAGGAGGACTCGAGCGGGCAGGGCCATGGCCAGGGACCGCCGACGGCGACCAAAGACGCCTTCAATATCACGGCACAGTCGGCGCGACTGCAGCTCGAGACGCTATCACATGTCAATGCGGCCATGATGGCAGAGGCGGAGAGGGCGCCGAACACCTCCCTGTCGGACCCGCAAACAGCACAGGCACTGCAGACGTACGACGCTGCGATCCGATCGCTGACGGGTCTCGTGGGCGATCTGTTGCGCATCTCGCGGGACCGCGATGCGTATTGGCAGTACCGACTCGATCGTGAGGTGGACATGCGCCGTATGTGGGAAGAGAGCATGGCGCAGGTGGCACGCGAACAGGAGGAGCTGGAAGCACGCGTGGGCGAGGCTGAGCAAAAGAAGAAGGCGGCCAAGCGGATGCTCAAAGAGGTTATCCAAGCAGGCGCCCTCGACGAGCAGGAAAAGGAGAAGGTCCAAAGGGCCGAGGGTCTTGGCTTGACGTCGTCGCCGGCTCTCCTCGAGTCGGAAGCTGCGGCGGCCGATGCTCAAGAAACGCCCCGACCCGACAAACACACCACCGCCGTCGTCGACGCCAAGTCGCCCGCAATCAGCAATCTCAGCCGCCGGCAGACGGCGCTCGCGCAAGTGGCCAACATGTCCGACTCGGACTCGGAAGACGATGACGAGGTCTTTTTCGATGCCGTGGATGCGGGTGAGGTCGATGTCGAGCCAGGGATGCCGCCCTCGGAAACGGCTGCCATCAGCGACAATAGCCAAGTGGTTGTTACGACGGGCCTCGACATCAGCAGCTCCTTTATTGGCTACGAGAACGGCATCAGGACAAAGCTGAAGATTGATGCCGACAATCGGCCCAAGATTTCCCTATGGGTCAGTCATTTGTCCCTTGCCTGATGCGCTGTCGCAACCAAGAGATTTGGCCTACTGACATGGTGGTTGCTGTAACAGGGAATCCTCAAATCCATGATTGGCAAAGATATGTCCAAGATGACACTGCCCGTAACCTTCAACGAGCCCACCTCGCTTCTCTACCGCTGCGGTGAGGACATGGAGTACGCCGACCTGCTGGACCTTGCGGCGGAGCGGACAGATTCGATCGAGCGGTTAGTGTACGTGGCGGCGTTCGCGGCCAGCGAGTACGCGTCGACGATCGACCGAGTGGCCAAGCCTTTCAACCCGCTCCTGGGAGAGACATTCGAGTACGTGCGCCCGGACAGGAACTACCGCTTCTTCATTGAGCAGGTCAGCCACCATCCGCCCGTCGGCGCGGCGTGGGCCGAGTCACCCAACTGGACGTACTATGGCGAGTCGGCGGTGAAGTCCAAATTCTACGGGCGATCCTTTGATGTGAACCCGCTTGGCACATGGTTCCTGAAGGTGCGACCCAAGTCGGGAGGCAAGGAGGACTTTTATACGTGGAAGAAGGTGACGTCGTCTGTGATTGGCATCATCACGGGCAACCCGGTCGTGGACAACTACGGCCCCATGGAAATCAAGAACTGGACGACGGGAGAAGTGTGCCACATCGACTTCAAGGTGCGGGGCTGGAAGGCGTCGTCAGCGTTCCTGATCGGCGGAAAGATCGAGGACGCGAGCGGGCGGGTCAGGGTGTCACTGGGCGGGCGGTGGAACTCGAAGCTTTACGCGCGACCGACGCCCGGGTACGAGGCCACGGTGGAGGAGAGCGGGGACAAGAACGAGACGGTGCACCGGGGCGAAATAACAGACCAGAACAAGGCCTTCCTCGTGTGGCAGGCGAACCCACGACCCAAGGGGATCCCGTTCAACCTGACGCCATTTGTGTTGACGTTCAACCACATCGACGACAAGCTAGCTCCGCACCTGGCGCCGACGGACTCGAGGTTCCGGCCGGACCAGAGGGCGATGGAGGAGGGCAGGTACGACGACGCGGGCGAGGAGAAGAACAGGCTGGAGGAGGCGCAGCGAGCGCGCAGGCGCGTGAGGGAGGCCAAAGGGGAGGAGTTCAAGCCCGCGTGGTTCTCCAAGGCCAAGTGCGAGATCACGGGCGAGGAGTACTGGAAGTTCAACGGCGGGTACTGGGCCGCGAGGGAGCGGGCAAGCAAGGGCGACAAGAGCGCGTGGGACGGCCTGGAGCCTATTTACCAGGACTTTGATGGTGACAATACCGTTGTCGGGGGTGCTGCGGACGAGTGAGAAGGGGTGGTCTGTATAAGGGGTGTATAGAGAAGAAGTGGATTTGTGTGTTTGTATTACTCTTCACGGTCGTGGGGTGAAATGAGCGTGGGCGAAAAGATCAGGACTAGAGGGTTGTTGCAGTGTACCTAATCAATATCTGTTTGTTGACAGCCGTTTATAGTTTCATTATTACGAACATGACCATTTAAAGTCGTTTCTCTGAGGGTGCACTTCCTGGACTGGACGGCGAGACGAGATGGCTGGCATAACTAGCCCCTTTTATCAAAGGGGCAGCAGCGTGATTCAGGGGCTCCATACAGGGGGACCGAGGTTTGCCTGCGAATATCACGTGCGCATAATGGACCGTTGGATTGCAATGGAACCGGGGGGCCAGCTTTGGGATTCCTAATTGAAGCAGCAAGAATCGATCCATCTTTTACCATCAAGCCTCGGATCAAGCCTCGGATTGAACGCCGTCAGCAGCTTCCAATCGGATTCATCCATTTTTTTTTAGGTTGGCCGTGCAGCTTGGAGGGATCCACGTCGCCGAACCTCGGCTCAGACAAGCTGGCCCCAGGACCAGGTTGCTGGTCGCAACGCGTCCGCGCACGTTCCGTTGCGGGTAAAACCATCTGGGCTCGGCATCCAGGTTCGGGTTCGTTCAGATTATATCATCAGCCGTCGTTTCATCGATCGGCATTGATTATTTTGGGGCTGCATTGTCTTTTTTTTTTTTTTTCAAGCTCATACAGTTCGTCGTTGTAGTGTCGACATTGATACAGCTAGCTCCAGCAATTGGCCTCCCATTCGGATTTCCAATTAGAGGGTCTCCAGGGCGAAAACTCCACCAACAGCACCCTCACACCCCCTCAAAAAACCATGGCCGACAAGCCCAACAGCACCGCCGCCGCCGGCCCGGCCACCTACCCGACGCTCGTCCGGCCGCCGCCCGAAGACGCGTCGCGGGCGCAGATCGAGCACGTGCTGGACGTGACGGAGCTCTCGGTCCTGGGGCCCGACGTCTTCACCAACACGCGGCCGCCGTGGCTGCCGCCCGGCGCCCGCGGCATATTCGGCGGCGCCGTGATCGCCATGTGCCTGGCGGCCGGGCAGAGGACGGTGCCGGCGCGGTTCCTGGTGCACTCGATGCACTGCTACTTCCTGCTGGCGGGCTCGGCCGACGTGCCCATCCTGCTGCACGTGGAGCGGGTGCGCGACGGGCGCAGCTTCGCGACGCGCACGGTGCAGGCGCGGCAGCGCGGGCGGTGCATCTTCACCACCACCATCTCGTTTGTGCGGCAGGAGGGCGACGGCGACAGTGACGACGGCAAGGGTAGTGGCGGCGGCGGCGGCGGCGGCGGCGGCCACAGGGTGGACGCGGT